AAAACGTGCTGAGACTGCAAAGTTTAGCTCTCAGTTGACGTCAACTACCTACAAGTCAAATCAACTTGGTGGTTATTGTGGCTACGATTTTTTGATTTAAGAGTTTAAAGTTTATTTTTTAGCTTTTTTATCAAGATTCATTGATTAAGATATTGCGTTTCAAAATATTTGGTCTACAAATGAGTACAATTTTTATGTTGGGTTATTGATTTTATATGATTTAGAAAATAACTTTTCATATAATAAACAGATGGAATAACAACATCTGGTCGTGCCCAGCAACATCGAAAGAGACCAGCAAAAAAATATAAATAAAAAGCACCCGGAAGAAAGTTAACTGGGCGTTGGATTTAATTTATGTGTCGCAAGAGGCTTTGGACAGACTTCACATACGAGCTTTCGTGTTCGATCTTATATAGAAAGTATCGCTAAATTTTGTTGTATACAGAGTGTTCGAAAATTAATACTTAATGTAAAGGTTGTAATTTCTTTCATTCTTTGACCTCGAACAAGATTAAGTACAAGAAAAATTTTTCAATGGTATAAAATCAAAACCTTGATACTAAAAATACGAAAGCTTTAAAACCTTACTACATAAAATCCTTTATTAAATGACTTTATAATGACTTACAAGCAATTTAGTTGCTAATAATTTTTTTTTTGATATCGTCGCTTGGTATATGGCTCCGGTGTGACTACGAAGAGCAATGAGAAGTTTCGCAACTCGCTAAGGGTCCGCTGTGTTCGCCCAAGGATCAAGGATAACCGGTTTTAAAATATCCGAGATCTTTTGTCACGTTCTTATGGTATATGACCAGGCGGTTCTTCGGCTCATATTCAAGATCGGGGAGTGGATTACGCCTACGAAACGGAAGAAACATTTCATCTTCACTGTTTTCAATACCAATTCTTTTAAAAAAACTGGTGTTTCTAAAGAGAGGGATGGAACAGATTTAAATTTCTGCTTTTATATCATCAACTATGATAATGAAAACAAGATGAATTAAAAATTACCCCAGCTCCAAAAAGGGGGCAAAAAAGTATAAATGCCGTTAACTGCTAAAAGAAAAGTAGATGCTTTATCTTTCCAAGCAGAGGGCACACAAAAGAAATATAACTGCTACCCAAGTCACACCTATCTGTGCCATAACATATCTGTGCATATCTATGCCATGCAATTGTTATGATGCGCAAGCAATTAACCCGAACGTTTTCAGCGGTGATACCAACTCTCAATCAATTTTAACCAACACCCTAAAATCTGACTTTACAAACTACCCATATGTAAACATTTTGTCAAAACATCCAACAATATGTACTATGTGAGCTAGACTCAGACCAAACTTTCCAGTAGTAATTAAATATGGTACAACAATCTTAGCGATTCTAAGACAAAATTCTCTTATAAATGCTAAAAAAATAAACTAGGAACTATTTCAACAGATGTGCAAAAAATCATTTTTCAATTTCAATTTTACAAAAAGAAATGGTATTACAACCTTGTATTCGATAAAATACAATCGGGAAAGATACTGGTGGTGTTTGTTCCAGACTGGACGTCGCGCCTTTATTTCTTTATGTAGTAAAATAAAGGCGCGACGTCTAAAATCGGGTACTTTTTTCATTTAACTAGTGATTAAAAAAAAAATTCAAATTCACATATGTTACATAGAAATGTTTAGTGATTAAAACAAGCTTTACCGTAATCTTTTCTATCGAGCGGTTGTGAAGATATTGATCGCTAAAGTAGGTGAAAAAACAAGGGTAAAAGTCTGGTCATTGCACTGGTTTAAAAATGTATAGAATTTATTAAAACTTCAATTAAAATTGCATTTTTATTTAGCGTTAAATTAAAGAATATACAATAATAACTTAAATATGCTGGTAATAACATTTCTATCAACACTTCTTAAGTAACATCTTATATTAAGTACTTCAATAACACGGTGAAAACAAAAATAATAGACTTTCCAGTAATAACCGGCGTTATACAATCGTTTTTCCGTTGATTGTTGAAGATTACCTAAGGCGTTTCATCAGAAATTCACGAAGAAGACAAGAAATGAGTTAAATTATGTAATTCCATTTTTATTGATGGAAATAATTTCTATTCATAGAAATAATACATTTGAATATAAACAATGGTGTAAGTTATTCCGTATTGAAGAGCCTAAATTAAAACAATTTTATTATTTAACTTACTTTATTAAAGAAAATGAATTAACTTACTTTTGTCATAGTCTTTAATGATAATATTTCTCCTCCCATATAGCTTATTTTATAAGGTTGTATGTTTATGTGATAAATTAACTGCTCAATCTGCAAAAATAAAATTAATACTACTTAATTTTTCTTATTTTTTAACTTGCTTTGTCAATTTCACATTGTGATAATTTCGATAACGGGAATTTATTTATAAACGCAACAAACTCTAAATCCTAAAATAAAAATTTTGTTAATCATAAAAATGCAGTTTTTTTATTACCATTTGATTCGCAGTATTATACACATTAGCACATAAACCAAAAGAAATTAACGTCATACAATAATTAATTAAATTTCTCGAAAACATATGAGAAAAAAAATCTTTTATATTAGTGCACTCAATAATTACACAAAACGCCATAATTGTTGTTAAAATTCCATTTAGTATAAGTATAGGAAGGACGTTTGCCAAATATGTATTAAGTTGTTCCTGATATAAATAAATTTTTGTGCGAAAACTACCAAATTTTTGCAAAACATCATCGATATAATCGCATCCTCGTAATCTGTCTTTTAATAATATTTTGATTTCTAAATAAGAATATTTCAAAGTTGATATTCCCATCATTCCAATGCAAAATATTGTCGTGTTACCAGCGTAAAATATATAAATATATGTGGTGTTTAATATTAAAAACGCAATGCTGTTAGTGCAAAAATAGCAGGATATTTCATAAGTTAAAACAAATCCAATTATAAATAAAATACTTCTGTAGACAACTTTCCGAAAATCGTTAATTAAACAGTTCAAATACCAATCATTCTTAAAATAATTCGTGTATTCATACAATTCAGTTTGCAATAATTTAGCTATTAAGTGTTGTTTTAAAAAAATATGAATAAATATATAACTATAAATAAATCCCCCAATTATATAAGGAGTATTAATCCATATCTCAGTTATTCTTAATCTTTCTATGAATAATTCCTTTGTAACCAATATTAACGAAGTAACGAGCGAAATGAATAAACTTATCGATAATAAAATCAAATAATTTTTTTGTTGATAAAAAATATATCCATTTCTATGATCGCATTTATACATAAAAGGAATTACCCAAAAATGAAAGACTACCACAGGTTTAAATGCACAAATTAAGCAACTTTCTTTCTTGAACCACTGCATTGTTGTTTCTGTACTAACTTCTAATACAAAATCAAGATTATATTTTGTAACGTAAAGATTACCGTATCTTTTAGAATCTCCCTAATCGAATTGATATTAATCTTTAATGATTTAAGTCGTTATAGAATCTTTTATACGTATTACAAACTACACATTTATTCTTTTTATTTCAATGTTACAACACGAAACATAATTATATTGTAATTAACTTAAACATTTTTTAAATATGTATAATCAAGGTACTATAATAATTGCATATAAAGAGGTTGACAGTTTATGCTTCGTGAATCACGAGAAATTACAAAATACGACCTTTTAATTCATAATAAACACTTACTAATAGATTTGTTTCAAGGAAAATATGGTTAGGTTTGACATTATATTAGAATCAATTTTACTTACAATTATTAAATTCAGTATCAAAATTTGATATGCTACTCAAAGATTTTAACAAAATCCTGTCTAGGTTATACTATTATCATTCATATCTTTGAATGTTAATGACTCATATTATGATATACTCTTTTATGACTACAAATGTTAGGATAAAAGTAATTAATCTTTAAAAATTTGTAACTCAAAATCTAATTGAGATATCAACATGAAGTAAGAAGTAATTTAAAGCAAATTTAATTAGTATTTAATTAGTATTAATAATTATTGTGAGGTAAAAATTTAAATCTTAAGAACTAACTGAGATATTACCAGTATAAAACAACTTAAAGTAAGACGTCTTACTTTAGTATCTAGAAGAATGACTAATACTGCTGACTGTAACACTGCACTGTACCCAGGTTGTTTAGAAGTAGATATATCGAGCACTAGAAGTCTACATAAAGAAGTCCATAGGAAAGCAAATAAAGGAAGCTACTTAAAAAAATCTTATCCGGAGAGATAAATTTTGATAGAATGAATTTTAAGATAAAATAAAACGTAAATTATATCATACGATTTATCTCTACGATGTAAAATTATGTTATATGACTGTAAAATAAAATATTTAGACTACTATGTCATTATACCTGTAACGCATAAGATGAAAATTGTAGCGCCATAAATAGATCGGTTTTGCCCTGTATTCGTTCAAACTATCGTTCTTTATTTGTCATTTAAACATTGCGTGTAGAACCAGTTTTCTGTCAGGCAAAATTCCAACCTACCACCCAACCAGGCCGATTACAGTTTCTACGTCGTTTCTGTTACAATTGCAAAACGAGTTGCTGATTAACTGTTCCACAACGATGATGTAACAATCTCGATGGACTCCCGGGTTCTTGGTTGCAACCGAGAGAAATTTCCATCTTATACAAGAGAAGTTGTGATACGACCTTGCGTTTGTGTATCATTTTAATTATAACACTCACGAATAATCTTATTCGTTTACACTTTACTGTAAAAACAGTTAGTTTTCTTGAGGAATTTATGATTGCAACATTTACATAAACTTTACCGTTATTTCTTTTCAACATTCTTTATTGTTATTATGAAAAATATGTTAACTAATTTGTAAACTTATTTGTAAATTTATTTGAAATTTATTTCCAATTTTTGCAACAATTTTTTAAATAATATATAAATGTATAAACAATTATGTTTTTTTTATTTATAGAAAATGGATGCAGATAGTAGTTACGGTGGGAGCGATACAGCTCAAGATTCCTCCGTACCCGATACAAGTTCCATGGAAGCACATCACGATCAATCAATTCATAACGGTGAAGTACGAGTGATTAGTCATTCGAAACCGGAAGAAAACCAATATTACCACAAAAACGAGATAACGTTACCAGTAAATTACGACGAAACCGATAGGAAACTACCCCATTATTTATCGACGGCAAATTTAAATATAAACGAAGAACAACCAGACAACGACAAATATAGCAGTACGAAAAAATTAAACGCAATGGATTCTTCGCCGTCGACTCATAATGGCTTAGATAATCCGGCGTTTGCATTCGATGAACCTCCAATGAAACAGGAAGTAAACGGCGGTGTTGTGAGGTCAACATTCGACGAAAAAAGGCCGTATAATAATGGAGACGTAAAGAATACGTTAGCGTTGGATTTAACGCCGACGAAAAATGATGAATCGATGATGATGGCGGAAGCGGTTAATTTAGAATTGGTTAATTTAAAACCAAATAGTAAAGATGTTACCGGAGCTTATGAGTTCGAATCGAATGGTTTAGATACGATTCCAGTAAAAAAGGAGACTGATATAGAGTTAGGAAAACGTTATGATGAGTATTTCGTCCCTGTGAACGAGCATAGGAAATACATGAGGTAAATTGTTTTTAAAGTTAGACAATCTAGAGACGCACCTGCCCCCTGTAATATCTATTGAGTCATCCGGTTGCTATGTTATGATTAACGGTTTAATTTAGGGAAGGGGAAACGATCCCTAAACTTTTATTTTGGTGTTCTTTGAAAACGTGTAACTTTCAGTTCTTCGAGAAAAAGTCGAAACAGCGTCACATTTGCTGATTCTGTCGGTTCATCTTCGGGAGTGGACGACTATGGATTTTCCTTAACCAGACCAGAACGCGGAATCGTGGACTATCCCGCGTGGCTTACCACTTTAGAGCGTCAACGGTACCAATATCTTTTCAAACCACACACACCATAAGCTTTTTACGGAAGCGTTCACAGCTCTAGGTTGCCTAACTTTAATGCTGCCTCTTTTGGAATTCAATACAAAAAAAACGTTATATAAAACGTTTTTCTTTCTGGTTTGGTGGTGTGACAAGGTGTTGGTGCTGGCGCGCTAAAGCCTACAGCTAAAGCATAACAGATACAATAACAGCCACGCTAGTTAATCATTAAAAAATAAATATCTTCGAGAAATCAATAAATAATTATCATTTTTCAGGGGGGAAAAACTTTATGTTACCATGGATAAGAGATCCAATAAGAAGAGGAGTAAGTGTTGGTGTTGGGCTATTTGTTTAGCTCTTGTTGCTGCCGCTCTTATTGTTGGTATTTTAGCTGCAGGTAAAGTAATATTTGATTAATTTTTTTATTAAATACTAATTAATATTGTTTTTTGATAGTCGGTGTTATTGGTGGACCGGATTCTTCAAACTCAGAAGTAGCAGCAAGACATTTTAGCGGAAACCATCCTGATCCAACGGAAGCAACGAATACAAAAGGTCGCATTCCACAAATACTTCATGATGCACACGAAGACCACTATGGTAATAATAACAATAACTTTTTAATATAATTTTTAATCGAAATTTATTTCTTTTTTTAGTTCCTAGAGCTTTAGAATCACAAATAATCATCGATAACATGCAATTCTCAGATGCACTAAAAGATGAAAATAGCCAAGAACACAAAGATCTTGTTAAAAACATCGAATCGCAATTATTAAACGCTTTATTTGACCAAAAAGAATTGAAAAATGGATCTTCCCATATCAAATTGAAAGTTATAAATATTACGTAAGTTATCATTATTGGTGAAGATAATTTATCTAATTGTTATTGTTATCTTGTAGTCCTGGTAGTGTTGTGATTACATATCGCGTGGCTTGGGTTTTCAAAGACGATGGGGTCAATAAGGACCCAATTAACGAAGATGTAATAACTTCAAAATTAATGGACAATATTCACCAAAGAAACGGTTATCTAACAAGCGATTATCACTTTAGCGAAGATGTCCAAACGAAAAAAATCCATGATGTATGTAAGCACGGTAATAATGGATGTGAAAAGTTTTGCTCGTTCGATTATACAACAGTCACGTTTGTTTGTGGGTGTCCAATTGGGGAAAAACTTGATCTAGATATGAAATCATGCGTTCATGCAGGAGATGAAGTCGAAACAGAAAATAAACCTCAATTGGGTAAGGTTGCTTCATGATTTTTAGGATTATATTAACTTTTATTTGTGTAGGTGCTGTTGGGTTACCGTCAAAATCGAATGAACATGGTTTATTTGAAGCAGAACATGAAGCTGAAGCAGAATCTGAATCGGAACCTGAACCTAAACTTGAACCTGAATCTCAACCTGAACCTCAACCTGAACCTGAACCTGAACCTCAACCTGAACCTGAACCTGAACCTGAACCTGAACCTGAACCTGAATCTCAACCTGAACCTGAACCTGAACCAGAACCTAAATCTGAATCTGAACCTGAACATGACCGTAAACCAAAAATTGATCTTGAATCTGAGTTAGATCCAGAAGTAGGTCAACAAACAGAGCCGCAACCGGAGCCAGAACCAGAGCCACAACCAGAGCCACAACCGGAGCCAGAACCAGAGCCAAAGCTAGTATATGAAGTAGACTCACAACCCAAATCTGTTTATGACTCGGAACCTGAATCAACGACACAACCTGAACAAGATCAACATTATCAAACACAATCTGAACATAAATCACATGTAGAATTATTACCAATCCTTGAAGTGATAACTACAGCAGAACCTGAACTTAAAACAGAATCGAATATTAAATTAGAACCTGAACCATCAGCAGAACCAGAACCATCATCTGAACCCGAACCAACAGCTGAACCTGAACCATCTCCTGAACCTGAGCCATCACCAGAACCAGCACCAGAGCCAACAGCCGAACCTGAACCATACACTGAACCTGAGCCATCACCTGAACCAGAGCCAACAGCAGAACCGGAACCTTCTCCTGAACCTGAGCCATCACCAGAACCTAACATTATTGTTGAAACATCTCCAGAACCAACAACACAACCATCACATGAAGAAACATCACCACTTCTACTACCAGTTCATACTGAAATAAAAGAAACCACAACAATGGACGTGGATGAACCCACAACGATGCTCCCATCTCAAGACGTTAATCAAAATTTAAACACTGAGCAACCAAAATCAAATTCGTCTGTTGAAACAAGTCAAAATCCTGTTGATGTAATGCTTACGGAAGCTCGAGACACAACTATGCAAGTACCAGTAATGGAAACAACTCAACCGGAGGTTATACCTCCCGTAATAATTATGAAAGAGGAAATAACAACAGAAAAACAACAGGAAGAAATAACGGAATCAATTAATTCTGTAGTTTTTAACGATGAAATTCCATTAAAGGATGATAATCTTATAAGAACCACAACGGAAATGGAAGAAATCTTAACTAGTTTACCAGAAATAAAGCCTTCGGTTAATCAAGAAGAAATTCTTATTAAAGAAATAATTCCACAGACAACAATTCGAGAAGAACTTTTAACATCTTCAGTTGATGTTTCTTCGATGTCAAATTTGAATGAAAGTACAGAAACAACAACAGAAATGGAATCAATAACGGAACTATCAACATTGAACGATGAAATGGAAACAACTACAATTCCTCAATTATCAAGAGAAGAAGATTTAAACAAGACAGAAGTCACGTTACAACAGTTTCATTTACGAGATGGTAAAACATCTGACATAGATGTTCCAATGACGACTGAATTTGGAACAATTAAAGAAAATTTGAACGAAACGGAAGTTGCTGTGGCAGAAGCAGTTTCTACGCTAAAAGATGTGAATGAAAACGAATTTAAGCCAGTATTGGACGATGAAGATATCTTTGAAAATTTAAACGATGGAATTGTTTTGAATGTTAATAATAGCACAATTTCTACGGAAAATTTTAATTTTATCAATACAAGTTCTGAAACCACCGAAGGATACGTTACAACAGTTTTAATTAACAATGAGGTTGAAAATGTGCAGAATAGCACTGATTTTAGTGTTATTTCTAACCAAACTGAAAATGCGAATCAAATGAATCATACTGAGTCTGCACAAATTGAAGAATCAAATGTGACAAGTACTGAATATAATCACGAAGAAAATCATCATGAACATATTATGGAACAAATGTCGCCATTTTTACCGGAAATTGAAAATTATACAATTATTCATTCTGATATGCACGATATTGACCACAAGGAATACTTTGAAGTTCCTAAAATAACAGTTCCGCCAAGATTAGATAATGACCAAATGAACACAACGAATAAAAACGAAATTAATCCAACGGATATAACATTATCTGTTGTTCCATTAAATTCCGATGATGATAACCAAGTTCATGAGGAAGAAATTAAACAGCAAAATGATTTAAATTTATCTTTTAACGAAATTTTATCTGCGGTTGAGGAAAAAACAACGACAAAAAAACTTGAGCAAGAACCGACAATTAAAAGCCACACACAAACGACATTAAGTCCATACATTATCAATAATGTTCATAGCAATAAATATTTTGACTCATACAAAAATGATGATACTATTAGTTATGGAATATTATATGATTCACATGAATTGCCAACAACAACAATTTCATCTTTTGAAAATGAATCTGAAAGTGAAAATGAAACTGAGAATAAAACTGAAAATGATACTGAAAGTAAAACTGAAAATGAAATTGAGAATAAAACCGATTCTGACATAAAAATAAATACAGAGACTGAAACTAAAGGTGATTTTAATGCTGAAATGAATATTGAAACTACAGAACCAATTAGTGAACAAAATGTTGAAACAACAACAATGATGGATGAAATGACCACAAAATTGATTGATAAAGCTGAAACGAATGAGGTTGAGAATTTTCCAACATCAACTGAAATGATAGAAACAACAAACCCACAAATTATCTTTGACTTAACAACAACAAAATTAAATGATTCCAATATTATAGAAAGCGGAACAAGTGCTGAAGATTTATTGGCGATGGAAACAACAACATTTGGAAAAAGTACGAAACCAAACGGAGGATCTGTTGGAATAAGAGGCCACAACGTCAAAATTGAGGATATGACTACGGTTCATGCAGAAATAATTCACACTGTAACAGAAATTATTAATATAATCGAAAATGATACAGTTCCTTTTGAAACAACAACATCCGAAGAAATTCCTGAAACAACTATGATGCTTGATAACGCTGTAACAACAAATAGGAGAATGTACGCGGTTTCTGAATCAATCGAAGATGTGACAACACCATCAATGATTCTTTTAAAAACGACAGAAAGTATCCATGATGTTGAATTCACCCCTAAAGATATTATCCAACCTGGAGGGGACGATGAAACCTTCCTTTCAGTTATTCCCCTTCCTTCATCATCATTAAAACCGGAAGGAGAAACCAAATTAGACGAAGAACTAAAATCAGATGATGATCACAAATTAAACAATCTAGAATATTTTAACAATCTTAATATCATCAATAACGAAGATGCCAATGTTTTAGAAAAAGTTAATCATCAAATTAATAACGTTCATAACAAGAATGATCACGATGGAATCAAAGAAGATGAATTTGAATATTCTGATTACTCAGTTGAAAAAGCTTCAAAGAAATCACTTGGTGAGAAAAAGAGTTACGACAAAAAACCTAAATTGGATAAACAATTTGAAGTTGAAGAAATTAAACCCGTCACTGAAGGATTTAGTTTAACCGGTTTTTCAAGATGCCCAATCGGACAATTCCAATGTCTCAACGGAACCTCGTTAAGAGACGGAAGTTATTGCATCCCAAGAAGCGATCGATGTGATTCAGTCGATGATTGTTCCGATGGTTCCGATGAAACAGGTTGCATTGAAATGGAATGTCCCAATAATTTCCAATGTACAAGTGGACAATGTTTGAAAAGGCATTTAGTTTGTGATGGAATTTATAATTGCAATGATAAAAGCGATGAGATTCAATGTGGTAAGTTTATTCATTTTTAAATAGGAAAAAATTAATTTTTGATTGTATTCAAAGAAAATTGGAAATGTAACTTTGACGAATTCCTATGCGGAATTAATGGAAGATGTATTCCTTTGGCTTGGAAATGTGACGGAAAAGCTCAATGCCCTGGTGGAATCGACGAAAGAAATTGCCACCCAAAATCGTGCAGAAACGATGAATTCCATTGTGTTCAACAAGATGCTTGTGTACCTTTAACTTGGAGATGTGATGGAAAAATGGATTGTATGGATGGGGAAGATGAAAAATTATGCGGTTGGTTTAATATAATTAACGGGGAATTTCTTATTTATTTATTTTTAATTTAGGTTGTTCGATTGATCAATTTAAATGTTCAATGGGAGGTGGGTGTATTAACATTTCTGGGAGATGTGATGGTATTGAACAATGTGCTGATCATTCCGACGAGTGGAATTGTGTTAAAACCGACGTTTTAAACGCTACGATTATGGATGATAACACCACGATGAATCAATCGATTCTAATGGTACAATCAATGAACACTACTTGGCTTCCGGTTTGTACGGATCGATGGAACAGTACCTTCTCAAATCTTTTCTGCCAAAAAATGGGTTTTGAACGAGCGATAATCGCCGAAGAAGTAGATTTCCCAGCAAATTTCACCGAAAAATATTTTAGATTAAAACCGATCATTGAATACACCGAAAACATTTTAACACAATTAGAAGAAACTTCAAGTTGTAATCAAGTTATTAGTATAACTTGCCAGGAATTTAGTAAGAATTAATAAACAAAAAAATGTTTTTGAAATAATAAATCATTTTTAGCTTGCGGAACATCAACACCTCAAGATATCCAAGCTAGGATTATCTCAAATAATTCAGCGTCAACAACCCAATGGCCCAGCGTTATGCTTTTATATAATAAAAAATTAAATATCCAATGTACCGGAAGTTTATTAACACCATCGTGGATTTTAGCAAGTTATTCTTGTATGATTGAACAACAATCTAAACATGTTCCAGTAAAAGATTGGGTTGTATACGCAGGATCGCCTTATTTTAATAATGGTGATAATTCATCGACTCAAATTGGAATTGTTAAAGATATAATATCACATCCTCAAGTAAGATCTTTTTGTTGCTAGTCTAGATTTAGTATTAGTTCTACAATAAAAATGTACAACTATCTAGTACTGAATAACAACTAAAACTAGAACTAACTCTAGACTTACAACTAGAAAGTTTCGATCTTAACAGTGCGTCTTCAGGCGTACTCAATTATATCGAGGTTTTACTATAATTTTATTATTTTTTTTTTAGTTAAAATTCAATCAATTCGAGTACAATAACGATATGGTTCTTATCAAATTAAAATCTCCATTGGTAATAAATAATAATGTTAGCACAATTTGTCTTCCAGCAAAAGATATTGAAGAAAGACAATTATGTGTAACAGCCGGATGGGGATATAATAAACCAGGAGGTAGGTTTAATTAAAAAAATTTGTTATCACAAATTAATTTTGATTTTCAAAATATAGAAACAAACGTTCAAAGACAATTACATTATCTACCAGTTCCTATAATTGAACAAACAACGTGTAATGGAACTGATCATTACAACGGTTTCTTAAACAAGGAGAAGATTTGTGCTGGATACACCGAATCAGATAATACACCATGTTATGTAATAACTTAAATAATTAATATTAAATTAAAAAAATTAATTCAAATAAAATTGTTTTAGAATGACGAAGGAGCTCCTTTGATGTGCTTCTCAGAAGCAACAAGTAAATTAGAGCTTCATGGGGTATTAAGCCACCATGGAAATTGTGGACGAAGTAGACATCCAGCTCTTTATTCTTCGATAAATGATGATGTAAGGCGATGGATTACGAGCACCATAGGATCACAATCATTCCAAATTTCGTAACAAATAAATTCATAAAAAAAATTGTATAAAAATATCCCGGAAATACCTAAAAACGAACTTTTCTTTTATATTAAATTAGAAGTGTTTTACGTCAAGATCGAAAAATGAAAAAGAACTTTATTGTGATAAACTCACTCGGTCGCGTCGTACTTACCTAAAAAAAACTACACAAAAATTTTTGTATTGTAAATATTGTATATGAACTAAAGTAAAATGAGAGAGAGAGAGAAGTGTATTTTTAAAGAAAAATGGTGTAGATTAGGAAAATCTCAATATCGTGTCGTGATTAATAATTTTCGGTGAAGTTAAAGCACGCCGTCTTAGGCGATTTAATTAAAAGTTAAAATCTTAATACAACGGTTAAGGAAATGAATCGTCGATTTGCTGCTGCTGCTAGTCACATTGGGGTCTGATTGTGCCAATAAGCGAAAAAGCGGCGTGCGACTCTTGTAAATATTAATTTTTACTGTTAAAAATTTTTACATTTAATTTGTAACGAGATATTAAAAATAAATATGGAAATATTATTACAAAAAAAAAATGAAATGATTTGAGTTTCTTTTACGCATGTCATTTTATGACCAATTATAATTTTTATTAATAACAGATAACAGACAATAATGAGCGGTGGGTGTTATTTATTGATTACATTTTAGAAAATTCCATTTTGTATAGTTTAAAAAAACTTTATAATGAAGTTTCTGGAAGTTGGTATAATTTTTGGAATTATTTCAACTGTGTAAGATTATGTCTTTATGTTAGATTTAAAAAATAATTATTTATTTGTTATTAGCTTAGCTGTTTATGATGCACCGTAAGTTTATCTTTAAATTTTTTTATTAAAATTTCATTAAAAATTGGTTTCTTTTAAGAGGTCGAACAACTTATTTTATAAATGGGTTTGTATAAAACTTCACAAAATCAGTTTTACAACTATATTTTCTTACTTTTTTCTTTTTAGAGAATTTTATGTTTTAAATTCAGAGTAAGTTATAAATATGAATGTCCCAAAGTTATTTATCATTTTTTATAATTCTTAGAGGAGATGATATGCCTTCACCAACAGATTTTCTCAAGTAACTTTATTACACTATTTTTTATAATTATTTTTTAACGCCATCTTTCTTTTAGTGGTAACATATCTCCGTCAATGTAAGTCTTATCAAATTTAGTTATTTAATTTTCTTTTATTTTATCACTATTTGAAAATCCACCATTATTTTAGCAAAAGTATGTTAGTACGTAGTAAGTATGTAAGTAAGCTTTGTATCAAAACTATTCAGCTAAATTGTTTGGCTTGAGGGTGGTGTTCTTCGTATGCAAAGGATAATGAAGTTATAGTAACGTTTCTCGTTACATTATCTATTATTGGCTCTCTCATAAACTCCGCTAAAGTTCCGTTCATATTGTAATAATGATTGGATTTACACCTTATTACAATCGTGCCAGTATTCTTGGCTTTATGTTGTAGCTTTTGGATCAACTGAACCTCGTAAAGATGAACATCCTTCGTCTATTATCCAAAATGCTTGATGTAGCTTAATCTTGTTTTCTTCTTTGACGGTCTCGGTTGTAGCGTATCGGCCGCAACCAACCTCGGTTACTAAGACGACGAATTCAAGCGACTCTACACTAATTTTCAATTTTTTAATTATTTAATCATTTATGTACTTACATGATTTAGCATATTCGTTTAGCAGATTACTTTTGAAACATCACCTCCGTTATTAATATTTATTGTGCTACACATAAAAATTAATTTATTCTAACCCAAAACGACTTTTAGCGATCCAGGATCTTTGCCTTCTATTCCGTAAGTTCTTTTTTACATGTAAACATAAAATGATACACATTAATTTTTGTTCGTAGACTCCCCATAAGCAAATCAGTAATGAGGTTAAGAAATGCGAAGCGTAAAAATAACGGTAAAGCGAGGTAAATTAAAATTTTATTTCAAAAAAGTAAGTAATTTGTACGACTTTAAAATTTAATTTTAGATTGAGAAGTGGACTTAATGGTATTCCCTTAAATTTAAAATCTGATGAAGCAGACAATTCTAAGTAAATTAATATCATTTTATTTAAAATAATTATTTTGTACGATTTTAATTAATTTTAGATTAAATGATGTTCCCTTAAATTTGAAATCTGATGAAGTAGACAACACTATTCAGTAAGTTATTTTATTTTATAAACTAATCGATTTATTTATTTTTAATTTTAGGGTGGACGAAAAAAATAAGTAATATTTCCATTATAATCTTACATAACATTAATTACCACAACAAATTTCATTTTAGGGCTACTTATAGACGAATGCCTGACAACGACGATGATGAATAATAAAAAATAATCAACGCAAAAACGTTTTCTTTAAGTTTATTAATTAAAATACATTTCTTTTTAAAAATAAATACAATAAATCACTTATAACGTAAATTGATAATGCGTGGAACTCCGCTTTTGACATTCTGAATGTTCTAAAGTGCTTCCACAACAAGACCAATGTCGCCTTCCTGGGTGCCCTTCATGACCATGACCACATCCTTTATAACCACCAGGCATTTTACCACCACACCCACACATAGCATCCTTTAATCCACCGCTAGAGCAAAAACTACAACAATGATATGTGCCATAATGAGGCCTAAATGGCCTAACAATTATTATTGTTGGGTTGTCCTAAAAGAAAAAACCACAAATTAATTTTCAAAACTATTGGAAATAATTACTTTTATTGGCTGTCCTTTAACTGTTACAGATAAAAAATATTTCCCTGGAACATCAGGAATAAAACTTAATTTATAAGTTCCATTTTTCTTATCTTCAATTTGCATATTAATAGTTTTCGTTGAACCGGGTTCCTTATATTTCACCTCTCCATAAACAACTTCGCCACCGCGTTGAAGCGCTGTATTGGTTTTATCATAAAGCTCCAGTAAAATTTCGGCTTTTTTTCCAACTCGAAGGTTTTGTAGACCTATAACATAAAAAAGAGTCGTAAATTTTCGGCTTCCATTTACTTTAGACGGGTCTCGTTAACGAAGTAAGAAGCAATGGGTTTTGAAATAGGGGAACGAAGGCAATAAAAAAGGGGAACTCGGTTTGGAATTTATTGGCAGAGAGGATCACACGTCACAACAAAACGAGAAAACACGTGCGTTTCCGCTTCTGTACCACTTCTGTTCCGCTTCAGTTTCGATGCCCTTCACGGAAAATTTAAAAGCAAGACAGAAAGTGAAATGCTAAACGGAAATTAAAACCACAACAACGTGTCAACTTTGTTTATTATGTATTTTGAAAGCAGGGTAATTTATTGAAGACATGTGGGAGGGAAATTAACAATATTAATTATTTACCTTCTGGAAGAAGAGAACAATGTGATGGTGAAACAATTTGCGTTGTAACAACTCCGTATAAAGGACAAGAATTCCATGATTCTTGCGAAGCTTCTTCTGGTAAAAATTGTAAACTTTCTGAAATGGGTAACTCAGGAATGTGAATTTGATTACAAACTTCTAATCTTCTCAAAATCGGTTTAACTAAAGTTAAAAATTCAACTTCGTTACTTTCTCTAAATAAATCATCAGCAAACGCTAAAATTTCTTTCGCCAAATGTAACTGCCTTTGCAAATCATTTAATTGAACGTCAACTTTATGAACTTTCTCAATCTTCGCAATCTGAACTTCTTGATGAAGCTTTCTCCGATGTTGTTCGATCGCGTTAATATAAGCCTCAATAAACTTATCGATATCCCCCTGAACTTGATTACAATGATTTTCGATTCTTTGCGAAGTCGCCTGTAATTTAAACGAAGTTCCCGAAGATCTTTCAGCTATCGTTCTAGTTTTTCCCAATGCCATTTTTATGTTTGAAGCGTATATCTTTGCCGCTCTTGTAATCGATTCGTTTATATGTCCTTTATGATTCATCGTAAAACATTCTCGACAAGTAACCTTAAAATAGTTTAGATTATAATTTATGTCTTTGTAGTTTAACACTTTAAACCCATTTTGTTGGCCATGTGGCTCATCTCGAAATGTGTAAAGTTTATTTTTGCAAAGCGGAAACGGATACTCGGGAAGCAATAACGATTTGAGGAAGTGAATGTTTGGTATTATTAGTGGTTTCAATGTAAACGAAGACTTGTAAAAGGGTATTGAAAAAATAAATACTTAATGTGAAAAAGATATGTGGAAAACTCCTGACAATTACCTGACAACAAGTTGAACAAAAAATGGATAATTCAATATCTTTATGATTCGGACACATAACTTGTCTTCTCACAGTAGTTATACCTTTTTTTCTCGCATCTTCTAATCTTAAAACTTCGTGATTTAAATTGGTTTTATGTTTTAAATGATTTTCGGCACAATTTTTACATAAACTCAACGCACATTGAGAACACCTACATGAAGCCTAAAATAAAATCCCTAATTTTAACAAAAATTTCATGTTCTTTTATTATTTTTTGTCATTAACATACAATATTATCTCCTGTGCATAGATCACATAATAATTTGGTATTTTGCGAGTTTAAGGCAGCTAAAACGAGACGATTCTGAATTAAATAATTGAGTGGGAACGATTTAACGCCGCCAGATGATGGTAATTGGTGGTCGGATCCGCAATGGGGACATTGTATCGTTGTAGATTGGTGTGTTCTTTCGTTGGATGATGTGGTGCGTCGTTCTTTATTATTTGAATCGATAGTGACTGTGCTTCTTCTATCATCTAAAAAAAATATAGAAAGAAAGATGGAAAAGAAAATGTCAGAAATGTTTTTATTGGAGGTAATAATGCACAAAGCCAGTAAATAGTTTTCGTAATGGAATAATTGGATAATCGTGCCGACCAACTGCGGTTATATGGGTTTTTATTCACCCCTAATCTCATAAGAAGGATAAAATTTTTACGGTTTCTTAAAAAAAAGAACGGAAGTGAAAAAGAATAAATAAATTCTTACCTTTAATTTGATTGAAAGCTTGTTCTTCTAATTGTTTTAAACACGTTATACAAAATGTGTGCAAACAAGGAAGAATTCTTGGTTCATAAAATTCTTGATGACATAACGGACAGTTTAATTGAGACGATGAAATATTACAAAAACTTTTTGTACGATTACAAGAAGTTTCCGATTTAGTTACATTATGCGGTGCCGATTTTGATCGATCGTGATTAACTTTAGGAGTTTCTATTGATTTCCTTTTGGTCGATGAGACATTCTGACTTTGACGACGTCGAGCAAAACTACCGAATATGTACGAAATGTGATCAATTTCCATTATTTTAGACGGCATTTAGACTAAAAACAAAAACATTAATAGTTTGTAAAACCTTTTAACAAATCTATTTTAAGATAATTTATTTCAATTTATATTCAGGTCGTTTATCGTTTAAATCGTAAACCTTAATTCACTTATTCAAGTTGAAAACGTTGATTTAGCCGCGGAATTCCGAAATCTAAATGTGCCATCGAGTTTCTTTTTGAAGAACATCAAAAGATCTTTACTTTGAATAAGACCACTGTTCAAACAATTAACCCGAAAACTAACAAACCGATAAATTTTACACGGTATATTATTCTTGGGTGGTGATTTTGATCTTGGTAGCGTGAAATTTGAAAGACCAGAATGTTTTATAAAGGGTACTAACCTCAAAGAACATTCTAATTTTCTTTAATAATTTTAGTAATTACAGGTTATCTTAAAATATGATCATTTAGCTTTAATCTTTTGGGGTAATTAACTCTCTTAAAAGCTTATGTTTGGTATCCTTCATCATATTCGTAAATTGCAGAAGGACACTTTGCAGATTAAATTTCAAGAGGTTTAACACATGTTGATAAATCTTTTTTTTTAATAAAAACTTTATATAAAAAAGATCTTTCTAAATTAATCCTCGACCTAAATTTATTTCTAGAACAATATGTTTACATGTAATGACCTTTATATACATTTTTAAATAAACCAAATTTAAAAATATTATTTTAAAAATCAAAATTAATTTTTGTCTTTATTTTTTTATGTATTTATCAATTTAAAATTTAAATCTATTTGTCACATACTTTAAACTTCTCTACAAAGCTAAATTTATCCGATCTACTTGAACGCGCGGAGTTAACATCTCGGACTGGCACCATCTAATCCGAAAACACAACTGAAGCTGAGTAAAAGACTAAAAAAATATACTTACTTGGCTTATTTCGAATCCCGAGACACTAATGTAAATGCAAGTTTACATTTTCCCTTCGCATCATTTTATTTTTGATTTTTTTCAAGTTGAAGAGTAAAATTTAAATAAAATGGGAAGTGTTGAGGTTTTTTATTAGATTTATAGAGTCTACGCCTATTTCGGAATGACACCACAGTGAATTCACTTCGACAGCTTTAATCCGACACTTAACAGTTTCTATTTATAAAAGCTCGAAGCCACGTGATCCAGAGGCGACGTCGCGACGCTTTACAAAGCGTCTTGCTCCGGCGAATGCTCGTGAACGACTGTTGTTAACAGCTTATATTAGGGGGTTTCTAAAATCTCTAACAGATTGTATTAAAAATTAAAGGAATTTGAAAATATACTAATATTAGATAATTGTTGAGAAATACTTCTTTATTTATTCCATAATATCATATTTTTTATGCTTACATCATATATTGCGTTCTTTAAAATGGTTAATTGAGCTATGCCTAACATTTACGTGGATTTCCTTGCCTTATTTCTGATGTTATTATAAATATTTAAACCCAAGTGTGAGGTATTAAGTCTTTGTTTTGTTTACTATTTTAGCTGCTTCTAATGGAAGCCAGGTGAAACCAAAGGGGTGAAAATCTTTCCTAGCTTATTAAGAAACAAAAATAAAAATTATGTTCTTCTTTCTTCCGATCTTTTCTATAAATAAGAATTTAGATCCTTGATGAAAAAAAGCAAAGAATGTAGTTAAAATAAAGGTTAAACAGAAAAAAATGCTTTCGGATGCATAAAAAAATAAAACGCTGATAAAAACTTGAATGAAATTCCATCAAGTCTGTGTCACATAGAAGCCAGAAAGATTAAAAAAGAAAGCTAATCTTTTGTCCTCTATTCTTGTTATGACATAATCATGCCAAATGGAAGACAGAAAGAAGATTACTTTCTTTTTATAGGGTTTCAGTTTTATATTTGGTTTCTTTAAAATTTTAAAATAAAACGGTAGCTTATGGTGCACCCTAACATAACTGGTTTTGGAGACATTTCCATCTTCAGGTGCCTTGTCAGAAGTTTTGCATAAAATGCAGCTCAAATGGGTTATCATTATCGTTAAGTTATCAAACTAGTATAGCAGTAAAAATGCCTAAGCAAAGCTCTCTCTCTCTCCGTAGCATTACAAATCGGACTGGGTCTTCGCTGACTTATTTACAATTTGCCTCTATTTGCTGTAGTCCAGCATTAGTTCCTTTGATTGTTCAATATTTAGGATGCGTTGATCAAATTTTTAGTCTATTAGCCTAAGTCAAACTCAGAACAGCTGGAAAGAATTGAGAAACTTTTGAAGTATATTTGATTCTAAAAATAACATTCAACAATTCTTAGTTATCATGATGAAAATCTGTTGATAGATAAAAGCACGGAACCCATTCAGCTTTGGTTACAAGAATTAGACTTCGTCTTCTATAAGCAGGTCATTTTGCTATTGCATAATATTCCAGCAGATTCAATTCAACACTGTCGTTTGGCATAGTTTTTGACACATATATTCATCATGTTAATAATGAGAGAAAGAAAGCATCCCATCTATAAGCTCGCTACTGTACTCTAATCAGAATTGATCGACTGCTTTAAAAGTGATCGCACTAAGTTGAATTATAAGATTCCACAATAACAAAAAATAATATAAAGTGGGTTAATAATTTAATTTAATATGAGAAGAGATCCAAAAAAGTGCCCGCAATTAGTTTCTTTTATCTGTAATTGTTTAATAATGTAATTAGTTAATGGCATCTAAGCACTTGGTGGGTTTTACAGTTAAAGCTCAAGAAATAGAATGAAACAATTTTATATGAAGATAAAATTATAAAGAATTGTCAATAACTTTTTAATTTGGTAACTTAATTATTGTTAGAGAATAATAAATAAAAGCTAAAACCATACTTTAAGATAACCGGTAATTAATTGTGTACTAAAAAGAGTATAACAATTTTGAACCTATGATATTGTCTGGGATATAATCTAAAATCTATACTGTGCTATCGTTATCAATAATTGATAGGTTACGATAAGATAATTTGATTGGGATAGCATATACAGTTGTTATTTGTCCCCTTCTCGCTCGACTATGTGCTCGGCGTTTTCTGGATTTAACACCAAATCGAAATGTACCAGGGATGTACCGCCAAAAGAGAAACAAACCCAAGAGAAAAAGCCGGCATAATTTCTATGCTTTTATTCCTGTAAGTACAATAAATGAATATAAATCTAAAAAACATAAAGAATGCTTTATATGTTTTTAAAACCTATTGTATTAAAAATTATTATCTATTTAAAGAGTATTTCCAATAAAATAAAACTTTTTATTACCTATTCACTTTAATCCTGTTAATACTTTAGAAAAAAATAACAATTTGGTTTGTCATCACCGTTTTTAATTTTTTAGATTTACTTATCCAATATTTAAAAAAGGAATAAAAAAAGAATTAGAAGAAGATGATATTTACGAACTTTTAAAAGGATATGAATCAGAAAAATTAGGGTCAAAATTTGAAAATCAATGGAAAAAAGAATTAAAAAACCCAAAGCCATCACTTTTAAGAGTTTTATTTGGAGTATTTGGCGTTGAATATATGACATGTGGATTAATCCAAGGTGTTATAAGAACAACTTTTATGTAAGAACATTTCTTTATTAAACAAAATCAAATAAAGTTGCATAAGTTAAGTATTTTCCTTCCAGGATTACAAGGCCTTTAGTAATTGGTCGTTTGGTTGCATATTTCGACACAAAATCGAATCTAACAAAATCGCAAGCTTACATTTACGCAACTCTTTTAATCGGAATCACAATTTTACAAACGATTTACAATCATGGTTACATGCTTTATTTAACTCAAATGGCACAAAAAATTCGAACCGGTTTATGCTCATTAATTTATAGAAAATCATTAAAACTCAGTACTTCTTCACTTATCGAAGTGACAAATGGCAAAATCGTTACGTTAATTAGTAAAGATGTTAATTTATTTGATTTTTCAATTATACTCTCTCACGATATTTGGGTTGGAGTGATTCAAGTCGCTTTAATGACTTACGTTATGTATCAACAAATTGGAATTTCTGCAATTCTTGGTGTTGGATTTTTATTGTTGTTAATTCCATTTCAATGTAAGGATTTCATAGAAAAAAATAATTTTGATTTTGTTACATAATGAGATGATTTTTAGTTTGGGTCGGAAAACAAACTACAAAAAATCGATTGAAAACAGCTGCTAAATCTGATGAAAGAATTCGATTGATCCAAGAAGTTTTATCGACCATAAGGATTATTAAGACTTATTGTTGGGAAATATTTTTTTCAAAGCGTGTTTTTGCTATAAGAAGGTAAATTAATAAAATAATTTTTAACTTTAATTAAAAAAAAAATTTTTAGAGGTGAAATATCAAAATTAAAAATAATCTTTTATTTAAAAGCAACAATGTTAACGATAGGAGATTTAAGCACAAGATGCTCAATTTTCGTCTGTTTAATTTCTTATTATCTCCTCGGGAATCGAATAACAGCAGAAAAAGCTTTCGTAATTCTTTCTTGTTATGGTTCATTAAGATCCGTTTTAACCGTAGCCATTCCAGTTGGAATTTCTCAAATAGCGGATTTATACTCATCGATTAAACGAATTTCCGCCTTCATGTTAACACCGGAAGTGAAAGATACGTCAGAAAATTCTGGACCGCCTAAAATCATTTTGAAAAATGCTTCGGCGTCCGTGATTAAATCAAAAACTGTTTTGGAAAATATCACGTTAAATCTTCATGTTGGTTTATATGGTTTAACTGGACCCGTTGGAAGTGGAAAATCGTGCTTGTTAAGATTACTTCTTGACGATATCGTTCTAAATGATGGTTATGTTACTGTAAACGGTGCGGTTTCTTATGCTTCTCAAGAACCGTGGTTATTTCCTGGAACGATTCGGCAAAATATTTTATTTGGTTCCATAATGGATGAAAAAAGATACCAAAAAGTGATTAAAATTTGTTGCTTAAAAATTGATTTCGAAAACTTTTCTAAAGGTGATAACACCTTGGTTAATGATAGAGGGTTAAATTTAAGCAAAGGTCAACAAGCAAGAATTAACTTAGCGAGAGCTCTTTATAAGAAAGCTGATATTTATCTATTAGATAACCCTTTAGCACCCGTTGATTCTTCCGTTGGAAATCAAATTTTTAAAAGCTTCAAAGACTTCCTAAAAGGAAAATTAGTTATATTTTGTACCCACCAAATACAATTCTTACAACAAGTTGGCGAAGTTATTGTTATGATGGACGGAAAAATTCAAGATAGAGGAAATTACGAGGAACTTGTTAAAAGAAATGTTGATTTAGGAATTGACTTTGATGAAATAACTTCGAACCAGCATAAAATTGATAACATTGAAGAAAATGATGACCTGGAAAATGAGGATGCTACAGAAACAGATTATTTATTAAAATCAGAAAAAAATTTGCAATCACCTAAATTATATGGAGAAAAGAAAGAAATTGGAAAAGTCAAAAACGAAGTTTACAAAACATACTTAAGTTATGCGGGTGGTTTTAAAGGAATGTTCTCGCTTTTAATAATTTGCGCTATTTCGCAAGCTGGTGGAAGTTATTTTGATTATTTTATAACTCATTGGTAAGATCAAAAAAATTATAAAACCATTTAAACTAAAACTAACTCTAGAACTAACAGTAGATCTAGAACTAGAAGAAAAAGTGTTTGATGTTTCCGATGCCATGTTGCAATTTTGACTTGCCTTTCGGCATGCGGTTTCTGCATATACTCCTTCCTTTCCTTTCATATCTACCTCTACAACTTCCCCCTCATTATGCTCATCGTTTCTGATTACCTCGCAATACCATCTCTCCCATTCATCCCCATTTAGCTTGCGCAAGAAGTGATTACTTACCGTATCTTCCCTTCGTAATATCTCTCATAATGTAGCCATTCTTTTGAAATACATCTTCCTTCGTTAAATTTTCATGGTTATGGAACGCAGCCCATAGATACCTATTTGTGTATGTCTTCTTCCGATACACTGCCAATTCTGTCTTCTTCATGACCAATACATCCAGAAAAGATAAGTGTTATGCAACTTCCGTTTCCATAGTAAATTTTATCTAGATGTGTTGCAAGTTTAGGTGTTCTAGGAACCAGATCAGGCAGGTTCAACATGGCATATTAAACGTCAAACACTTTCAAAAGACTAGTCTAGTGGTAGTTCTAGTAATAGTCGTATGTATATTATAAAATCAATTTATAGAAATTTTTTAGGATAGGCGTTGAAAAAGATTACAACCGACTTTCCGAATTCATAAAAAACGAAACGTATTATTCAAACGCAACGATTTTAAGCGAATATGAAGACGTCGCCTTAAAAAAATCTCGAATTCCAATGTTGTATTCGATCATTTTAGCCGTAACAGCCATAGTTCTCACTGGAAAAGCATTTTTATACTTCTCTTTGACAAGTAGAGCTTCGCTAAAACTACACAAAGCGACATTTTCAAATATCGTCAAAGCTACAATGTCCTTTTTTGATACAAATCTTTCGGGGAATATTTTAAATCGGTTTTCAAAAGACTTTGCTACCATTGATGAAATGATACCTTATATTTTCTTTGAATGTCTTCGAGTAAGTTTGAAACATAACTTAAAAATAAATTAAATTAAATTTTTTTTTTAGATTCTTTTTGTACTTATTGGATCATTAGTACTCATCTTAAAAGTCAACTTAGTTTTCGCAATTCTTTCACTTGCTTTTGGAATAATTTTATTTATTGTCCGTCATTATTATTTACCAACAAGTCGAAGTTTAAAGAGATTAGATAGCATGAGTAAATATTCCCACTTTAATATTTACCAATCAACTCTATTGTTATAAAATATTTATTTATTTTTTAGCTCGAAGTCCTGTTGTTGGTCATTTAAATGCATCTTTGGAAGGATTAACAACAATCAGAGCTAACAAAGCTGAAAATATCCTAACATTACAATTCGATCAGCATCAAAATCTGCATTATTCAACCTATTATATGTATATGACAACAAATCGAGCGTTCGGTTTCTTTTTAGACATGTTATGCGCATTATATTTAACAGCAATAACGTTAAGTTTTATTATTTTTGCATCGTCGACGGCCGCTGAAAACGTTGGATTGGCAATAACACAAGCTTTAGGTTTAACCGGTTTATTACAATGGGGAATTCGTCAATGGGCCGAATTAGAAAACCAAATGACCTCGGTCGAACGTGTCCTTGAATACACAAAAGTGCCAACCGAAAATACTCAAGGAATCGCACCAAAAACGGATTGGCCTTCAAGCGGAAAGATTGAATATAAAAATGTTTGTTTAAGATACCCAAAAACGAACGATTTAATTTTAAAAGGAGTTAATTTTTTTATAAAACCGGGTGAAAAAATAGGAATTATAGGAAGAACAGGTGCTGGAAAATCTTCGATTATTTCAACTTTATTAAGATTATACTCAATCGAATCAGGCTCAATATACATCGATGACATTGATATTAATGTGGTTGAATTAAACTTTGTTAGATCTTCAATTTCGGTTATTCCTCAAAATCCGGTTCTATTTTCGGGAACGTTAAAAAGCAACCTAGATCCGGACGTATTATACAGCGATTTTGATATTTGGCAAGCATTAAACGTGGTTAACGTAAAATCAACGATCGAAAGCCTTCCCGGTCAATTGGATTGTATAATAAACGAAGGTGGTTCTAATTTTAGTGCCGGCGAAAAACAATTAATATGTTTAGCACGTGCCGTGTTAAGAAAAAATAAAATATTAGTATTAGACGAAGCAACCGCTAACATCGATATTAAAACTGCCAATCTTATTCAAGATACAATAAAAACGAAATTTTCTAATTGCACCACATTAACTATCGCTCATCGATTACATTCCGTAATGAAATCAGATCGGGTTATGGTCATTTCGGATGGAAATGTTGTTGAATTTGATGATCCGCAAGTTTTAATGGGCGATTACGAATCGAGATTCTATCAAATGGTGTCACAAGGAAATTGGGAAATGGATTCTTGAATAAAAACATACAATTATAAGACTAAATTTGTTAATAAAATTGTTTGAAATTGATTGTATTTGTTTTGTATTTTATATTTTTATATTTAAAGACGTAAACAAAAATCATAAAAATATTCAAAATATATGCCTTCCCTGCCATTTGGTGCTATTTGAAGATCAACCAGACTTTCTGGAACTGGTGCAGTATGTGACTTTTGCGTAGACACTTGACGAAGAAATTGTTTTGACATTTTAAAAACGCGGAAATAACGTTTCTGGAAATGAACAGAATGATGTTGCAAATGTAGGAACTAAACAGCCAGAGAATGTCAACGATGAGAAAGTGATCGTACCTCGTGCATTATTTGGCAAAATAATTCAGTAGGCATGGTAAAAAATTTGTATACGAAATAATTGCGAAATTGCTTATTTCACAGAAGAAAACACCCGTTCGGAATAAATCCATCATTTTCTGACAAATGAGTTTCTCCTGATATAAAACACTGTAATACTTCCATAATTACTTGAGCAACTTGTATCGTTAGTGTGAATATCACTTAAATTTGTCATCTTGGTCTCCACTCCATAATTTTCTTGGTCCATCGATCATTCTTTAACCTCGCAATGTGCCCCGCTCAGTTTCACTTCAAAGTAGTATTCTTTCTATGGCATCCGTAACTTCTTTCTGACTTCTGACAAGTCTGACCGAACCCAACGTAATCTCAATCTGTAAACAGACGTCTGGCCTGGGATGTTGGATGACCAGATAGTGTGGGGTTAAGGCCAGAGGCCCCGACCCACTAAAACCCCTCTCCTCATCTTCTCCGGAATCCGGCGGGGGGCGTTTCTTCTCGGTCTCTTTGGCTAGCTTGCAACATCTTTGTCTTGTTCGCTTGAGGTTATTTCCTCCCTCACATGGCCGCAGTTAAAAATTAAAAAAAAGTATTTCCAACAGCTTTTACAAAATTTGTATTAGTATTATTTATTTTAAGTATTCTTTTAGTTTATGAGTATTTATTGTTAGTGCAATTTTATACTCTAAAAATTATTTAGATAACATTATGTCTCGTTTATTTATTTTTAAAATGTTTTGATTATTGTGTATATTCCACATAAGTATTATCGTTTTTTCTCATTATTTTATACACTAACCTAAATTTCAAGTTATTTTCGTCACTGCAACAACGAATTTAAAACTCAACAGACCAACAGGTCTAAAACAAGTAGAAAGGAAGTCAAACAAAGGTTGAAAGTAGGATATTAAACGAAATGTGTTCATTAACAAGTCAATTTAAAGGAAGTAACACACCAGCATGTTATATTCCGCAATCCAGCATATTTGATGGTTAAACTTCAACGATTAGTTTTTCACCAACGATTTATTCCATTGAAAGCAGTTTTAGAGGGGGTGAAGACGTGGTTCAGGTCTACAATGAGACTACAGATTGGGTGAATTGTGCAACGAGGTTCATCGAGGAAAGGTTAAGGACAATGGTCAAATTTGTAATGAGGTCTTAAATATTTTCGTACAGACTCCAAGCATAATTTGGAATCATTTTTTCTTCTACCTTTGACTCTGTAGAACTACTAATTGAATCTATTCACGAAATGTGTAAGCGTACTTTTCTCACCTTTGTATATCTATTTTGTAGAGTCTTAAATAAATAAGGAAAAAATAATAAACAAAATTACTTGTTCATACTTAGTTAACATTATTTTTATTGGACATGCTTTTCACAACTTTTTGTTTTAAGCAGTGCAGAAATTCAAATAAGTCGCGGTTTTTATTGTCTCAATGTAAACTTAATAAATACAAAAATAGTGTTATACAGCATCTTTAATTTTGTTAATTAATATAATTTAAGAAAGATTATAAATAATTTTCATAACTCCACTTAGAATGATATATTTAGATAAATATTTTCTTTATTTATTAAACATACAATTACGTTACATTTTCGTATTGATTAAATTATAACTCATTATACCTCGTTATTGTTGAGTCAAAACACGACCGAGAGAATGTTTGAAGATAGCAAGTATACGATGTGTTTGCAATATGACCACGAAAACAACCTCTCAGACTTTGTTATTTTCAAAACAGATCTCGGCGAAGGTCGTTTGTAAATTTTCTTTTCAATATTTATTTTACCTTAAAAAATTATTACATCTCATAACTTTTAACGCTATTATTGTACTCACTTATACATAGTAAACAATGTAATTAATAAAAATTTTTAAAATTATGATTACATCTTAAATGAGCTGATTAAAGGTGACTATGTTAAAAGAGACGCACTATTATTTTATGGCAGATTTTACAATTTATGATACTAGTATTAAATGTGACAGTGCAATTTTACTTTTATTCTCATATTTAATTGCCTACTGTAAAATATTTGGGATTTAGTTATTTTAATCTTTGGATTTAGATTGTTAGATTTAAAAACTACATCGTATTGAAGTTCACAAAAAGTAATCTATAGTAAATCGTTATCTATCCTTTCATTTATTTCTTATTTCAATGTTTTTAAGTTGTCACCATTATTAAGTTAAGTTCGGATATAAATTGATGACACGCGCAATTGGGTTCTGTGTCTTGTCATCGAAAATCCATAAAAATTTTCTTATCTATTGAAGATTAATCGAGACATAAAAATTATTTATAAAAATAAAAACTTTTTCGTACATAAACGATGATTTGATAGAATATTAAAAAAATTTATTGATATTAAGATTAGGTGAATACAAATAAATCATCATTAATTAATCGAGATTACAAAATTTTAATAAATCCTATTTTCTTGTAACTGTGTCACACGTATAATACCATAAATTGGATAAGTTTTGCATCACATCCTGATTAAGGAACAAATACCCAGTTCCTTTGACGTCTTCACAAAGATTGTTCTTAAACTTTCATTGTGAAAGATCCAAAAATAGTTCATTTTATAGTTTTATAACATTACAATAAAACTTAAAATCCTAATTTAATCGTAATTTAAATCTTAAATTAAATCCAAATTTAAATAAACAAGTGTGGAATAAAATCCTATTATTTTATATAAAAAGGAAAAGTAAAACAAGTTTTTGATTCATATTTCTGAAAGACAATTAGGAAGAGAAAAGAGAGAAACAAAAACAATCTCAACTAATAATAAGTAAGTAAACAAAGATATAAAAACGATTTCAATTTTATTTATACCATTGATTCTGCACAAGCAATCAATGTTTTGTTCTTCCTCTTTTTTAAAAGAATAAAGAAAACGTTATTCGTTATCATTCTTGTCCCCATTAACAACTCAGTGATAAATTGATAAATTGATAAATTAATTAAACCACACGTTTTTAAGTTAGATCGGGTTACGGGGCAGAATTTCGAACAATAAATAAAACGTTCGATAAAAAAAATTAACCAGACCACACACAATTAGACTATAGGCTTAAAGGGAACAATAAACATTATGGCATCTCCTACTTGGTGTGTTCGAATTTTTTTAGCCTTCTGTGTTGATAATCGTCGAGATTAGATATTTTATTCAAACCAAGTCAATATATCAACCGATGTTTCTGCTTATTCTGAACTAGTTGATGATTCGTGATCTTCATCATCATGTTTCAAGGGAGCGAACGAAAAAGGGATGTTAATCCGAAAGCTAGAGCTGGCATCTTCTCGTTAATAACCTTTTTGTAAGTAAAATTATTTTTATTTTTGAGTGAAAATATCGAAATTACGATGTTTATTAGTATTTTAATAAAATCGTTTATTATCAAAATATTATTGACGTATCAAAATTTATTATAAGTAGACTTTTTTTATTATCAATATTAAATAAATGCAATAAATTCGTTTTGTTTGATAAACATCAACATTTAAACAAACATTTTCTTTTGATGCTACAAATGTCTGATTCTACAAAGAACTGTTAAAATAATTTTCTCCAAAATTGATTTCTTAAAGCATCTTTTTGAAATTTTGACGAACAAACTTTATTACCTTTTCAATCAAATAAAGCATTTTCAAAAATACGTATTAATTTTTGAGTTAATAATACTTGAATTTAATAAGATTATCAATTTTTTATGTAGTTATTGATTTTCATTTCTTTAATAGTTTATAGATTTATCAAAAAAAATCTTTAAACAAAAATTCTATGATCTGATAACAAACCAACTGAAAAAATTTAAACCATCCCAAATCGATTATGTATCTCCTTAAATTTTATGACATTAATGATTTAAACCCATTATAAACGAAATTCGTGGTTTTATAAGGTTAGATAAAACAAATCCCGTTTTACAACTAATTCTACTATTGTTTACCCGATCAAAATTACTTTTGTTGGTATTAATTTATGTTTTGATTAATTTTTTAGATATGCGTTTCCTATTCTTCGGAAAGGTTTAAAAAAAGAACTCGTTGAAGATGATGTTTATGAAATATTAAATGACTTTAAATCGAACAAATTAGGCGATGAATTGGAAAAGGAATGGGAAATTGAAGCTGTCAAGAAGAAGCCGGCTTTTACTTCCGTTTTATGGAGGCGATATGGAAATTTAATGATTTTTTATGGGTTGCTCAAATTTGTTGTTAGAACTACAATCATGTAAGATTAAGAAATTTTTTTTACTACAATTAAAACTAATATACATCTAAATTCTTACAATTTACAACAACGATAGACTCTAAAATAATTTAGTCCAGTGGTCTCTTTTGTTTCTTTGTAACAATAACTGCACTCTCACTCCGCATAATACTCTGCTTTTTATACGGCACTACACTAAGTGATTATCCAGTAGTTGAAATACTTCTGCATTTTCGTGTAGGTGGTGGGATTCTTCATGGTTCTTTGCGTACCTTTCGGTTTCTTCCTTTTCCGTTAGGTTATTACTTGGATATGGTTCTCTTAATATCTTCCTATTAGCCATTTATATGATATAACTTTAATTTTTTAATAGTCAAATGATTAATTTAATTTTATCTTCCATCTTTTGGTTCACTCACATGTATAGCTGGCTGTCTGTAATACTTGACTGGTAGATGTCACGTTTGCTCTCACTGCGAGCAATGCTGTATCGTCTGCGAACGTAGCTAGTGTTATCTGGTGATATATCACTGGTATACAGGACATACAGCATGTTTCACTGAGGTACTCCTTCTTACACTTCCTTTAAGTCTGCATATTCCTTTATTTAACCCTAAAGAGTTTGTTGGTTATGTATGATGTTAAGATTTCTACATATTGTTTGAAAACTTTTAGCAGAAGTGATATAGGTCTATATGATTTGAAGTCATAGGGCGGTTTACCTACCTTAGGTAACATATAGATTAACCACGTTCCAAGTTGCGGGTATACATTTCAATTTAATAATTTTGCGTCGTGATACAGTGGCTTTATAAAGTTAATAATTTTCAAAATGCTGTCAAATGCTCCTTTACTGCCAACAAATGTCAGGTATTGCGGGTTCTCCATTTTTCAGAAGGAATGAACATCCTCTCTATAAGTTCATGATTTGTTTTTCCATCTTATATACTTCTTTTCTTGATTGTTTTTATAAATATGCCATTCTTCGTTTGATTTAGTTACCATATTAGGTCACAATATTCTTTAATATAATAATAATTAGTAGTCATGAAAAACAATAATTGATAATCAAAAGAAAGTTGCTAATTTTTATTCACTCTTTTATTTAGGATCGTTAAACCTTTAGCTACAGGACGCTTGGTAGCTTATTTCAGTCCTGGATCAGAATTAACTAAAGATGATGCATTTTTTTATGCAGGAGTTTTAATTGGAATGTTATTGCTAAATGGTAAACACAAAAATACATTCATGTAACAACATTGATTTAATTTTTTAATATTTTTAGCATTTTTCAACCACCAATATCAATTACTCCTGCTACAAGTAGCTCATAAAATAAGAATTTCGATTTGTTCCCTAATCTATAGAAAATCGTTAAAATTAACAACTTCGAGTTTGGCGGAAGTAACAAATGGAAAAATTGTTACATTAATGACTAAAGATGTGTTATTATTCGAACATATGATGCAGTTTGGAAACGACGTTTGGATTGGAATTATCCAATTATTTATAATGACTTATATTATGTATAGACAAATTCAACTTTCCGCTATTGCGGGAGTTGGATTTTTATTGTTGGTTTCACCTTTACAAAGTAAGTCAAAACTCATTATAATTAATTTATTTAATTTAAATTTTCTGTTTAGTGATTTTGGCTAAAATAACCATGAAAATTAAAATGAAAACATTAGCTAAATCCGATGAAAGAATTCGTTTATTACAAGAAATCTTATCGACGATTCAAATCATAAAAATTTATACTTGGGAGAAATATTTCAAAAAATTAGTGGATTCCATTAGAAAGTAACAAAATCTTTTCATTAAAACAACACAACATTAATTTAATTTCTTTTGTAGAAGCGAAATTGGTAAAATCAAAGTAACTTATTACGTGAAAATGATAGCTTTAACAGTTGGTGGAATGAGCACAAAAATTTCTTTTTACATCTGCATGATTACATATATTTACCTCAATGACAGTATAACCGCAGAAAAAGCTTTCGTAATACAAAGTTGTTACTCAACAGTACAACACATCATCACAGTAACCGTACCAATTGGAATTTCCCAAATCGCCGAAGTAAAATCATCGATTAAACGCATTAAAAGTTTATTATTAGCGAAAGAAACCGTCCAAACCAAAAAAATCATCACCGATAAACCCGAAGTAATCGCTAAAAATGTTACGGCTGAAATTTTACCTGAAAAACCTGTTTTGAAGGATGTTAATTTAAATTTAAAGAGAGGTATTCATGCTGTGACTGGAGAGGTTGGTTGTGGAAAATCAACTTTATTAAAAATGGTTTTGAATGACTTAACGATAACTGATGGGCAATTAGAAGTAAACGGCACCGTTTCGTATGCTTCGCAAGATCCTTGGCTGTTTCCAGGAACTATAAAACAAAACGTTTTATTTGGACAACCATTCAATGAAAAACGATATAAAGAAGTTTTAAGTGTTTGCGGTTTAATTAGAGATTTAGACAGAATGAAACGCGGTGATAGAACTTTAGTAAGCGATCGAGGTTTAAATTTAAGTAAAGGTCAACAAGCTAGAGTTAATTTAGCTAGAGCAATCTATAAAGATGCTAACATTTATCTTTTGGATAGTCCTTTATCTGCTTTAGACGCAAACGTTAGTAAACACGTTTTCCAAAGTTGTTTAAAATCATTTCTTAAGGACAAATTAGTTATTATTATAATGCATCAAGTGCAATTTTTAAAAGAAGTTGATTCCATTTCTGTTATGGAAGATGGAACTATTAAACATCAAGGAACTTTCTCTGAATTAGATAAGAAAGGTGTTGAATTAGGAAGCGATTTTGTTGAGGATGGTGCTAAAGATGAAAACTTTGAAGTTGTTGAACCGCAATATGATGATTCCGATGATTCTGAAACAACAAAATTACTTACACAATCAGCTATGAGTGTTGGTGCACCCTCTAAATTGTATGCTGAACATAAACAAGAAGGAAAAGTTGCTTGGAAAGTTTATAAAAAAATGTTTTCTTATGCCGGGGGGTGGAAAAGTATTCCATTCTTTCTCATAATTTGTGTTTGTGGACAAATATTTTCAAGTGGTTTTGAATATTTCTTATCATATTGGTACATTAAACAAAATTTCTTGTTTAAAATTTATTTAAAAATTAATTTTTAGGATTAACATCGAAGAAGGCATAACAGTTATGAAAAATAACGGAACAACAAATACAACAGAATTCTTTATTTTGGAAAAGAAAAAGGCTTTGGTTCCAATTATGTACTCGGCAATTTTAGGAATTGCAACATTATTAAATTTTGTTGGTGCTATTATAATGTTTATAATGTGTGGTGCCGCGAATAACAAATTACACAAAAAATCATTTTGGAAAATCTTAAAAGCACCAATGTCATTTTTTGACCAAAATCTTTCCGGAAATATTCTTAATCGATTTTCTAAAGATGTTTCAATTGCAGATGAAGTTATACCATTCTTATTTTATCAAATTATTAGAGTAAGTTAATCAATTCAAGCTTTACAATTAAATTTAATCCAATTAATTTTATTTTATAGATTGGATTTGTGTTGTTAGGAGTTATTGCTTTAATGACAATAGTTAAAAGAGAATTCTTACTCGTATCAATAGTCTTTATGATCGCACTTTATATTTGTAGATGCCTTTATTTGCCAACAAGTAGAAGTTTGAAGAGGTTGGATGGAACAAGTAAGTATTTTTAATCATTAAATTATTGCTTTTAAAAATTCCAATAGTGTACCTCAGTTCTGGAAAGTGTTGGGACTAGAAATTTTGAAATTATGGTTTGAATATTGCTTGGGAATTTTTTTGACAAACTTAAGATTTTTAGTCCTAAAGTTTTGAAAAATTTATGTTGAGCATCGTTTGGTGATTCTTAATACCGTGTAATAGTTTTCAAAACTTAATTGTAGCAAAGCAAAATACTTTGACGCAGTTCGGTCAACACTCCAGATTTCAAAACTCCTTTAAAATATTGTTTGACAAATCCCCTGTCTTTAAACATTGTGCATCTTCTCAAAATACTACTCTGTTATTACCTCATTTCGAGAATTCAAACCATAAAAGTGTAAATAAGATATTGTTTGGAAGCTTTCGAATTTTTAAACCAAATTTCCGGTATCTTTACTAGGGATTTGTGCATAATTGACTCGTTTTGTTTTCATTCAATAGTTTCTCGATATATATACATTTAAGAGCAAAAGTCGAAAAGAACAATATTGTTTAGAATAAAATTTGCTACAACTTTGGTACAAAAAGTTTTTCTATAACATGTCCAAATCTCGAGTTCTACCATTAACAACTTGTAAATTCATCTCATATTCATATTTTCGTATTTCTCTCGATATTTATGCATCTGAAAGCAAAAGTGAAAAAGATTAATATTGTTATCATTCAACTTCGATGGGCAAAGCTGTCCTAGTGTATGCTCTTGTGTTGTTCTAACCCTTAACTTTTTATTATTTTATGTAGTCCAGCTAACTTAGTTACCTTTTTTGTTATAAGTAAACAGTTCTGTCATTCCCTAATTATACATACACAGACCTATGTTTACTATTTATTTGTAATTTTATATTATAATTATTTTTTAGCAAGAGCTCCCGTAATCGGCCACCTAAACGCATCTCTTGAGGGTTTAATAACAATAAGAGCAAGTGGAGCACAACCAATTTTAACCGATCAATTCGATAGTCATCAAGATTTACACAGTTCATCAGCTTACATGTACATGTCAACAAACAGAGCTTTCGCTTTTTATTTAGATATGTTATGCGTCTGTTATTCAACGATAATCATGTTGACACTCGTTATTTTCGCTGGTAAGAAATCAATTGTCGCTTTAATTATCATAAATAATTACTACTTGCAATTATATATCGATACTATGACGACATTGAAATTTAAACAATTAAATTCATCTCACAAACTTTTCGTTACTAAATTGGTCTTGATATTGTACGTCATCAAAGACTAAAATAGACAATTTGCGTTTGTCCATAAGATTCATCTTGAATTACAATAAAGATGAACATCCGAAAATTAATTTTAATAATTAATATTTTTTTAGGAACTAATGCAGGTAAAGTTGGTTTAGCTGTTACCTTATCGTACGGTTTGAGTCAACTTCTCCAATATGGAATTCGTCAATGGGCCGAATTGGAGAATCAAATGACGTCTGTCGAAAGAATTTTAGAATATTCCGAAGTGAAAGAAGAAGATGATTCCGGCGATAAACCGGATCATTGGCCATCGAAAGGAATGATTACTTATAAAAATGTTCATTTAGTTTACCCAAAAACGAACGAGCTAATTTTGAAAGGAATTACATTTAACGTTGATCCAGGTCAAAAAATTGGAATTATCGGCCGAACTGGAGCCGGAAAAACTTCTATCATTTCAGCTTTATTCAGATTATATTCGATTGAAAACGGAATTATAAACATCGATAACAAGAATGTACACAATTTAGCTTTGAAATACGTAAGATCAAGGATGTCAATTATCCCACAAAATCCAGTTATATTTTCGGGAACTTTAAGAAGCAATTTAGATCCTTACGAAGAATACACAGACGCTGAAATTTGGAAAGCCTTAGGAGAAGTTAAATTAAAAGGGGTCGACTTGGATGATAAGATAAACGATGGAGGAAGTAATTTTAGTGCAGGGCAAAAACAATTAATTTGTTTGGCAAGGGCTATTTTGAAAAATAATAAGATAATCGTTTTGGATGAAGCCACCGCTAACATCGACCCACAAACGGATGTACTCATTCAAGAAACGATCAAAAGGATTTTCGCCGATTGTACGATTCTAATGATTGCTCATCGCCTTAACACAGTTTTAACTGCTGATAAAGTAATGGTCGTTAATAGTGGAGTAATAGTTGAATTTGATACTCCAAGCGAATTATTAAAGAATCCTAATAGTAGCTTTTATCAATTGGTTTCGCAAGCTGGGTTATTAAAATCTTAAATTAATTTAATTCTTCAGTGAAGAATTAGAAATGAACAAAAAATTTTAATTTGTTTTATTAAATTATCTATGAGGCCTAAAATTGATTATTATGCATTTATTTTTATTTATTTGCTACTTAATTTTGTACATATTAGAATTATAAAAAAATAAAGTGCAATTTTTAAAATTTTATATTTACATTTCTCGTTAAATCCTCATTGACGTATTTTATTCGTTATGCAACAAGTGTGAAGCTACTAAATCGTTTAGAGGATAAATAAGAATAAAAAACTGTTGATTCGATTTAAAAAACACAGGACACTCTTGAGTATACAAGGTTAATATTAATACTTTGTATAAAGGTTATTGTTATTCTGAACGAAGAAGAGTACTGTATTTGAAATATTTGAATACAATAATCTATTTTGAGAAATCAAAAGAAGAAAATACATTTCGAAATCAATTTTATTTTCATTTCAATTTTAGATCCGTTATAAATTTGAAAAATAAATAAATTTTTCGCAATGTTTATCAAACATATCTATTATCACCATCATATATTCCCACATGTTTGAAATATTTATAACATTCCTATTACTTTACTTATCGCTTTGGGCAAAAATAATCTAATCCCAGAATTTCATGATAGATTGCGGTAAAAAATTTTATTATGTGTATTTACTTATAACTATTACTTTCTTTTAACAAGAAATTATTTTCATATCATTGCCACAATAAAATATGGTTTATTTAAAGAGACCGTTACACCTAAAATAAATAATTTCATTGTTATAATTTTCACATTTCAACTTTAGTTGTTACGAATTTCTATTAATACGTACATCAAAATATTTGGTTAACACTTTGTATTTAAAGAGCATTTATCAGGAACTAAAAATCAAGGAAGTTGTTGATTCGAAGTGGGTTCGTGTATAATTCGTTAAAATGCAGTTTGAACTATTACACAAACTCTAAATTTAATGTAGATTATTCTGGGAATCGCTTCAAATCTGTTAATTAAAATTAAAAACTAGAAAAGGAGATAAAATTAATATTTTATCTGTGCGTATTGATAAGGTTTGAGTACATGATAACTTAAAAATTCTCTTATAGAACTCTCTCTCTTTCTTTATCTCTATCATGCACATTTTTATATTTCTACTATTTTACCCATCTAATCAACCATAGTAATTAAATCTGCGATATATTTGCTATTGCTTTTTTAAGTATTAGTATCTTCTCGTTTTTCTGTTACAGCTCAAGTTATAGACTCATTCTAGTTCTGAACAATTGTGGCTTGCCTGTTTCTTCTAAAATTCAGCACCCTCATGCAATGTAGACAATACTTGTAATACTGCCTGTTTGTTTGGCACATGAGAAACTAATATCCTTTTTGGCCAAAACAGAATATTGAGGTATTTGCGTTTCGCTACCTTATGGCCAACAGCTCTAGAGGAATTTCTTTTTTATTCTTGTTAAGAGTTTAACCTAAACCTCGCGCATAATATTTTTGACATACAAATTTGAAATTTGTCGATCGGCTTAGCACAATTTTCCATGATATGTTAATACCATCTGATTAAATTAATCAAGGGATTATTATCTTAATTACAGCAGTTTTAAACACTCTTATAAGCTAATATCCGGATTTGTCAATAAGATAAATTTAATGAAAATTAATTTTAATCAATATTTTATTTAAGACACATTTTATATATTTAGATATATTTCTGGCATAACCAGAGAGTTTAATCCTGTTGTATAAAACATTAAAAGTAAAGTAAAATACAGTTTGGCTAAAAAATTTCTTGCTATCCTTCAATGTTTGAATATGATAATCAGTTAATGAACAAATTTGTTGAAAGAGAATGTTAAAACCATTAAAACCATTTCTGCTCTCCCACTTTTTGTTAAAAAATCAACATTACGTAAGAGAATTGCGAAAATATTAAAAAGTAAGATTATTTCTTTGTTTTGCAAATTTCAACTACAGCCATCCCACGAAGACACTTACTTAGAAATCGAAACCGAAATATAGTTGTTACAGATGCATATTAATTATTTTTGTACAGTCTTAATTTATTATAGTTTAATGGAATTTTATCATTGCAAACTTTTTAATTGGTATTATGATGCAAGTCGTTTTCGAAAATAATTCCCGAAAATGCAATTTGAAAATGTACACAAATTCTAAATTTAACGAAGGAAATCTATTCTTGAAATTATAGGTTCGTAAAATATAAAATAAGAGTGAAGAGTAAAAAACAACACTTTGTTAATGTTTAAAATTTAAGCGTGATAAACACTACCAAAGTTTTACTTTGTCACTTATAACAGTGTCTATTACAATAACTAGATTGAACTAGTTCACAAACAAAAAATGGTCTCCTTGACATTTTATAATCATTTTTTGTCTTAAATCTAAATTCATCGAAATTAGTTATTCCGAAGCGGGGTCATAAAATAAGATAATCGTTAAAAAGATTTATTAAAATAAGAATAGTTTCTTTGAATTTATACTAAGTGATTAACAACAAACTTCAAAACATTAATCATTGTTGTAAATTAAAAATAGTATTATTTTTATTTTAGTTCGAAGTTAACAAAAAGTATTTTTATGCATTCATCAAAATGTGAGATATGAAATTTATTAATCAAGGTTGTTTTATTTATACTTTTATTTATCTGTACATATCTAAGATTAGGTTTTGAGCGGGAACCGTAATTTGTTGAGTTTGGATTGCTGTGACAATTCTTGATTGAGTTTTAAATACTATTTTTTTGACGAAAGTGTTGCCAAATGTCGGAGATCCTATGTCTCAAAGAAGACAACTGCTGGCGATGACAGTTACATCAGCAATCTTGTATGCTTCACAAATATGGAATATCTGTACAAAAATGGGTGTTAAGAGATTGGGACGAGGTGGATCACTTTCTGACAAAACCTTTAAGTGGACACATGCTTTCTGGGGCTAATTTGTATAAAATCCGGCCATCTTGGATAAGTGCTGGTTTTGCGAGGAAGAAGATACAATGGAACAATGGAAGAGGAACAATGCGAGGCATTATTTACCATCAATATGATAAGCTCATATTGCAATGTAAAGGTGTGTGAAGAATATTGTGTTATTTTATCATTCTAGTCTGTAATGAGATCAACTACTCCGCAGTAATGTTCTATGATCGGTTTCTAGGATCTAGGAAGAAAGGATGGGTTAGGTTGAGTTGTGACTATCTCTAATTGTCACTTTCCATTGAGGTTGCCACAACTCAACCTAACCCATCCTTTCTTCCTAGATCCTAGAAAGAAGTTGAGGTTGCCACAAGACATAATCGTGTAATAATCCAGAGATAAATGATAGTAGTAGTACTCTATATTAATCGTTTCAAGAATATCACTCGCGATAAGTTAATGTATACAAGATATAAGTTCGTATAGAACCCATATGATTAAAACTGACTTTAATCAAGCATCAACTTTCTGTTCAAATTAATAATTATTAGATTCAACCAAAACGAAGTTTTGGACATAATGATGGTAAAGGCATCAAATAAATGAAATAATGATTCACCATCATTATTTATGTACTTATCATTATTTGAACTATCCAGTGCTATAATAAAATTATAATGAATGACATGTTTTAAATAAGTAAAATAAAAGTGATGGAAAAAGCCAAAAAACTTTTTCTTAATAATCTGTTAATAAGCAAATTTGTTAAAGAGAAAAAAAAACTTGTTAAAATCCTATTAAATTTTTTTCATATCCCACCACTCTTTAAAACGTCTTTAAAAAACCGATAATTATCTGACAAACGTGAGAACAGAATAACAATACAATCCAATTAAGTTTTGTTGGAATCAAAAAAAAAAATAATAAAACGATACAAAAAATCAAAAAATTTTAAAGACCTTAACCTACAACAGTTGTCTATTATTATCGTTCTAGATAAGGTACGAACGTTTTCGATATATGTATAGGTATAAACGAACCCATTCCGGAGCGGGGACCAATGATAACACTTTGTATACTATATATATTATGGACAGTCCGATTCAAACGGTTCTGAGTTTCGTTTAAGCCGGTGGTCGAGAAACTTGCCTTAACATAACAGCGAGCAAAAATTCGTTAATTTTTTTAATGGTGATAAAAGTGAAGAGTTAAAAAAATAAAAATGTTCAATAGTTCAAGAGAAATGATTAATCGGAAACCAAATCCGAAAGAGAAAGCAAATTTTTTATCCAACATCACTTTTTTGTAAGTCAAATTATAAATTTGTTTATTCTTTTATATTTGCTACTTTTGTTAGTTATTTAAGTGGGATTTTTAAAATTTGTGTTAAGGTTATACGGAACCGTGAAATTAATTACAATAATTGCGGAACGTTTCGTAAGAATTTTGCAAAAATTATAAAGAAAATGGCATTATTTCTTTGGCATTGATTTTTTTTATTTATCTAATGCGCAACGTAGTAAATTAACATCTTTTCCTTTTAACAGTTTTATTCGCATTCATACAGGTTTTTTTCACCACAACAGGTTACTTTAAAAAAAGCGTGTGTTTAATTTTAAACCATCAAAGATTTAATAATCCCTATTTATAACAAGGATTAAAAGGAGCGGAAAGGAATGTTTTATAAACGAGGTGGATTAGCGAGGAGTAATCTAAATAAATTAAATAATTTTACGATAAACTCGGAGTAGTAAAACGTTATCTTATTTACAAATATTTTGTGTTTATAGTCCAAAAATTTACATGTTTAGTTTTTTTTTTTTAGAATAATATTAAAGTGTTTATGTGCAAGAAAGCACATCAACCTAAAGTTTTAAACTCCACCTTAGGCGTTTTAGAAAAAAATTTCTGCGTAATTACTTTAAAAAAAATTATTATATTGAAGAAGATTAATTTTAGCTAAATAATGTAATCTACCTGTAAACATCCTGTGATTAAAATCATAAGACTTGGGTTTTAAAATAGAATGACATGAAGTTTAGATATTGTAAAATAATCATTGTTCACGTTTGAAAAATGCGGTCCCCGAAAATAGATAATAATAATTGTTTTCCTGTGTGAATAAAATAATTTTTATTCGTCTTAAAATATGACGAGATAAACGGCAAATAGCAACGTGTAGCTTCAAATAAACATAAAATAAAAAGTCGGTTGCTTTTGTAATCAATTTTCATCAAAGATAAGTACAGCAGATTGTAAATTCTTTTAGGAATTTTTAAAATGTAAAAAAACACGTAACGATTAAAAACATTTAATTACATTTTTTTTATGAACTAATTTTTTTCTTCACAACAAGTTTTATGTTGGTTCAGAGTTTTGCTTGTTTAAAAAAAAAGGTGTTTACTTCTTTTGTGATTGAGAAAAATATTGGTTAAACGTGTAATAAATTTCTCATTTTTTTTATTGTTCTGTTAAAATTAATGCCATCGTAAAAGAAAATTATTTTTTGTTATACAAGAAATATTTTCATCAATAATTTGAAAATTAACCACCAATTATTATTACGATTTGAATTTATGTCGTTATTAAATTTTTTACAGCTTCCAGTAAAACTAATAAGGCAAAGATTTATGAATAAAATATTGTTTTTTTATAACTCTTCAATGTCGGTGAACAATATCTGAACAATATCTCATTCGATAGCTTAATCATTGACCAACGCGAAATTGGAAATAACCGATTCGAAATTTCTGTTGAATACCGCTAAAACACCAAGATATTGCGAAGGTACATGAAAATAATACAAAAATGACCTTGTTTAGGTGGTTATAAATCGAAAATTATGTACTCGATTATCAAGATCTATACGTCACTTGATTAGGCATAGTTTCTTCTATCGCAATAACAAAATGCCCGATTTCAATTCTATCTAAATCCAGTGCTCTACCAACAATAAGAGGTAAAACCCTCGATTTCATCTAATTTTCACCTTTTCGAATTATTCTCGATATTTATGGATTTGAGAGAAAAAGTATAAAAGAGCAATATTGTTAAAAATAAATTTTGCTACAACATTTATGCTAAAACATTCTTTCTAAAACGTTCCAAATTCCGTCCTCTGCCAACAACACGATGTAAAACCACGATTTCATCAAATTTTCACCATTTCGTATTTTCCTCGGTATTTATGCATCTGAGAGCAAAAGTATAAAAGAGCAATAATGTTAAAAATAAATTTTGCTGCAACTTTCATACTAAAAATTTTTTTCGAAAATGTTCCGAATCCCGTACAAAGATTAGAATTTTGTGACGTGTATAAACAACGAGACGAACACGGTGTTATTCTGAGAGTTGTACAAGGTGAACGAGAAAAAATTAAGATCTTGCATTTTGTAATTTCGACAGAAAAAACTATGGCAAATCGAATGGCGTATAGATCTTGATAATCGAGTGTATCGTTTACGAGTTATAATTAAAAAGGCCATTTTTGGCGTTTTAGCGGAATGAAAAACGATTTAAATCAGTCTTGTTAAAAACTCTGAAAATCCAAATAATATTTTCATCCAAAACAATAATCATTGTTCTCTCAATCACTACATCACAATAGATCTTTACAAACATAATAATACAATCGTGTGTATTATATATAGAAATATTTTCGTGTGATTATCTAATCAAATAAAAAACTCGAAACAATTTGTTGCAATTATTGATTAAATTAAATTAATTTTATTGTAATATTTAAATTAATGGTCAGTCTGGAGAATCAATTAATGATAGGTCAACGTTACCTCGTATAAAACTAAACTTCTCATCGATATTCATTATAACATCGTCACACGATCCATTTTCATTTTAACGGCGTTAAAACATGCGTGTGGTCTCCGCACGTTTAATTTTTGTTTATTGTTGTCATTATAATGATTTATCACCATAATATAAATACACGTGACCTTAACATTACTATTTGGTCAACGTGGAAAAAGAATTTGTTTGTTCAATGGGTTCTATAAATAAACTTTAAACAATAATAACTTTTATATTGTAAGAATTTCATTAATAAAAAATAAAAAGTAATCTGAACTTGATTCTATAGTTAAATTATAAAAAGATTTCTTCATAAATAGGTTCTAATTGTGTGGTCTAAAATAAACGTTCATTCATTATTTTATCGCCTCTATTTAATGAGTTGGAATTTCTAAAGAATTCGCAGATTAAATCAAAATGTTTTGTAAGGTGCTCAATTCTATTCACTTTCAGGAACTTGTAGTGCTATTTAGATAAGTGTATTTGCTCAAATCAGTCACTGTATATCTATTGAAGCGAGAACAAACAAAAATTTTTATCTTCTTTGTAGTTGGAAATGCAGGGGGATTTATTGTATTTTTGTACACACTTTTTTTGCAATTCTTAAATATATTCTGAGAAGTGTTTTCATCTATGTAATAGTTTCGTAACTTATTTTTTTTAAAGGATTATGACAAATACCTTTATAAATCATAAATGTTTTATGATATTTTTAAAACAGATGTAATCGATTTAAGAGGACTTTTCGATTTTCAAGATCATCAAGACCAATTAGCGAGCTATAAATGTGTTTATCATGAAGACCTGACTTGATAGCTAAAGGCGGATGGAGATTTGAAAACAATATTGAGACTTACCTTGAAAACATTGCTTGTCACTTAGTCGTTAAATTTATTGATCACTTTGTACTCACTAAAATCAAATATTTTCTTTTATTTCTAGTTTTACCCTTGGATTAGTTGGAAAAGGTTTAAAACAAGAAATCAAAGAAGAAAACATCTACCAAACAATTCGCAAACACGAATCAGGAAGATTAGCCGATAACTTAGAACACGAATGGATTAAAGAACAATCAGAAGATGATCCTTCTTTATTTAGGACATTAAGAAAAGCATTTGGAAAAGAATTTTTAATTTACTGTTGCATCCAAATCCTCTTTAAAACACCCACAACGTAAGTAATATAAGCTAATAATAATAAAAAAATAATTCGTTTCTATTTTTAGAATTCTTCGTACAATTTCGTTAAGAGAAATCTTAGATACGTTCGATAAAAAACGTACGGAATCAGAAACAGCGCTTTATTATGGAACGGCATTTATTTTGTGCACAATTTTTTTAACAATATACACCCACACCTACTTATTGTGTATGCAAGAAATTGCGATGAAAATCAGAGTGTCTTTATGTTCGCTGATCTACCGGAAATGCATTCGATTGAAGTCGTCAACAATAGGGGAGTTTACAATAGGTAATCTGGTGACCTTAGTATCGAAAGACGTGAGGGAATTCGAAAATTTCGTCATCACCTTTCAAGATTCAATTGTCGGCGTCATACACATTTTCGTTTTTGTTTATCTGATGTACATACACGTTGGAGTTGCTTCTCTAATCGCAGTCGGTTGTATTTTAATGCCATTTCCTTTGCAAGGTGAGATTTCCAACTTTTCAATCAACTTGTTTCTTATAAAAATAGTAAATAGTTTGGTTGAGCAGGATTGCCACGATGAGGAGATTAAGATCGGCCATTCAAACCGATAAAAGACTTAAAATTGTCGAAGAAGTTTTATCATCTATAAGAATGATTAAAATGTACACTTGGGAAAGCTATTTTATAAAGAAAATGAACGAATTTCGAAGGTAAATTAAAAAAAAGTCTCAAAAAATTAATTTAATCAATTTTTAATTTTTAGAAACGAAATTTTCAATTTACGAATAATATTTTATTTAAGAAATCTCATAATGCATATAAGTCTTGTAGCTGTTCGAATAGGTGTATTCACATCAATTTTGTATTACACCAGAAAAAGTGCTTTAGTAATCCCGGCAAATATTTATCTCATCTTAAGTTGTATGCATACAATTCGAATGGTTACTGCCGTTGATTTCCCAAAACTTTTATATTCATGGGCTGAAATAGCTGCGTCAATGAAACGAATTCAAAATCTCCTTATTTCCGATGATGCAAGTTTGTATTTAACAAACGAAGATGTCCCTCAAATGAATGCAAACGATCCCTCAATTGAAATTAACGCGACAATCTCCGTGAAAGATAATACATCATTTTTAAAAGCCGATTTAAAGTTAGAAAAAAAATTGATTGCTTTAACCGGTCCTTTAGGAAGTGGAACAACATTGTTTATGAAAACTTTACAAGGTGATTTACCTTATAAAGGTGACATAAAAATTAATGGTACATTATCTTACGCCGCCCAAGAACCTTGGTTATATCCAGGAACAATTAAAGATAACATTTTGTTTGGAAAAACGTTTTCAAAAGAGCGATATCATAAAATCTTAAAAATTTGTGCTTTAGAAAAAGATATTCACAATTTTCCCAATGGAGATGAAACTTTCGTAAACGATGATGGAATTTGTTTAAGCAGAGGCCAACAAGGAAGAATAAATTTAGCGCGGGCGTTGTACAAAGAGGCAGATATTTATTTATTAGATAATTGTTTATCTTCATTAGATACAAACATAAAAAATCATATTTTTGAAAATTGTATGAAATCATTTTTAAAAGATAAACTTTGTATATATTCAACAAATCGCGATACTTATTTTAAACAAGCCGATGTTATTTTAACAATACGAGATGGTCAAGTTGAAATCGTTGATAATCACGAAAAAATCAAGACGATTCTCTTAGACAAACACGACGATATCGATGAAGATTATTCGGGAATAATCTATAAAAGCGGTTTAGTTGAGGCGGATGAAAAAACGAAATTAATCGATCAAACTCAAAATAATATGTATCACGAAGAAAATAAATTGGGAAAAGTACCATTTAAAGTTTACGGAGAATATTTTAAAAGATGTGGATATTTCCACATCGTTTTATTATTACTCATTTATATTATTTATCAAGGAGGTTCGTCATTCTTTGAAAAATTTATCCAACAATGGGCCGACCTTCAAGGAATGTCTAATCAAATCACCAATGCGACAAATGCTACTATTGTACGACGAATTCAAATTGAACAGGCCAAAATGCCCAGAATTTTCGGAGTTACCATGGCTGCTATTACAATAGCTTATTTATTAAAAACTTACCTATTCTTTTACATGACCGCAAAGACATCGAAAAAATTACATAAAATGACTTTTACGAATGTTATTCATGCACCAATTGCATTTTTTGACGAACATTTAGTTGGAAATATCATGAATCGATTTTCAAAAGATGTTGGAACAATCGATGAGTATATCCCATTTATCACAGATTCACTTTTACAGGTAAGATTATTTTAACCAATATATTATTTTATTAAATTAATTTTTTTTTAGTACATTTTCTTATGTCTTGGGGCTTTAGTCTTGATTGGATTTCATAGTTTATTGATTTTAATTTTAAGTGTTGTCATGATTTGTATAATATGGATAATAAGATTTATATACATGCCGATTTGTAGAAGTTTAAAAAGATTGGAAGCAGCAAGTAAGTATTTATTTCATTAAATCTTATCTAAGAGAGAGATCTTAGAGTCATAAACTCAATACTCAATATCTGACACACTTTATTTTGTGGATTAGAATAAGTTTTTGACTTAAAAATCGCTTATTGATCACTTTTACTTTCTATATTCCAGAACATAACCTTGAATCAAAGCTCAGAGCAGCAACTGTGAAGAAGGTGCACGCTAAATCAGAGAATATGGACGAAATTAATCATGAGTCGTTCAAAATTCTTGAATGATAACCTTTAGTTTTTGAGTGAATACAAATTTGGGCATGAATGATGAGAACTTCCCACAAGTTGTTAATCTTGAGCTAACTCAAGTTCATTATCTGTTGTCATTAACCTGTGCCATAATAACAGAAATGTAGTAGATTCATAATTAATTATTACTGCGAATTCTAGAACCACAAACTTGTGATTTTAAGGCTACTCAAGATCAAAAACTTTAAATTTTTACTTATAAGATTCTTTTAAAGTCTTTTAAATCATTTAACGTTTTTGAATCTGATTCTTAATAACAACGATGCTAAATTTTTATTGGTTCTTTCTTGGCGCTTCAAGTTCATGCATTTTAGAAATGCTTAGTTTTGTGTCTAAGTCTAAGCTTAGTCTAAGAGACTGTCTCTTGGCTGACATTACAGTGTAATAGTCTTGTAAAATCAAGTGCTATGTTTGCAAAGGATCCTTTTTCTCGTTTGTACACTACGTGAATTTTTCTTTGGATGCTGTGTTTATGCACCATCTTACTCATCCATCTCCCTTAAAAAAGTGATAATTTTTAGCATTCACGTCTTTTCTTACTTCTTGATTTGCGAGTTTTTGGCAATCCTGTTTCAACATTTCCCAAAAGGAAGTGAGTTTTTCGTTCAAAAGTTTAAAACCACAATATTCTCTGCATATTTCTTTTCGTTCCTCTTCGTCAAATTTATTTCAACACCACAACGCAAAGTATTGAGACATAAATTTAAATTTGTAAGGATATAAAAGTTTATAATTACTTCATAAATCTTATTTTTTACAGCAAGAAGTCCAGTTATCGGTTTATTAAGAACAAGTTTAGAAGGAGTTAACACAATAAGAAGCAGTGGTATGACCAGAAAACTTCGCGAAGAATTCGATAAACATCAAAATCTGCATACTTCAGCTGATTATACCTACTTAACAGTAAACAGAGCTTTATGTTTCTGCGTCGAGTTCATCTTATCTTTGTATTTAGCTGGAGTTGTTTTCATTTGTATTTTTTATTTAAACGGTAAGAACCTAAAACACGTTATTTGGGTTGCCTATCTCCCCACATTTTCTAATTTTATTAAGAAAATATAAATTTTTGAATCATTTTTAGGATCAACCGCAGGAAAAGTTGGATTAATCTTAACTCAAGCTTACAGTATAAGTAAATTTCTTCAATCTGTAATAAGATCGTTTACGGATTTAGAAACACAAATGACCTCAGTTGAGAGAGTCTTGGAATACAGAGATATAAAAACGGAAAGTACCTCGGGAAAATCTTACGATAATTGGCCGAGTACGGGAAAAATCGAGTACAAAAAAGTGAATTTAAGATACCCAAAAACAAATCAACTAGTTCTTAAAAATCTTACGTTTTCAATCGCCCCGAAAGAAAGAGTTTGTCTTATCGGGAGAACAGGATCCGGAAAAACATCAATGATGTCCACTTTGTTTAGGTTATACGAAACGGAAACCGGAAAAATTTATCTAGATGATACGGATACAACAGAAATGAATTTGAAAACATTGAGAAGTGGGATATCGATAATTCCTCAAAATCCAATTTTGTTCACCGGCGATTTACGATCGAATTTAGATCCAAACAATAAATATCCAGATAACGTTTTATGGCAGGCGTTAAATGAGGTTAATTTGAAGACAATGTGTTCGGAAACTATAACTTTAGACACAAAGATAAACGAAAATGGAAAAACTTTCAGCGCCGGACAAAAACAATTAATTTGTTTAGCTAGAGCTTTAATAAAGCGAAATAAAATTTTAATTTTGGATGAGGCAACATCTTATTTGGACAACGATACCACAGATGTCATTGATAAATTAATCAACACCAAATTCTCAGATTGCACCATCATTACGATTCTTCACAGATTAAAGACTGTATTAAATTATGATAAAGTTATGATACTCAAGGATGGCGATGTTATCGAATTTGATAGTCCAAATGTTTTATTAAAAGATAAGGGCTCGGTATTTTATAATATTATGGCTAATGAGGATTAATTTTTTGAGTACCTGATAAGATCTTTTTGTATATAATAGTTTGTTATAAGTTAATTTTATATATTTTTTAAAACATTTTAAGTTCTTAATAATCTCTACTTAATGTGTTAACAAAAAAATAATTTTATGTGAAAAATGCTATGTTAAGAATTTTTTTTATTAAATAAAACTTTAACAATCCTATTGTGTTATAATTTCACAATAATGTATTGTTCTTTAATTTAAAGGAACATTAATATAATTTATTTCGTGGTTATTTAAATTTTAAAATTAATTTTATGTATTCTTTTAATGATGTTGATTTCAAATAATTTTTCTTAAATTTCTATCAAGTATAGTAAAACCTTGTTAGAACGGACAAAACATTTTTAAGTCATACTATTAATATTATCTATTTAATATATCAGTATGTTTAAATATAAATGTTAGCGCTTATAGATATAATCAAATTCGGGGTATTCCCCAAAATGCTGTATTCCATGTTCATAGTAGCGTTGCCAACCTTACCGATTTTTCGATACATTTACCGATTGATATAGAAGATAGTCAATTTTCATATTTTCCTACTTTTCTCGATATCATGCATCTGCGAGTAAAAATGTAAGAGAGCAATACTGTTAAGAGTAAAATTTGCTACAACTTTCGTTGCAAAAGTTTTTTTGTAATATGCTCCTAGAACCTACAGCTAAAACTAGAAATCCGAATGTTTTTAGTTATAGATCTAGTTTAGTTCTAACAGTTAGTAGAAAGTTTCGTAGAAGGAATATTATTATAATTTATTAAGTAGTTATTCATATTTTAAAATTAATTTTATACACCTCAAGATCTCATCCTGCTTAATTTCAAATACTTTAAGTTATCTCAAATTTTTATCAAGTACTCAAATCTCTATAATATTAATCATCCTTATTTTATCTATTAAACAATATTTTGTAATATTTGACCAATCAATGTTTGTTAAACTATTTTTTCTCTTTAAAATATTTATAAATATTTATAAACCCAAGTTTATATTGATGAATTCCCAAAAAATTTCCACTGACTAAATTTACCATTAAAGTCCCTTTATCTTTTTTAAAATCTACTAATCTTGTGCTACCTCTCTTCAAACAATCTACCTGTCTGGTTCGGTTTCAGCCTCGGGTATAAAATAAATCAATACCTTGAGGGGAATCAGCTGAGTTTCTGGCAACCGAATGTAGCTGCTACATTCTACATTCACGATTTCATTCAGTGTCAGCGCTTAGTGAACGTCCTACTTTAGGACGATAAAGTTCACTTCGCTGCGTTAGCAGCAAATAATCGCTTTTATCAATTAAAATCGCATTAAAATTAATTCAAGTCAATTTTTGGCCTTATTCTCTTTAAATTTTTAATCCCCTTTTACTCAAAAGTGGAGTGTTAGTGACAGTCAATTAAATTTTGGAATTAAACAAGAAATTGGAAATAAGAAATGGATGCTGAAGAAGAAATTAAAAGAAAACCAAATCCGCGTGCTAAAGCTAGTTGGATATCTGCTTTAACTTTTTTGTAAGTTACTTTCTTTTTTACTATTTTTTTTATGTAATTATAAATAATGTTCATCACGAAGTGTGTCAAGATCGTGTGGTAATTCCCCGTAATTTTCTATGGGAGATTTTTTTATTGAAATTTATTTCATAGAAACATATTTTAATTAAGATTAACAATGAAGTATTGATTGTGGAAAAACCCCAACCGCTTTGAAATTTGTTCAGCGCACAACGAACAGCTGATGAAAACTAAAAATAAAAATACACTATCTAAAAATATCTTTCTTTTCAATTTCTTTTTTTAATTTTTATTATTTATTTAAACGAATAAAAACTCATTTTAATTACTTTGCAAATAGCTCAACGAGGTAATTGTGCGAATGGAATTCTAATTCAACTTCATTATCTTTTATCGAGTTTATTTTTCCTGGAAGTAATTATATAGAAATGGTAGTTAACCCATATTTTGCATTATTGCACCATAATTAAATTTCATTCTTAAAACTGATGTAAATTGATCATCAATAATAATTCTTAGTATAATTTATATCTAATAATTTGTTATTAAATTACAAGTATACAAAATTATAATTTTGTATTAAACAATGTCATCTGAACGGTCAATTTTTCAACCTGTGAAAGTAATTTGTTTATCTACTGATTCCAACAACAATACAGTAAATAATTCCTCTCTGGCGAGAACTTCATCATCTTAAAATTAGACCTGGAAGCATCATTTCACTAAAACACACCATGAAGCAACTCCTTGTTGGTTGCATGGACTATGTATGAACTGTCACATTGACAATTCAAGAGTCAATTTGACGTTTGGGAAATGTCATTTAGAAATTACAATTATAATATTTCAATATCAATATCAACAAAACGGAATTTTTTAAAGACTTTTATTTCCGGTCATTCCCGTTATCAATTCAAACACGTGTCAATGCCAAATAATAATCTCAAAGTTCTCTGATTGCATCGAATTGCATTAGAACGTGCAAAAATTGCAATGTTTGTTGACCTCATTTCTACAAATTCAAGCGTTGCCGAGCAATTTGTATTTTTCATCTAAATTATATTTAAAATAAATCGATTCACTTTTTGGTTATATTTATTAATCTAAATTTGGTTTGTATTGATGAAATGTATTCGACCTTTCTGGTCTTCCTAAAAATAATTACGGAAAATTCGGGATCTGTTTTTCCAATAAATGGAAAACTGGTTCAAACTGGTTCTGAGCGGTTGTAGAAAGCTTTAAAAGTACGTTGTTAAAAATAACGAGAAAAAGTAAATTAAGCTGACTTTCAAAATCCAAAAAAAGATTTTTTTTAAATGTCTTTGTTTAAATTCTAAATTTGAATTTGTTTATTTTGTCTAGGAGTTAATTTTAAACATCATTTAAGTTAAATGAGAAAATTTTCTTTGCAATTTTTTTTGCTTTATGCGTTAAATGTAGACAGGTAGTATGTAGACTCGAATTTTACGATAATGTTAAACCGATAAAGTCTCAAGGTCTCAACACTTGATGATTTCATCATGTTTTCTATCGTAATTTTCTCCTTACAACACTTTGATTAGTTCTATTGGCATTTAGAAAATTATTCCGTAAAATCCCTTTGTTTTTCAAATCGATTTCGATTAAGAAAGAATAAAGTTCAAAATGATTCAACCATAAAGAAATGCACATTATTTTAAAATCTTTCCACATCATTTTAAATCATCACTTTTGGTTTGCGGTTAGATTATATTAAATTCCATTAAATTTCTTTATTATGACGAATTAATAATTATATTAAATATATTTAGAGAAAAGATAAAGAAATTATTGGAGAAAATGAAGAAGAATGTATCAGTTATAAGATTTATTTTGTAAAAAAACCAAAAATTAATAAAAGTCAATAAATGACGGATTTAAAAAAAAAATATTTTTTAGGTACGTTTTACCCATTTTCAAAAAGGCTTATAAAAGAGGTTTAACAGAAAATGATCTCTACGAACCACTCGATGAACATAGATCTGGTAATTTAGGAGATACTATAGAAAAAATATGGAGGAAAGAACACAGAAAACACAAAAAATCTGCGTTACATCGAGCATTGTTTCGAATGTTTGGATGGGAATTTGCACTTTTAGGACTTGTGAAACTATTTCACGAAATGATTTTAATGTAAGACGAAAATAACTTTAATCCTCTTATTATTTATAACCTTATTATAACAATTAAAGTCTCAAGGATTTGTTAATTACACAATTATTTTTTTTTTTTATTTTTTAGAACAATATTTCCTATAGCAATTGGAAAAGTGGTAGCTCATTTCAACGTAGATAGTCAAGTAAGCCTCGAAGAAGCTTATGTTTATACAGGTTTAATAATCCTATCATTTTTAACGGAATGTTTCCTTGGTCATCCAAGTATGATGGCTTTGATGCATATATCCATGAAATTAAGAGTCTCATGTAGCGCGATGATCTACAGGAAAACTTTAAAATTAACAAGAACCTCATTGGGACAAACCACAGTGGGCCAATTAGTTAATCTTTTATCAAACGACGTTAGCAAATTCGACCAAGGTTTTGTTTTGGCACATTTCGCTTGGATTGGACCAATTCAAACTGCAGTTGGTACTTATATGGTTTATAGAGAGATTGGAATTGCAGCTTTTGGAGGAATTGCATTTTTAATATTTTTTGTACCAATGCAAAGTAAGTAAAAATATCCCTAACAAATTTTACCTTTGTTTTTCCACCTATTTTACAATCCGATATCTTCGTTGTCTTTAGAGATAGCGAAATATTAAATACACCAGAAGAAACCGTAATTTTTTCTTGATCTAAAACCTTTGTCAGTGTAAACGAACACCCTTTGAGCTATCTAAATCCGGGTTTTGTTTGGTCAATATCTATAGGATTCGGTCAAAAAGCAGGAATAATAACCAACCCTACACTTAGTTTGACCTTTCTTAGTACAACTCTTTTATTTGGGTTGGAACAGAAAACTAAAGGAGTATCAATCATAGAGGAAATTTTCTGCTCCATGCAGTGGTATATAAATTTAGTGGATCGCATGGTTGCACAAGATAATGTTAAGGATAGTTATGATGCTGTAATCATTTACTTACGGTAATTATACGCAGTTTTTGGGGGGTAAATGCTTATGCAACTATGCCATCTACTAAAGTTATATACCACTACATAGGGCGGAAAATTTCCTACAAATCCTATATAGGCACAGAGTTTTATCCGTAGCATATAAGAAAGTTATGACACCGTAAACATTTACATACGGTAATTATACACGGTTTTTGCAATTTTTGGGAGGGAAATGCTTATGCAACTATGCAATCTACTAAAGTTATATACCACTGCATAGAGCGGAAAATTTCCTATAAATTCTATATGATCACGGAGTTTTGTCCGTATCATATAAAAAAGTTATTATCTCTAAAGTGATGACAATAAGAAATGGTTTTAAAATCTCGTAATCGATTTTTATTATGCACCAATACAATTAGCAAAAAATTTCCTATATGATCAATCCTGCTTTTTTGTTCCTACCAAATAAAAGAGTTTTATTGAGAAAGCTTAATCTATCAATTCTATGTATAGGGTTGTTTATTAGTCATGCTTTTTGGCCTACGCTGATAGATATTGATCGTACAAAATCGGTTTTAGATGAAGCTATCTCTAAAGACAACGAAAATATCGGCTTGCAAAATAAATAAAAGTTGTCGCAACATTTATTTTTTATTTCAAATTTGATATATCAATATTCATTTTCCTCCACAGTATATTTAGGAAAGAAAACATCAGATTTAAGATTAAAAACGGCATTAAGGACTGACGAAAGAGTGCGTTTAATGAATGAGATAATATCAGGAATTCAAGTTATTAAAATGTATACGTGGGAAAAACCATTTGCAAAATTGATATCGTTAGCGAGAAAAACTGAGATAAGTGCGATACGAAAACATTCTTATCTATTGGGCGTCATGTTCTCTTTCGAACAATTTATTACAAGAACTTCCATGTTTATAAGCATTTTAATCTACATATCATTAGGATATGAAATAACGGCTGAAAAAGTTTTTGCTGTAACAGCCGTTTATAACGTAATGAGACCATTGATAACGATGATTTTTACAATTAGTATATCTTCGTTAGCCGAGGTTCATATTTCATTGCAAAGAATTAATAAATTTTTATGTTACGAAGAATTACCAGATGGAAAATTATCTTTAAACGGAAATTCGGTTTTAAATGGAACAAAACAACCAGTTAAATTCGAAGCACCTTTCTTAAAAATGGAAAATGTTAACGCAAAATGGCAAGCTGATGCTAAAGAGAATACCTTAAAAAATATCGATTTAAACATAATTGATGACCGATTAGTATCTGTGATAGGACCTGTTGGAAGTGGAAAAACGAGCATACTTAATGTGATACTTAAAGAATTACCTATCGATAGTGGAATTTTAAGCATAAATGGAAAAATTTCTTTTGCATCTCAAGAACCATGGTTATTTTCGGGAAGTGTTCGCCAAAACATTTTATTTGGAAACCCATACGAAGAAGAACGTTACCTAGAAGTAATCAAAGTATGTGCCTTAGAATCTGACTTAATAATTTTACCTTACGGTGATCGTACAATGGTTGGTGAAAAAGGAAAAGCTTTAAGTGGTGGTCAAAAAGCTCGAGTTAATTTAGCACGTTGCATTTACAAAGATGCTGATATCTATTTATTAGATGATCCATTATCAGCTGTTGATGCAAAAGTTGGCAAACAACTTTACGAAGAATGTGTTAAAAAATATTTAAAGGGAAAAATACGAATTTTAGTAACCCATCAATTACAATATTTAAACAGCGCCGATCATATTGTAATATTAAACGATGGTCGAATTGAAAAACAAGGTACTTACAAAGAATTAAAAAACAGTGGATCTGATTTTGCTAATTTACTGAAAGAATTTAATAGTGAAGATAACGAAATTGTTCGTCAAAGACAAATGTCTGAATCTGAATTAGTTGAATTAGAACAAGAAGGTCCTGATATTGATAAAGAATTTATGGAAAGTGGTAAAGTTAAAATGAGCGTTTATGGTACTTATTTTAAATACGGCGGAAATATATTTACAATAACCTTCGTAATCCTTTTATTTATCGCTTCGCAAACAGTCGGCAATGGTGTTGATTATTTCGTTAAATACTGGGTTAATTTAGAACAAGATCGAGCGGTACGAAATGAAACTATGGCAATGAATACCGAACAAATAATCTACGTTTATTCAATATTAATAATCGCATTAATCATCTTGGCCGTTTGGCATTGTTTATATTTTTTCTTATTTTTAATGAAAGCTTCGATTAAAATCCATGACACAACTTTCGTAAAAGTCTCACAAGCTGTAATGAAATTTTTCAACACAAATTCATCAGGAAGAATCCTAAATCGATTTGCAAGAGATTTAGGAATCATCGACGAATACATCCCATTAGTACTTTTCGATGTATTAGAAGTTGCTTTATTATTATTCGGTGCCTTAGCTTTATCAATTATCGTCGATAAACTACTGGCTGTGCCTTCACTTATATTACTAGCAATTTTCCACTTTATGAGGGTAATCTTCTTAAGAACAAGTCGATCTGTTAAGAGATTAGAAGCTGTTTGTATGTATTTTTTAAATTAATTTATAATTAACATTAATTTTATTTCTTCATAGATCGTAGCCCAATTTTTGGACAAATAACCGCGTCAATGAATGGTTTAAGTACAATTCGAGCTTTCAACGCTCAAGGAATTTTAACTAAAGAATTTGATCGTTATCAAGACCAACACAGTTCAGCTTGGTTCTTATTTCTTGCTTCTACAAGATGTTTTGGGTTTTGGTTAGAAATTGTTTGTGTCATTTTTATTGCTGTGGTTATTGTTGTCTTATTAACTTTAAATAGAGGTAAGTTAATTTTTAATAATTCAGAGTGTTTTTAAATTGAAGCGCCAAAAAGAAAGGTTGCTATTGAACAGTTTTAAGCAAAAATTACACTAGGAAAATTCGAGATGTTGCCGGCCGCCTAAATACATTCGGGTTTAGCCGCACGTCTTTCAGTATGGCTAAACCTGCATGATTCTAGTTCGATGTCTTGTGTTAGTTGTAGTGAACTAAAAATATTCTAGACGCTAGTCTTCAGACGCACAGCTAAACCCGATACTTTCTAGTTCTAAGTCTAACATTTAAACAATGTTCATTTAACAGCTAAATTTTGATCCATATTTGAATCAGCTTATCTTATCCTATCTTGTTTTGGCTTTTAGCCACCAATCAAGATCAGATATATCACAAAGATGGATCAAAATCATCAAAAAAATTGTCTAAAAGAAAATAATTTGCTATAATTTTATCTAGTAACTTAATAATTTTTAGTAACCCACGGTGGAGATATTGGTTTAGTAATAACTCAATACATGGGCCTAATGGGAGCTTTACAATGGGGAATGAGACAATGGACAGAACTTGAAAATCAAATGACTTCCGTCGAACGAATTTTAGAATACACTAAATTAGAAAGTGAACCGATTCGTGATGGGTCCGAAAAACCCCAATCAAACGATTGGCCTGAAAATGGAAAAGTTGAATTTCAACATTTATCTTTAAGATATAACCCCAATGAAGAAAATGTATTAAAAAATTTAAATTTTACTATAGAAGCTGGTGAAAAAGTAGGGATTGTTGGAAGAACCGGTGCTGGAAAATCGTCGATTATCACATCATTATTCCAATTGTATGAAATTCAGGGAACGATTGTAATCGACGGTGTTGATACGACGAAAATTCCTTTGGAATTGTTGAGATCAAAAATTTCTATTATTCCCCAAGAACCTGTGTTATTTTCGGGGACGATGAGAAAAAATTTAGATCCGTTTGATGAATATCCCGATAACATTTTATGGAATGCGTTGGAACAAACTGAATTAAAGGAGGTTATATCAGAATTACCGGCGGGTTTGAGTAGTAATGTTACAGAAGGTGGAACCAATTTTAGTGTTGGGCAAAGACAGTTAGTTTGCTTGGCAAGAGCTATTATAAGAAATAATAAGATTTTAGTTCTTGATGAAGCAACGGCGAATGTTGATCCGCACACAGATGCCTTAATCCAAAAAACTATTCGCAAAGAATTTTCAAATTGTACCGTTTTAACTATAGCCCATAGATTACATACGGTGATGGATTCAGATAAAATTCTTGTAATGAGTGCTGGGAATTTAGTTGAATACGATCATCCATATTTACTTTTACAAAATCCTAATGGGTATTTAACCCATATGGTTGAGACTACTGGTAAAACTACTGCCAATAATTTAAGAACAATTGCACAAAACGTAAGATAACAATTTTTTTTTGTTTATAAATTAATTTATATTTTATTATTTTTGTTGCAGAGTTATGAAGAATTGAAGAATAAATAAATGGAAATATTAGAATTTTATGAATTTTTGTCCAAGTAACTAATCAGTATTTTTTTTATTATTTTATCTTTTTCGTTCTTTTTATACATCCAAACTTTTTTTTTATTGTGATACTGAAATTAGTATTATGTATTTAGTTGTTAAACAAATATATTTATACTTCTGCATGTTACGTTTTATTCACCAATCAAATTTCAGGAAATTTTAACATCGTAAATTTATGTAATTGACCGATAAGTGTAACAAAAATATTAAGTGGTTGAGTTTTTTGATACAACATTGCGAAATATTTCGTTATCTATTTATGTGGCATTTATTATTTATTTTACTATAACCACTCAACAATACCGTATAAATGAAAGAATCTTTCATCACTTCATTTAGTAGGCGACCTCGTAATCGCGTTGTTGCTCAAAAAAAATATTAAGTAATTAAGTATCAATTGCGCGAAGCGTATTAATTTCCTTAAACACTATTGTGTAACACTACTTATTGTTAGTACAAAGTAACGTAGAAATAATATCTGATTAACGCATTAAAATTTTCTGTGATATTTTGTGAGAAAATAATATAATATAACGATGACTGTTCAAAAACACGAATCTCGGTAAGTTTAAGAAAACAATTAAAATAAAACCACTTATCTTATTAGTTAAATAATAAAATGAGAGAGATGTTATAAATTTACAGTTACGCAAAATAGAAATTCATTATGGCATTGAACCAAACGACTTTGGCTCGTTTGTTTTAATGTTATTTATAGATTTCTTTTCATTAACAAACCACAACGAAACATTATCCGACGTATTTTGATGTTTGTTATCGTCGTATCGATTTATTTACCCAATAAAACAATGGTTTGTTGAATTTATCCGCATCAGAATTTATCTAAATTATAAAATATAATTTTTATAAGTTAAAAAACGTTGTATAAGGCTTAACTTTAATGTTAACGTTCAGTTTGCATGTTATATCTGAACGAGTATCGTTTATAACGGGGATTTTTCATTTTATTTTTTTGTTAAAGGTGACTTACATTGCACAAAGAATTCCTAGAGTCTATTCTAGGAATTTTATATTCAAAAAAGGAGTAAATAATAAAATTCTAGTTGGGGTTTTTCCTTTCTACAATATTGAGTGTAATTTATTTTGTTAAAAATAAGGTATTTCAAAAAATATATTTTTTTTAAATTAATTAAAACTAATTTTAACAATTAATTTTATCGTAAATCATATGCTTTATTAATCAATATTAACATAACTAATTTTTTTTATGTATACTAACAGTTTAATGCACAAATTTTAATAAATATACTCAAGCTTTTTTATTTAAATAAAATAGACTATCTCAGTCGTCGAGGCAAAATAATTTTGGTTTCTTAATTCTCTTGAAAAATAATTAAACGTTTGATGCACTATAACTTTTTAATAAAATTATCTTTTCTAATGCGATGTTAACAATAAACCGACATTGAAAAAGTCTGGCGGAGTGAGCTGACGAGTGAAAGTGTTATCGAGTTTTCGATGTGAAATATGTGATAAAACTCGTGCTATTTTTGTTGAATTGTTCTGGAAAAATTATTATTTACATTTTCCTGAATGTAGTTCATTTTCATCTGCAACTTTTTTTATGAAAATTAAAACATAAAATCTGTGCTGATGCACAAGTTCGAACCTCTAAGGAACGTCTAAAAACAAACTGCCTTTTGTAAATTCATCAGATATTAACAAAACTCAAAGAAATATATAAATGTAAAGTAATACTCTTACTCATACTGCACCAACTCCTCACATATATCAGTAATACATACAGCAACACAACCCAGTTCTAGTAGCCAGGTAATTTTTCAATACAACTTTTAGTGATTCTTTACTACTAATGTTGTGCTTCCCTATAGCTTTTTCTAAATAATCCCACATATGTTCAGTAGGAATCATGTCAGGCTCTCTTTAGCGGAGAACGTAGTAATAGTAATCTTATGCGAGAAATTTCATCAACTCATGATGTCTACAAACGATTTAATTATGCATATTTCAAAGATAGAGAACCTTGTTGGAGAAATTAACAAAATAGAGATAACAAGTATAGACTAAAACGTAAGAACAGATGTTTCAGACATCCTTGTCTCTAGATGAAATTAGGAAATCTATCATAAAGACTAATCGGTGAAGAGCCAACCTCAATAGTTCAGAAAGCGTAGAATACGTAACAATAATAATCAAGAATTCAGGCAAAATTTTACAAACGAAACTAAATCTTGCAATAAACACGAAAACACAAAAAGAATTATTACAGCTTTTGCTTCAGATGTACACTTATTCTATCCAATATTGATGTTGGTCTCTAGCGTCGTTTAATATATCTCTTGCCACCTTTCACCATTATCCGTTTCACCTTTTAATAGAGCCAGTTAAATACGTTGAACTACATAGTTTCTGCCATGTTTCCATGTCCTTGGTCTTTCGTAATATCTTCCCTATCTACGCTAAGTGTCGTCTCTGAAATTTTAGGATTACGACAGCTGATTAAGTTGTCTCTAAGAAATCCCTCCATCTTACAACAGCATTTCTCTCATGATTCAATACCGTTCCTGGAATACTTCACTATCATTCTTTCCCACTCTTGATATCATCTCTGACATCCTTCAGTATTGATCTTGCTATCTCTCAACTTCCTTAAATGTTATCTTCACTATCTGCGTTGAGCTTCATCATCGCTGAGATATCGCTCATGCTTCAACATCCCTATCTACTTTTAATATTGCCTCTGACATTGTACGGTTCTTCAATTAAAACAGCAGATTAAGTGGTTTCTACGAAATTTCTTGCCATCCTACAACAACATACATCAAACATCCTTCAATATCGGTTTTGCTATCTCTCAACGTCATCAAATCTGTCAACTTTAATATCAGTTAGATGAGTAGAGTATATCGTCTCTGAAATATTTCTCCTCCGGTCCTGACTGGCATCTGTCATAAGTTAACATGGTCAGTAAGGCGAGTTGAAGCATTTCGTCTCTGATATCTTTGTACACTTCATGACATCTTTTCGCTCATTTTTAACATCGCATTCTTGATATTTTTCATTATTATCAGTAATATTGCCAGTAAAACATTTGACATTCATAGACATAAGAGCAATAAATATGTCTATAGAGGAACAAAAGGAACAGCATCATAAGTTGTGAAGTATAAAATGTTATCCAAGTATTATTCAACCATTTAGTTGAGAATGCCATTTATGTATTAACTCGCCGACATAGTGCTTAAACATGTTCCAACTCAACTCTGCATTCGGTCACAAATAGTTTTCTTATCATGGATAGTAATTAGATATTTACTGAAACTTAATTGGTTATATGAGGTATTTGTTGAGACTACAGTTAAAAAATGTTCTCAAAAAGTAGATGTTTTTAGTTTACATTATCAAATTCCAATTCGTTCTAAATCTGATTTTAAAAATAATTAAAAAAATATTAAATTCGTAAATTTATTAAAATTAAATAACACCATTAATTTTTTTTTAATTTACACTAATTATTAATAATCATTAATCCCAGTCGTCTTATTTCTAATTTAACAAACAACTTGTTTTTCCAATTAATTTCCTTTGACAATGACAAAGTGATGCACATTTCGAATCGTTCAAACTTGTCACCCAAATGAATTCGTTAAGAAATTGTTTTCAATATTTTTTTAGGCTTTTAATACCCGAGAAACAGGCCATGCATCCACCACCGAGTAAAGAGAAACCAAAGAATCCCAGAGAAGATGCCAATCCACTCTCTATAATTACATTTGCGTAATTAATTTCTTAATTAAAAAATTTTTTAAAAATTTATTTTTAATTTTTTTATTTTAGGTGGTTTGTTCCAACTTTTATAAAAGGCTTTAAAAAAACTTTAGACGAAGACGATCTCTTTGCAACCCTTCCAGAACACGAGTCGGGCTTTTTAGGTGATAAACTTGAAGAAGCATGGATGAAAGAAGTAAAGAAGACGAAACCGTCGTTTGGAATGACTTTATTTCGAGTTTTTGGACCGAAATTGATGTGTTACGGAATAATAACTGTTATAAATGAGCTAGTTTTAAAGTAATTTATATCAAAAAATTTTTTTCTATTTCTATTTTAATTTTATTAATTTTTTAGAGTAACTCAAACTTTAGCTTTAGGAAGACTTATACATTATTACACCCCCGGACAAACAGATATAAACGAAAGTAAAGCTTACATGTACGCTGGAACGATAATTTGTTGTTCATTTTTAAACGTAATGTTTGGTCATAATTACATGCTTGGATTACAACACTTGGGGATGAAAATGAGGGTGGCTTGTTGCTCGTTGATTTATCGAAAGGCATTGAAAATGAGCAAAGTTGCTTTGGCGGATACAACAACGGGTCAAATGATAAATTTACTTTCAAACGATGTAAACAGATTCGATTATGCGATTATTAATGTCCACAATTTATGGGTTGGACCTATTCAAATGTGTTTAATAATGTATTTAGTTTATTATCACGTTGGATGGACTGGAATTATTGGAATTTGCTTCATTATTTTATTTTTACCCTTACAAAGTAAGTAGTTAACACCATTTAAATGTTTATATCTTCTGATTTTTATTATTAGTATATTTGGGAAAAAGAACTTCAGTTCTACGTTTAAGAGTAGCTATTAAAACTGATGAAAGAGTAAGATTAATGAACGAAATTATAACAGGAATGCAAGTTATTAAAATGTACGCTTGGGAGAAGCCGTTTGCGATGTTAGTGGCTTTAGTAAGGCGTTTGGAAATAGCTGAAATCAAAAGAACTTCGTATATAAAAGGAACGATATTATCGTTTACCAACTTCATGGGAAGTTTAGCACTTTTCTTAAGCATTTTTACTTACACTTTAAGTGGAGGTATTGTTAGTGCCGAATACGTTTTTGTTATAAGTTCATTTTATAACATATTGAGACAATCAATGACGGTTTACCTTCCAAATGGAATCACTCAATGCGCTGAAGCTTTAGTTTCTATTCGAAGACTTCAAAATTTTTTAGCCGTTGAAGAAAGAAATCCCCCTCAAATAGCGCAAAATGGAATAAACACCCACGAAATAAAACCTGATGGAATTGAGATTAAAAATGCCACAGCTAAATGGGTTCCTTCATCTCCTAAAAATACATTAACAAATATTAATTTAAATGTCCTCGAAGGTCAATTAGTTGCTATCATTGGATACGTTGGTAGCGGAAAAACCAGTTTACTTCATGTAATCCTTCAAGAATTACCACTTTTAGAAGGTGATTTACACGTGTATGGATCGATTTCTTATGCTTCTCAAGACCCATGGCTTTTCGGTGGCTCAATAAGAGATAATATTCTTTTTGGGCAACCTTTTAAAAGCGATAGATATCAAAAAGTAACTAAAGTATGTGCTTTAGAAAGAGATTTTTCTTTATTTCAACATGGAGATATGACACTTGTTGGTGAAAGAGGAGTAACTTTAAGCGGAGGCCAAAAGGCTCGAATAAATTTAGCTAGAGCTATTTATAAAGAATCGGATGTTTATTTATTAGATGATCCTTTAGCTGCTGTTGATACGTACGTAGCTAAAACACTTTTTGAAGATTGCATTATGGGCTTTTTGGGTCATAAATGTGTTATTTTGGTTACAAATCAATTGCAATTTTTGCGATCGGTTGACAAAATTTATTTACTTGAAAATGGTGAAATAGCAGGTTCTGGAAATTACCAAGAACTTCAAGAAAGTGGGCTAGATTTTGCCGAATTATTAGACGATGAAACTGTTGAAGAAGACACGAAAAGTGAACAGGAAAATTTGCATTACGAACCGAGTACTTTGAGTGGACAAGAACAAGTTGTAGCTAGGGAATCAAGATTTTCCGGCACAATTGGTTCGAAAATTTATGGAAGTTATTTTAGAGCGGGTGGAAGCGGATGTTTTATTTTTTTCTTGATGTCTCTATTTATTATTGCGCAAATATCAGCGAGTAGTTGCGATTATTTTTTAAGTTATTGGTAAGTATTGTGAAAATTTATTTTATTAACATGATAAGATCGCGTTAATTTTAGGACAAATCTTGAACAAACTAAAGCAGTTCATAATTTTACAAGATCGCAAGAAGAAGAATACATCTCAAGAGATACAACGTTATATATTTACGCTTCAATCGTTATTTTTACTGTATTTATATTCTTAACAAGATCTTTTATATTCTTCGCTTTTTGTATGAGATCATCAACAAATTTACATAATCGAATGTTTTCAAAAATCGTTCAAGTTCCGATGCGGTTTTATAATACGAGTTCGTCGGGACGAATTTTAAATAGATTTTCTAAAGATATGGGGTCGATTGATGAGATACTTCCGGTTGTTATTATTGATACAATTCAGGTAATTTATTAAAATTCTTTATTTATTTATTTATTTTAATTTATGATTTTTGTATTTAGATAGGTTTAAAAGTGATGGGAATAACTGGAGTTGTAGCCACAGTCAATCCATATCTTTTAGGTGTAGCATTAGTAATTTTAACATTTTTTTATATATTACGAAAATTTTATTTGGCAACAAGCAGAAATGTTAAAAGATTAGAAGGAGTGAGTAAGTTCAAATTTTATGTAAATAATATTCAAAACAAAATACGAAATTGAAGTTAAAAAATTTACACCAATAACTTTTTAACCAAATACTCTAGAAGTATTGAAAATCTTGGTTAATAATAATATTTTTAGCTCGTAGTCCAGTTTTTACTCATATAAGTTCATCATTACAAGGAATAACAACAATAAGAGCATTCGGCGCTGAAGAAATGCTAAAAAGAGAATTCGATATGCATCAAAATTTGCATAGCTCAGCTTGGTTTATGTTTTTGGGAAGTTCAAGAACTTTTGGATTTTGGTTGGATTTAATTTGTGTTGTTTATATCGCATGCGTAACATTGAGCTTTTTGGTTATGCGACATGGTAAATTAAAAATGAAGCTATTTTTAAGATTTTTATTAATTTGTACATTTTTAGAGCAATTTGGAGGAAACGTTGGTTTAGCTATAACTCAATCGATTATGCTGACGGGAACTTTTCAATGGGGAATGAGGCAATGGAGTGAATTAGAGAATCAAATGACTTCGGTTGAAAGAGTTGTGGAATACACTAAATTGGAATCTGAAGAAAAAGTGGAACAGAAAAAGACCACGCCGGAAAATTGGCCAACAGAAGGAAAAATTCAATTTAAATATGTTAGCTTAAGATATTCACCAAATGAGTCATTTGTACTTAAAAATCTTAGTTTTACAATTGAACCACAAGAAAAAGTGGGAATTGTTGGGAGAACGGGAGCAGGAAAATCGAGTTTAATATCGGCACTTTTCCAATTAACAAAAATTGAAGGACAAATCCTCATCGATGATTTAGATATTTCAATTTTTTCTTTACCAACGGTTAGATCAAAAATTTCAATCATCCCGCAAGACCCCGTTCTTTTTTCGGGAACTTTAAGAAAAAATTTAGATCCTTTCAATCAACACTCAGATGAAGAACTTTGGAGTGCCTTAGCCGACGTCGAATTAAAACAATTAATTGCTAATAGCCCATTAAATTTAAACACCAAAGTATCCGAAGGTGGTACTAATTTTAGCGTCGGTCAAAGACAATTAATTTGTTTAGCAAGGACTATTTTACGAAAAAATAACATTTTAATTCTGGATGAAGCCACTGCCAATGTTGATCCAAAAACCGACTTTTTAATACAACAAACAATTCGTGATAAATTTTCTGATTGTACCGTTTTAACAATTGCTCACAGATTGAATACTGTTATGGATTCTGATAAGATTTTAGTTATGGATGATGGTGAGGCTAAAGAATTTGATCATCCTTATGTTTTATTGAAGGCACAAGGAATATTTTATGGGATGGTTCAACAAACTGGAAGAAGTATGTCAGATACATTAACAAGGGTAGCTGAATCTGTAAGTTTATTTAATTTTTATTTGAAAGTACAGTAAAACCTTGATAATAACGGATTAATTCGAGGAAGCAACTGACAAATTCGAATCACAACTAGAAGTTAGTGAACTAAAAGAAAAACTAACACTAGCCCTAGAACTAGAAACATTCGGGTTTAGCCGTACGTCTCTTAAGACGGCTAAGCCCGAAGTTTCTAGTTTTAGGTCTAGTGTTAGTTCTAATGCTAGTGTTAGATCTAGTTTTAGTTGTTACTCAGTGTTAAATTGTGGTATACTTTTCATTGATCTAAAACTAGAACTAACACTAGACCTTGAAAGTTTCGGGTTTAGCCGTGCGTCTTCAGACTGAATGTTTTTAATAATTAGGTCCGTTATATTGAGGTTTTTCTATATTTTTGAATTATTTTTTTAATTATTATTTTTTTTTAGAATTACAACTCGAGTAATAAAAAGAAAACTAATTGAAGTAGGTAATTTATAATAATTTCAATTTCAAGAAAATAAAAACTAAGAATTAAAGATGTAATCTTTTAAAATATTTTTTAATAAATTTTATTTTCTTACACATTTCTTTCTTATTATAGATTAAACATAAATTTTTAATTTGAAATTTAATGAGTGAATGTTAAAAGTTCCTATCTCATTTTTCACACCACTTCTTTATTAAAAAATCATTTATTTTACGATTCATTTATTCATCACCTGATTCTGCAGGGAAATCCTTAAAGTACACCTCTGGTTAGCTCATTTTAAGTTGAATAACCGAAGAACCTTGAACCACCAGAGAGGAAGTCTGTCGGCAAAATCGATCACGACCTAACTTTAAATAAGAAAGTACAAACTTTGTTCTCGTTTATTTTTCCGGCTTCCGATATGTTTAAAAAAAAATAAGAGCAATTGTACTTTGTCTTTAAACACATTCAAACTAACAATAAGAGATGTTAACCTTGACTTTCGAATTATACCTACGCATAAAGGACAGTTGTTGATTTGAATTTAGATTAACGTTCTATATATTCGTAGATAGATCTCTATAATGACAAAAAAAGAATTTTAACATGTTTTTAAACGAGAAATTACCTGTAAATTCCGAAGGTGAAGTATTCGTCATCTATTTGGGATCAGAAACCTTCAATCGTCCTTGTTTACACTAAAACATCTTAAATTTTATATATTCAAATAAATTGCCAAAACCGGAATTTAAAAATAAATATTGGATCAACAATTTTTAATTTTTAGAGCAACATTTAAGATTATGTATATCAAAAAATTAATATTAATATAAAGTTAAAGATAAATAGTTCAGATAAGAATCAACGTCAACCCGTTGAAAAAAGACAATATCGTTAAGAACAGCTTCCAGTGGTTTCTAAGTAACCTTGAAGATTGGCGATCCAGTCTTTGAGCTTCAGGAATGGTCTCAGTTCCATTGCTGCACTCGCTGAAATAACTTAAGTAACCGATTGCAAAAAAAGTTGTTCAGGAAACAATAAAATGTGGGATTTTTAATATTTTGTGTTAAGTGCCTTTTTTATTGCTGGATTAAATAACAAAATAAAAGGTAAGTTAAACAAATTGCTTAAGTTACTTCTTAAGAAGTTTCCGATAAATAATAATAAACTTTTGATTTACTTTATTTGAATTAGAATTCAGTTTGCAATAAACTAATAATTAATAATTATTAATATGAATCTTTTCACACCCATTTTCTTGTAGGTTAGTAAAACACGAGCACGTGCATAAAATGCAATTCATTAATAATTCAATAGCTGCTTTAAGCCATTACGAAGTTGTAATATATCTTTAGTTTTTTTTTTCTAATTGAATATTCATTAAGAACGTCAATGTGGTAAAATACAATTGCATGAAAAAAATTCTTTTTATACTCAATTAAAAGAAGTAAAGATTTAATATACAATTAATCGCAATAATCTAATCAATTCATAAATTCTTTTCATTCTAGAAAATGTCACCGAAGGTTCCAACAGCAAAAAATCCAAGAGAAACGGCGAATATATTTTCATATTGCACGTTTGCGTAAATATCAAAAAGAAAGGAAGATTTTAGAATCATACCGACAGATTATTAAGTTATTATTGATAATTTTTTAATTTAACCACTTTTATAAACGCCATCAAATTAATCGAAGCTTAATCGATCATTTCGCTTTTTGATTGACTAACGCATTACAATTGACTACCTAGGTGATATTAATCGGGCTTAAATGACGTAATACACAGAATTGGTCGTGAATGACCAAAATCATGAATGTGCATATACCGGACCAAGTATGTAATTCAATGGTAGTAAAGCAAATCGATGAAATAATTCAAATTGATATCAGTTGTTGTGAAATCGCAAATTTAGGCTATGGCTTAATTATGAGCAAATTCGAAATTTCTATGATTATTGATAATACCATAAGTTTTGCATTCAACGTCAAAATATTTGTTTTTATAGTCGTCAGATTTGAGAACAACTGTGACAATTCCATTTTCACCAGTGCTAATAATCAATTCCGCATTATATCGCTAGTTGTCCCCACCGGAGAGGAATCGAATGGTCAATAGGTAGTTTCTGGATCTGGGTACAAAATCATAACATCAGTTGTGCCTCAACGTAATAATTACTACTATTATTATACACAATTATTTTTAATGTATACAAATTATTCTTGTTCTCATTTAAAGTATGTAACAAGGGGTCACAACCCAAACAGTTTGGAACCTTATTTCTCCTCTATGTAAATCTAGCAAGTTTAACATTTTCAAATCTAATGCATAAGTGACACTGCTTATCTGAATCTTGTACAATATAAAGTATTTCTTGAATTGTTTGCATCTACGAGTCATCTGAAAGCAACGCTTGCAGTGACCAGATAATACTAGTATATTTGGAAATAACAAGCAAAAAAGCGTTCATACACACTCGTAATGCAGAACTTCCTCTCACAATTAGAGCCATCTGCATAAACACAGCCACCACCAATTTGAGAAGAATAATTGTTCTAACAAAACTCATTGAGCGCAATGAGGAAAGTTCCTCTATAATCTCTATATATTTGAGGTTGCGCTCATACACAAGGCTTAAAAAGTCCAAACGTATTACATAAAGTGGTCCCAAACTGAAACACTCTCTAAAAGCCAACGAAATAAATTTTAAAGTTACTTTATAAAATATGAAAATATCAAAGCCTCTCTTCTCCTCTACATAATAAATATTTATAATTATAATATAGTATTAATATAATTAGTTAATAATAATTTGTCGGTATAATTTTAAAACATCAATCAATATCAAATTAGCAAAAATAATTTATTTTTAGATGGTTTATGCCAACATTTCTAAAAGGATACCAAAAACAATTAAACGAAGAAGATTTATTCAAAACTTTAGACAGTCAAAAGTCGAGTTATTTAGGTGATCGTTTAGAACAAGAATGGGAAAGGGAAAAGTTAAAAGATCAACCTTCCCTAACGAAAGCAATTTGGGAAGTCTTCGGAATAAACTTCGTTTCGTACGCTTTAGTTGCAGTGGCAACTGAATTAATTTTCAAGTACCTTACCTTTTTTTAATTCAAAAACCACAAAGTTTTAACTCAAAAAAAATTTTTTTCAGAGTAGGGCAAGGTTTATCATTCATAAGACTTTTAAAATACTTTTCTGATGACACCTCATCGATATCAACGCGTGAAGCTTACGTTTACGCTTCAGTTTTAATTATATGCGGATTTGCAATTGCAATTGGTTCTCATCTTTACATGTTTGGATATCAAATTTTGGGAATGAAAGTTCGCGTTGCTTGTTGTTCGTTAATCTATCGGAAATCACTGAAAATCAGTAAAGGTTCAATGGGGAATACCACCGTGGGCCATTTAGTTAATTTATTGACGAATGATGTGAGTCGATTTGATTTCGCAGCTATTTTCATAAACAGTTTATGGTTATCGCCGTTACAAAGCATTGTTGTTATGATTATTTTATGTTTTGAAACTGGATGGACTGGAATTATTGGAGTTCTTGTTTTTATTATTGTTATTCCAATACAGAGTGAGTTCAAATTGAAACAATACAATTTTTTTGTAATTGTTATTTTATGTTTTAGTTTTGGTTGGGAAAAAAATTTCCATTTTAAGATTACAAACAGCATCCATCACCGATGAAAGAGTGAAAGTTATGAACGAAATTTTATCTGGGATTCAAGTTATAAAAATGTACACTTGGGAACAACCCTTTATCAAATTAATTAATCGAATAAGAAAGTGAGAAAACAAAATAACTTTTTATTAAAATGTAATAATCATTTTTATTTGATTTTATTACAGTTCTGAAATCAAAAAAATTCGTTACACATCATTTTTGATCTCGGTAACTTTAGCTTTTATTAATTTCCTTCCAAAGCTGGGGGTATTCGCAAGCGTTATTGGTTTCGTTTTAGCCGGATATATTCTAAATCCAATGCACGTTTTTAGTTTAGTCGTATTCTACAACATGCTGAAACTTTCATTGAACATCTATTTCCCGCAAGGAATGTTTAGAACTGCGGAAGCTTTAGTTTCAGTCAAAAGAATCCAAGAGTTCCTTTCGGAAGGTGAAATCTCCAATTTAAACGGTTTTAAAGAAAAATACAAAAAGATCGAGGAGATTCGCGAAATCGATAAACCAATTGGCGTTGAATTTATAAACGCTTCATCAAAATGGGATAAAAAATTGACCGAAAACACGTTAGAAAATTTATCGTTAAAGATTCAAAATTCTTCGTTAGTTGCGGTTGTTGGATCTGTTGGAAGTGGAAAAAGTAGCTTTTTAAATGTAATCTTAAAAGAACTTCCTTTAATTTCGGGAAAGATTGATGTACAGGGAACGATTTCTTATTCGCCACAAGAAGCGTGGTTTTTTATAGGAACCGTAAAAGATAACATTTTATTCGGCCAACCTTACAATGAAACTCGCTACAAGAAAGTAATAAAAGTATGCGCTTTAGAAAGAGATTTATCAATATTTCCAAAATCTGATCAAACGATCATCGTCGAAAACGGAGCTAATTTAAGCGGTGGACAAAAAGCTCGCATTAACTTAGCTCGGGCGGTTTATAAAAACTCCGATATTTACTTGTTAGATGATCCGTTAGCAGCAGTTGATAGCCACGTTGCTAAACAAATTTTTGATGAGTGTATCTCAAAATATCTCAATAACAAATGTGTCATTTTAGTAACAAATCAGTTACAATTTTTAAAATACGTCGATTATATTTATTTATTAGAAAATGGGAAATTAGCATCAAAAGGAACTTATAAATACCTTCAAGAAGCCAACGTTGGGTTTTTAAAGATTTTGGGCGATGTGGGTGATGAAAAATCAACGCTTAATCCAGCAGAAATTCATGATGATTATGATTATAATGGGGAGAACGAAGAAAATAACGATAAAGAAGCTCGAGATGATGGCATGGTTGATTTAAAAGTATACAAAACTTATTTAAAAGCTGGAGGAAGATTTTATATTCACTTTTTAATTTTATTAGTTGTTATTGTTTATGAAGGAGCTTGTACAATTGCTGATGCAGCTGTTAGTTATTGGTAAAATTTTATATAACTTGAAATATAGTAAAATTTCGATATAACGGACCTCTTTATTTAGGAGTAACGTTGACAAAATGATGGTGATTAATAACGGAACATCTAATGAAACTTTATTAACTCGTGATGATCACATGGTGATTTTTGCTGGAATTATTATCGTTGTTATTATTACAGCGGTCATATCAGCAATTGGATGTTTTATGTTATTAATAGAATCATCAAAAAATCTTCATAATCGAATTTTTGGACGAGTTGTGACAGCACCGATGAGATTTTTCCATTTAAACCCATCCGGAAGGATTTTAAATCGATTTTCGAGAGATCTCGGGTTATTAGACGATTATCTTCCTGGAGTTATAATCGATGCTTTAGTTGTAAGATTTTTTTTGATTTTAATTAATTTGATTTCAATATTTTTTTTTAGATCGCTTTGGTTATCGTGGGAGTTTTAATTTTAGAAACTGCAATAAACCCTTGGCTTTGCGTTGCTATGATTCTGCTTTTAACATCACTCTACGTTTTAAGACTTTTTTATTTACCATCAAGTGTTGCAATAAAACGCCTGGAAGGGATTAGTAAGATAAAAAAATTAAAAATTGGTCCTAAATTAATTTATTTTTAATTTTTAGCGCGAAGCCCAGTTTATACTCACATGAACACCTCGCTTCAAGGATTATCAACAATTCGAGCTTTTCGCGAACAAACTTCTTTCGTAGAAGTTTTTGATAATTACCAAGATATCCACACTTCAACTTGGTTTATGTATTTATCCAGCATTCATGCTTTTGGATTCCTAATAGATGCTTTATGCGTGGTTTTAGTCTTCATTGTAACTTTCAGTTTTTTTATTGTTGAAGAATCTTCGGCTGGAATCGCTGGATTAGCGATAACCCAATCGATAATGATGATGGAAATAACTCAATGGTGTATAAGACAATTTTGCGAAATGACGAATAATATGACATCCGTAGAAAGGATTACGGAATATTTAGAGTTAGACGTGGATGGAAATGATGTTAAAAGGGATACTGTGCCGGATGAGAAATGGCCGGAATTCGGTGGAATTGAATTTGATAAAGTTTCCTTAAGATACGACCCCGCTGGTGAACCAGTTTTAAAAAAATTGACGTTTAAAATTAAACCAGGAGAAAAAGTGGGAATAGTTGGAAGAACCGGAGCTGGAAAATCTTCGTTAAGTCTTTCACTTTTTCAATTAGCTTACACAGACGGAAATATTTTAATAGATGACGTTAACATAAAAGAAATTCCCCTTCAAAATCTACGATCGAAAATTGCAATAATCCCTCAAGAACCAGTTCTTTTCTCAGAAACAATGAGAAAAAATTTGGACCCCTTCGAAGAATACAACGATAACGATTTATGGAATGCTTTAGGCGAAGTTGAATTAAAAGACGTCGTTAAAGATTTCCCGGAAGGGCTTCTTACGAAAATGTCAGAAGGAGGATCGAATTTAAGCGTAGGACAACGACAATTAGTTTGTCTAGCCAGAGCTATTATAAAAAAGAATAAAATTCTAATTATGGATGAAGCAACAGCTAATGTTGACCCGAAAACCGATGCTTTAATTCAAACAACCATAAGAAAAAAATTCAGAAATTGCACCGTTTTAACAATAGCTCATAGATTGCATACAATCATCGATAGTGACGTCGTTTTAGTTATGGATGCTGGTGAAGTTAAAGAATTTGATCATCCACATATTTTATTGCAAAATAAAGGTGCATTTTTTGAAATGGTTGAAAAAACTGGAATTGCAATGAGTGCAAATTTACATGAAATTGCTCAAAATTCTTATAATAATATTAATAAAAAAGAAGTTTTTAGTGAGGTAGTTTTGTAAGATTCTTTTTGATAAAATGTGCTCGATAAGTATTAAAAGAATTTGTTTTATTATTACAATAATTACTCTAATCGAATTCTTTTTGTTGTTACTAAGTGGTTACTGCTCTAGACTCAACACTTACCTATAGGAGGAATAAATAGTACAATTATTTTCGATGGAAATGTCGAGATTTTTAGAAATGTTTCGTTCGAATCATGCTAAATAGAAAATAAATATTTATACTTCAATATGTTTTCGTTCCAAAAACAAAACGAGCTACTACTTAAGTATTTAAACAAACTACGATATTCTCGAGAAGCTTTTAAAATCTACGAGTTGAAGAGAATCCGGATTTATTTTACATTTTATTTATATTTATTTCGTTATCAAACAATTTTTAATTAAAACGGGTTAGTTTAACACCGTCAAAAATTAATTCGGATTAAAACACTTTTTTAATGAATAAATTTCAACGTTGACCATAATTTTGTTATATTGAAATTTTATTCTTTCGAAATAACTAAAAGCTATGTAACTAAAACTGAAAATAATAATAAAAATTTTCGTTTTTATTTTTATTGTAATAACAGGAAATTGTCAAAACTACGTAAAATATACGATGTGGAATTTATTGAGGTATTCATCGACTCTATGAGGTTCTATACCAGCTAATTCTCCGTGGTTTGTTTGGTAACCACCAAACTAAAACAGTTTATCACGGATATAAACCAGGGCGGATTATATGGGTACGTTATTTTCCTTTCTCGCAACTACCACCTCATTTATCTTCTAATGCAACGTCAACCTTCGTCTTTAATGTCACTAGAACCAATTGTTCTTACTTAAAATTTAATTTATTCTGAGTCAATTTTCCTTGTTTTTGTTTCTTCGAAGTTTTGTATAAATAGAGTTCTTTGTAAGTAATTTATCATTAATAATTATTTTATTGATATAATAAAACCTTGATATAAAAGACCTCGTCAGAACGGACTTCGGAAAAAAGTTTTTTTAACATGCTCCGTTTCTCGAGTATTAACATAAAAGCAACAAATTCATCCAATTTTCATATTTTCGTACTTTTCTCGATATCTATGCATCTGAGAGCAAATATGTAAGAGAGCAATCCCATTAACAATAAAATTTGCTACAACTTTTGTTTTAAAAGTTTTTTTGTAATATGCTCTGTTAAACCTGAATGTTTCTAGTTCTAGTGTTAGTGCCAGTTTTAGTTGTTATTAGGCTCTAGATTGTTTTATATTTTTATTAAACTAAGTAATAAACAACGCAACGGTCTGGATAACGGTTCATATTTGTGTGCATTAAAATTATTCATTCAAACAGTTTAAAGTGCAAATTAAAAATTTTACATATAACGGCCACTTTATTGATTTTATTGATAATTATAAAATTATTTTAGTATTCATCACGTAACTTTAAATATAAAATAATCAATCAATGTAGAGTGTCTGTAATGGTTACAAATCAAACTTACATTATTCAAATTAAGAGAAATGAGATTTTCCACTTGGAATTGATAATGCGGTTCGTTCTTTGCGTTCGTGTTGAAAATTGAACTACAAAAGTAACACGTAAACGTGCTTTGAATGAATATGAGATGTTGGTTCGTAAAGCTAGCAGATACCTGTCCTTTTAGAAATGCTTTTACTTACACTCACAATATATTTTGACGTATATTTCAAAAAATAAGATCAAATGATTTACATATATATCGATTTTAAATTACCAAGCTGATTTAGAATTTAATTAAACGCAAATGAAAAAGTAATACGTAATATCTGGTTAATTTCAACCAGTAAAATTTAAAATGAAGATCGTAAATTTTATCTTAACGTCAGTGTGACTTGTCGTGATAAAATGCACCCAGGTGTTAAGTCTGATATTATTATCGTATGCTAAAATTGGCTTGGTTACGAATAATTTATGGTTAAAACTTATTAAGAATCTAAGAACTTTTGTAAAAAACATAGCTGTAAAAAACTCTTCTTAATTTATTTCTTAATTTTTTTTAGGGAACAACGAGTTTTATCGTAAAGATTCTTGAAACAAAAATTACTTTTTGAACATTCGAACTTCGAGATTTTGCAATCTGCGCTTTACGAAGGGATCCCCGCGGGGCACAATATTGCCGCGAGTAAATCTAATTTTAAGTTTGATGTAAGTTTTATTTGCTATACTACACACACTTTATACGTTTCACTTGAGCACCATCGAACAGGAAATAGAAAAAGACCTTTCAAATATTTTGAAGTGTTTTGAAATGTGTCAGAAAAAACAAATATAAATTTAGAAAACTAATTTTATTTTTTTGTTATTAATACATTAACTTGTTGAACAAGACATACGTACTAAGTTAAGAAACATTTATCTCATTTATTTAATTATGCCGTAATTGTGTTGTACAATTTAATAAGAAGCATTTATTATTATTATTATAGTTCAAATATTTTAATTAACATGTAAGTACGGTAGAGGAGTGTTATAGTTACCGGTTAAACAACAACAAATTATTTACCCCACGCTTTATCGATTTACAGCAACAGATTTTCTGGAGCTTCTTTAAAATAATCTGCGGATGATTGTGTTTGCTTATATTTCTTATATCATGTCTTCATCTGCAGTTGAGGTTCATCGATTTCATTAAATTCTGCATAAGTGAAGTCGGTTTCGAATACGTTAGGTGACATTTGACATCATGAAATTACGTCCAAGATATATCTGGCAGGTACGTGTTGAATGTTCCCTCTCAAGATTGGGCTATTAGGAGACCGTTAGGAAATGTATCTGATGGTTTTATGCAATTATGTGTTGGTGGTTTTAAGTAAAACTTCAAGCGAAATATACATCAACTGCAGATGGGATCCTCTTAAACACTCTCCTGTATCTTTTTCTTTTCTAACATTATTATTCATATTTAGTTATTATGAATATGGTTTTAAGTAATTTAAAATTTAATTAAGAACGAATTGTGGTTTAATGTTTGAGTTTGGTATTGATTCTTTCTTGTTTTAGTTATATCGTGCAAAGATTGCTGTATGCTTTTCTATAGAATTATCATTTTAATTAATATGTAAAAATCTTCTGCGTAAAGCTAGATCCACGTGTTTGAACAATTCTCATCTTATTTAAACTATAAAATTATGGGTATAGCAACGTTTGAAATACTTTATTATACTTCTATTTGTATATTTGTTTTGTCGTATTGATGACACTCACCTCCTTCGTTTTTTGAAATTTGATTAACGTTGTCAAAGTCGATGATAGTCAAGTAAAGTACTCTGCCAAAAGTACTCTCATTATGTCGTCGCATCCTGTAAATTTTCCTTTTTTGAAATGCGATATTGCTTCTTAATACTGCAATTCTACTTAATAATAATAATAATATAAAATTTGTTATTTAACAAAGCTTATTTTTATGAAATATGAGTATCATACAAATAAACAATTATCTCCAAATTAGCTTCAGTGGAAATACCTCATTTTCCTTATGAGGGGAATATAATTATGAAGTTTTAACGACTTTATTAAAATAAAGTAAAAATAGATTAGAGCAAAATAATTATAAAATCGTTATTCTTGATGATTTTTATGTCAAATTAATACTAAGTTCAATATGTTTTGTAACTAAATTTGATAAAATTGAGTACTGTAACATTTCATTAATGTTACCATGTCCTATCCTGAAATACAATCGTTTCACTTAAACTTGAAACATAAACCGCTTGTTGACAAGATTGAAAGTAATTGATAAAATTGAACGAATCTTCTTGTAATTGGATTTATTGTTCGGTATTCCCCATGCGAAATTGATTGCAGATTTGGCAACCGATATCATCGTAACCATCACTCGTGCATTCAAAAAGGGTGTTATATCCCTAAATAATGCAATTAAAAATGCGGGTCACGTAAAAAAGTCACGAGCGATCTTTTATGGGTGTAATTCCGTAACGATCCATCAAGTTTGTTCTGGACGTGTTACATTCGTTCTAATAACCGCTCTTTATTAAAATATATCTCAACACATCGTCTCTTCTCGTTAACAAAATAAACAGAAATGCAAAAAAAACCTTTTAACCCTCTTTAAATGAATGAAAGTAAAAATTTAATCATCAAAACGGATGTTGCACTATAATTTCAAAGGAGAAACTACCAACTCTAATTTGTGCAAATTTATTACTACCGAGTACTCTTAACTACAAAATAAGCATTTCATACCACTCAAAAACCATTTCTCATTTTCTTAATATCCTTTAAGAAAATTTCAAAAAACTAAAGAAGATTCAAAGGAGATTAAGAAGGAAACCAGTGAAAATCAACGACTCAGGAAGAAATAAATGAGTAAAGTAAAAGAGAAACCCTTGTTAGTACCTGAACTACCAGGAGCTAGATCTAATGGTGCTTTACAATTAACGGAAATGTCTAGCCAGATGGCCAGGAATGAGAAGACAGTCGTTTCGATGTCAAAACGAGAGAATGCTGAGTATTTAGTTTTAGGAGGGCGTCGCGGCGCTTGTCGAAAACGACGCGACGTTGGATTCGACGTTGTCGTTAACACAGCTGCAGACTCCAAAGTTATTCAGTTCTACTGCGGAAAGCGAAGGTGACGCTTACAAAAAAGTCTTTATAAAAAAAACAAAAATGTGAAATAAAACGAAACAAGTAAAAGATTAGAAATAAGAGATAATGAGTGTTTATGAATTTTTGGAGAAATTCTAATTGAAAACTTAAAGGTGAGTTTATAAAATTTTTATTATTATTAAATTCTAGTTTCATAAAATAAATAATTAAAAAAAGTTATGATTTTGATAAACATTTTTTGATGTTTTTTTCAATTTGATTCAGTGAAAGTTAAAAAAAACTCGAAACATCGACACAAATAATAATCGTTTCGACGAAAGCTCTATCTATAAACCATATTGTTTAAGCCCGAATTGACCGGATTTTAATTTACATATTAATTCTTCTGGAAAAAAAAGATTACAAAGAAATTTTTTTTCAATTTTATTCTCATAACCAAATTAAGCCTCCCTTTCAATTAACTCCAGTAAACATTTTCACTTTTTTCTTTGTTGGTGTAAAAAATTTTGAATCGTTATTAATCATAAAAGTCGCAAAAGTTTCTATGGGACATAGCTCGATCATTCTGCTGTAAATCATATGCTCCAATAGTTATGACACAAAAGCTTTTTTCAAGAACGAAACTTCCACGTTCCGCATTTTAATGTATATGTACTTGAAAGCGAGGTTGCGATTCAACTTCAAAAATGTTAAAACTCATTTTCGTGGAAATGATATACGTGACAGGCAATTCTACGAAGAATTTATTCGAATTTCTTGGAAATTTTAAGGTTTATACAATTTAAAACAATACATCTCATTAACTACATACATTCAGATTTCTATATTTCATGCATGAATATTCCCCACGAATATTTTCCATGAATATTAAACATTACTAGGTTAATCAACTTATTTACCATACGTAAAATAAGTTTTAAATTTTTTTATTATTTTACTGTAACTATATTAACTGAAGGAATTTTCGATGATTTTGAAAGGATATTCCTTGGCTTTATAGAGCTGGATTTATTGGCTTTGAACTAAGTAATTGCTTTTCATCTCGTCTATTTTCTATGAACCATCGTTTGAACCAAGCCAGAGGCTCTTAATGAATTTTAAAACCCCCGAAACTCGCAGAGGGTTTACTTTTACGATAAATTGAAAAGAGAAATAAATCGAGAAATGTCAAGTTTAAATTAAGAAGACTTGTTTGAACTGTTGAGTTGGTTCAATTACAATTTATTCCCCGATTAACTCGGTTTTTCCCTAGGGAAATTATACATGAAAAATTTACTTTTAATATTGGGGCAAACTCTAGGTTATATTTTAATTAAAACAACAAACTTTTTTATTTCGAATATGTTAAAAGGATAAGTTCGAAATAACGCAATGTTCCGTTATCATTACAAAAAGCTTTCACCGCTAACATCGGAATGAAAAGTTGGGATTAACCCACATATGCCCGGAACTTCAGACTTGAGCTTGAAACTCTCCGGTAATGCATAAATCAATAATTGTTCACTTAGCCCTCAAATCTTAACTTGACAGCCGGAGTTAAGCTAATCTGAGTCTCCTGTGGTTCGACTCGGTTGACTAGTTCTAACTGTACTTGAATTAATTGGGCATTATTCAAAATACGTAAGGAGTTTTGATGTTATATTGTTGGAAATAGAAATATTGGTAGAGGAGCCTGGGGAAATAATTTGTAAGAAATTATTTTTGGGGTTTATATTGCTTTGGGACTTTAGAACTCTCGAAACAATTGTTAAAGGCTACTTTAATTTGTGGAATTCAAAGTGTTTCATATCCAACGCTTAGTAATTTTATCTCAAAATTTAAGATTGCTAAAAATTTTGTTCAACTTTAAACGTTTTTATTTTAAACAATAAAAGTGGTTTTTCAAAACTGGGGAATTTATTTTAAATATAATTGATTTTTTATGAAATATATACAAATTTATAGTTTTATTGATAATTATTAAAAGCTTCAATTAAAATTTTCGAAGTTAATTGAAAATTTATGGTCTGTTTACTTCTGTTTTATTTGAAATACTTTTAGTTGTTTTCGAAATAAATCTGGAAATTTCCGGGGAATACAAAATAATATTTGATACTACAACCAAAAAATCAGTTCAAATGTGACTAAATCGTTGAACTATTTATTAACTAATTAATGCTGCAGTTACCATTCGCTAATTGCCATGTTCAGCGCGGCGCGAATCTGCATATTCAAGTGTAGTTATATATTTCAGATTCCTCTGAGCTTTACATCCTCCCTATTGTTTTATGGAGATAAATTTCCATGGCTTCTTTGTTAATTCTTGGATAAAAAAAATATTTTTAACAGCAAAACTACACTACTCTCTGTATATTATCTGGTGTCTATTACTTCTAACCTTGTAACGTCTTTTTTTGTTACCAGGAGACAAAGATATCCTCCATTTCTCAGCTCATATTGATCATAAAACCCTATTTTATAACTTAAACAAATCTAGTCCTTGAAGGTATCTTAGTAATTCTGCTAGCATGAGTGTTTGTAGACCTCCATTGCTTTTATTACCTACACTCTCTTAAGAAATGGATCCTCTGTGGATCCTCCATGGATCCTCGGTAATAAAGTGTCTCATAGACCAAAGCTAAAATCTTATCTCTTATCTACTCGTCATGCTTAACTCCACAGCTCGTTGTAAAGCTTGACCTGTCTTAACAGTTCCTTCCAAACTTGTCCGTCTTTGTCGTCTCCAACCCCTGATCTTCTTAGGTCTTAATCCACATCGTCCACAAATCGATCAAATAAACTCATCCCATCTTCACTGAGTCAACCTAAGACATGCATTTGCTACTTTAAAATTGTATTATTTATTTCATGTATTGTTTTGTTCACGTAAGGTATCACAAGTGAAATTTCACAAGTGTTTCTCAAGCTGGTATGTATGAGGTCTTTTCTGGCACTTTTTTCGTCTCTTCTGCCTTCTTTATGGTTGGTGCTGCGAGTTTTTGGATGTGTTCAAAAGATCTCGATTTATTTATATCTCACGCAATGAAAAGACTCAACTGTGTTGGCCACTGTTGGCCACCGTCCTCCTTCGGTGTTTTTCATTGGCGTGGATGTCTACACAGGTCTATTTGAAGTTAAAAGTTCGTTGCTAAAAATCCTTATTCCGTATACATTAAAAAATCTGCTTCGTATCGTAAGCGCAAGAGCGTTTAATACTTGTTTAACACCATAATATAATATTTATAGACTTTCAGTATCTGAGTAATTTTGCAAAATCAAGTATAATGTAGGAATCATGTCAGACAAGGTGCTTCATCAGAAAAATAAATTGCGCTTTAAATTCCGTGATCCTCCGCTCATTAATTTACTATTAACCGACACATTCACCAGAAAATATTCAAATCAATAAATTCCATTCTGTAGCAATCACAACTTCCACCAGTAATTTTTAGTATTACGAAACATTCAAATAAAAAAATTAAATCTTTAATATTTCTACATTTTCTGCAAAATAGATTTTTCTCTTTAATTTAAAAATGATTCAGTTATAACTTAGAGCGCCTGTTTACCTCTTCATCGAGTATTTTATGCTTTATATATTAAATTACAAAGTATAAAAATTAAAAGAGTTTTAAAACCGATTCTTTTCAATTCCTTTTAAACCGCATAACACATTTTTCATTTTTATAACTCCCCGGGACTAATTCTTTTCTGTACTTCCCCTCAATAAATCCTTTTTTAACAATCACAATACATCAATTAAGTTAATAACCGACCGCTTTCATGGAAAATTAATATCCCCAAAACTCAGACAAAACGATAATGCCTCGCCCTTTAACAATATACCTTGTCTGGCTTCAGCGCAAGAAAATTGATGAACGACTATATTCTTAGAAGTCGTTTTAACTACGATAAATCGTGTACGAGAATCTCGCGTTGCAAAACGAAGTTAGTTTATTCTTTATTTATTGTTTTATTTTTAAAACAACCTTAACACACTTTAAAACATCGCGTTTCGGGTGAAATAAGCTAAACGAAACGTTAACTTTGAGGCTAAAATTTTTCCGATAAAATCTTTACTGTAAACATTTAGAATGGGAACGTTACAGAACTTGGTACTTTTCGAAAGTGGTAGAAAACGTTTTCGTTTACCAAACTTAAACCAATTTACTTCAAGTGTACTAGAAGTAAGTTTTTATAAACAAACCTTTATTATTGTTAACTTAAATAACATGAAATAAATTAGTTACGTTCTAAGTGTATCAAACGGTAACAAGTAAATTCGTGGGAAATTCTAGTTAATAGTTGTATCGCAAAATCGGCTCAATTGTTAATTATATCCACACTGGTATCTATTGTAGATGAGTCTATAGATCGCAATAACCGTTAATTATGGTAAGTGGATCTGAATTATGTTCTAAGCTGTTAGGATCCAACTTGAAATTGATACAAAATTTATCACCGATTACTAACAGTATGTAACAATTAATTGAAACTACGGAAAATACACCACATAAAACATATAATAACCATATATAAATATGTGGGTGAGCTTTGCACCCACATATGATGTGTGTGGGTGCAACAAAGGATAATTGTGAAAGTTGGATAACGCGTAGGAAGACCATAAATTATAAATTCAACATTTACCATACGTATTTATTACCAAATAACAGTAACTATTTAATGAATGTGTTGAAACTATCCGACATCACAATTGAATTTAAAGAGAGTTTAAAAGTTTTCTTTTTAATTAAAATAGTTTTGCTGTAGAGAATTGGAAACCCTTTGTATTAATGTTGGCACAAAAAGTTTTTTGCGTAGTATTTTTCGGACGAAACATCCGAAAACGCAGATTCGTTACAGAAATGTGGGGCGAAACAAGTCTGCGTTGGCGTAACTAATGGAACGGGAAATGATTTGACGAATGGGGCACATCTGCAGATGGCCCCCCCTATAATGCCATTTCTATCCTTTACGAACAAAACTGACATCCAATTTAGATTGTAACTCAATAAAGTAACTATTAATAATCGAAAAAAATAATACGTTGTAGTCATAAACAGCCATATAATTTAAATTAACTTTTTTCTTTGGCATTATCTTAATAAAACCCTCTCGGGGTAAATTTAATTATTACGCAGCGCCTCCACCAAAATTTAGTCCCTTTAAAATTGAGATAAAATTATAAAGCTCTCGAGCTAACCCAATTTACATTGGATAAATGCTACTCGCTTAATGATCACTTTGAATTCTTTTTGTCTCAAAAGAATATAAAACCACAAAGAAATAAATAAATAGTTATTTTAAAAATTATAAAATAAATTCGAAACAAAATTTCAAATCTCTTAACTTAACGCGATAAATTGTATCATTTGGAATTCTTAAATCTCAAAACATTATAAATCCCTAAAAATGATTGCTTTTGTGACTTATAACCTAAATTAATCATTTCCTTCACTGAAATTCAAAATTAAATTGATCAATTAAATTGAATTTGCGATGAATTCGGGAATTGTAATATTCCCATCTCGGTTTTATCACATCCACGTTGCAGATTGTATCCTCAGTCGTGTTGTTACAGAGCCTCATTCTCGATTGGAACTCTCCTTTCCACCTTTTAACTAGGGTGTAAGCCACGCAGACTTGTTGGATTTCAAATTTTCATCCATCTTACACAGTTCCTCATTGATTTTCCTTTTCTTCCTTCGACAAGTCCTACTCGCGAAGTGTTTCAATGCTTACAGAGCTTTTTGATATTCACCTTGGCTTCATAATACTCTATTTACTATAAAATTTCTAAATATTTATTTAAATTTAGTTTTAATGTTTATATGTAAATCGAATTAATTGCAACAACTGAAACATTTATCTCCTATGAACTCGCGTTAGTTTGAGTATATTATTTCAACTTAATTTATTTTGTATAAACATAAACCCTTTATTTTGAGCGTAAGCAATTTCAATACTTTGTGATAATCGGTTAACATAATAAATTCATGTAAGTTTATCAAATCATCTAAAGTTTATAGAATTGAGAAAATACGAAACACATTCAAAATTATTCAAGTAGAATTAACACATTTAAAGGTTCGGTTATAATACTATCTTTAATTAGTTTGCCACAAATAAACATATAAAATTAATTGTAGCAGAATTAATTAATGCTAATTTCTGAAACGTATTTTAAAATGTAACTAAAAGGGAAGCTAGACAATTCAAGTGCCATCGTCAACATCTAATCGAAAATGCTTAAAATTTATTAAATCCCGCACGAATCGCGATTAAACCGTTCCAGCAACGTCCTTAAGTCTTAAAGTTTCCAAGTTGATGTTCCACGACTAACAAGTAGTCAAACCAAGTGCCTTCTCCACTTCTCTAGGAAACTTTCACGTTTCAATTCGACCGAAACGACGTTAACCCCTAAGAGAGGCAACCCTTTTGAAGGGAGAGAGTTTCCGAGTTACAAGACCGCTTATAAATATTTCCTCGCAACGTCGTTTTAAATGGTTATCGTTTCTTGTTGGCAATAGCAACGAATGCAATACAAACTCACTTAGCGTTTAAGGTACATACTAAGAAAATGTTTTTGTCTTTCCTTTCCGTAGCGCAGATATGGACGATGAAACGCAGCACGAAATCGACGACAAGTACACCCCTTATGTTGAAAGACCCGAAACGTATGTCGTTCCCGTTTTGTTCTTCATGATATTCGTCGTTGGTGTTCTTGGAAACGGAACTCTTGTCGTTATATTTGTTCGACATAGAACAATGAGAAATATACCAAATACGTAATTTGACTAAAACATCGTTTTAAATTAATCTTTTTTTCTCATTTTTTTTAGGTACATATTATCTTTAGCCATGGCAGATCTTTTATTAATATTAACATGTGTTCCATTTACATCAATAATTTATACGTTTGAAAGTTGGCCATGGGGTATAACTCTATGTAAAATATCTGAAATAGTTAAAGATGTCTCAACAGGTGTTTCGGTGTTCACTTTAACGGCTTTATCCGCTGAAAGATATTGCGCAATTGTAAATCCTTTAAGAAGATTACAAACAAAACCTTTAACCGTTTTTAGTGCCCTAATAATATGGTTAATTGCGATTTTATTATCGATACCCGACGGGATTTTCTCGGAACTGCAAGAAAATAAAACGGCGGAAAATGAAAGCATCGTCTTTTGTACACCGTTTCCAGATAATCGGACAACATCGGAGTACAGAAAATATAATGTCGCGACGAAAGCTTTGATTTATTATTTAATACCGTTATGGATTATTGCCATGTTTTATATATCTATGGCGAAACGACTTCAGGCCAGCGCAAATGAAATTCCGGGAGAGTTACAGGGTCAAAGTGTTAGCCAAATGAAGGCTAGGAAACATGTTGCAAGAATGGTTCTTTGTTTCGTGTTTTGTGAGTAGAATACTTCCTTAAAAGAAATTTAATCAAAATAATTTACATACGAGTTATAAATCATTCAGTAGCTTATTTTAAATGCAATTTTTTAGTGTTCTTCATTTGTTTCTTGCCATATCACGTATTTTTCATTTGGTACTTTTTTAATCCAAATATGGAAGAGGATTACGACAGTTTTTGGCACTGCGTTAAAATTATTGGTTTTTGCATGAGGTTAGTAAAAAAACATTTCTAACAATAATTTAAAACTAACGTTATTTTTAGCTTTATCAATTCATGTGTTAATCCCGTCGCTTTATATTGCGTCAGCGGACTTTTCAGACAGTATTTCAATATGTATTTGTTTTGTAAACCCTTTAGAAGACTAAGAAGAACATTACCGTCATCTATGGAAAATTGTGAAACCAGTTTTAATTCGACATTTCGAAAACCATTGCAGGTAAAGATATTGTTTTCAATAAATTTGAGTTTTAATTTTTTTTATTTTCATATTTTTTTATAGCACACAATAACTGAAACTCAAAGTATTCATAGAAATATGGGAATATTATTCCGTCAAAATACCCAAGATATTCCAGTTATGGGTGTAGTTAAGAATCTCTAAAAACATTCCAAAAAAAGATGTGAAAAGTACTACTAAATACTGTAAAATGATATACGTATTTATTTCTCAAAAACCAATCTCAATTAGTTAATAATTAAGATGTTATAAGTTTTTAATGTTTTTTAATAAAATTATACCTTTAAAACATTTTTCAAATAGTTATATTCCGAATATATTAATTACCTTTATTATTATTTGTTTAACGTTCTGATCGTCCTAGGAGATTTCCTCGAATAAACCCAATCTGGGATTATGCCCAATAACTATGTAAATGTCGGTGTATTTTATGTAACATCTTCGAGATATTCAAACTTTAATTGTTAGACATTAACTTCAATAATAAAAGCCTTAAACATAACCCAAATCCTAACATCCAAAGCGAATATAGAACGACTTCTAATGTAATTCTCTCTAAATCGTCATTTCTGGCTGAAACATTCAGTAAACTTTTCGAATTATAATAAACGACTGAAAATCAGATTCCCATTTCAATATAAATCCGTGTTCGTGAAATTTACGTAGAATAAACTCGATTTGTTCACCACCGTGAAGACAATATTTTATCGGATATCCAGCCAGAAAAGTTTATATCTTTAAAGTGCCATATTCACCCCGAAGATGAGGGTATAATGTCAACACTATATCCTGACCCTCAGTTATATAATCTCTTCATGTCATGAAATTATCCACAATAACATCAACACTTCCATTTACAATATTATAATTATTTATGTGTACATTTAAACCACGGCTTTTTAAAAAATCGTATGTGAATCTTGTTATTTTAATAGGATGGCGTGCTGTGAAGAGACCCGGAAATTATTTTATCGGTTTTTTATACTCTAGACTCGTTCGTAAACTACTTAAACTACTTTGTAAATGAACTCCGAGAACGAAATAACATGGTAACATAAATGCAAATAAACGTTTTACATTTTCGTTGAAATTAGTTGATGCTGGAATATTTAAATTTAAACCAAAAATAGTAAAAATTAAATTTACTACGTCATTTTTAAAATTAATATCAAAATTATGTTTGATAAAAGAATTAAAAGCCACTCGGCGTAAAAACATGAATAAACATTTCAAATTTAGTTAAAACGCATGGTTTCGGAAAAATCGCAATGTAACGATTTGATATTGGAAACTTGATATGTAAATATGCGTTAAAATCTATTTTTATAGTATTAAACGAATAATTTTCATTATATTCTGTCAAATATTTATCGTTAACATTACGCAATTGTAGCAGAAAATTATATTTATTTGAAATTGTGTTGATAACATTCATTGGATATCCTTTTGATGTTGAAATATCGACGATGTGGACGATTATCCACATAATAATAAGCTTTAAGTAAACTATTTTTTAATTAAAAGGTATATCCCTAAGTTTTTCACAATTTTTTTTCGTAAAAATGTCTTAGTTTTTGAATCAATTAATTTTTCGTGATTATAGGAATAAATTTCTTTTGACGTAATATTAATTATCGTTTCATTAAAATTGATTAAAACAGTTTCACCTTCGAGATAACTCATGACAACATTAATACACTTCAAATTAATAACAAAAAATGGTTGATAAATTAATATTAATATTGAGACAACCAAATACTGTTTTAAATCATTTCCACGGAACATTCTATAGAACAATAAAATTTTTTCTAACTCAGTAATTAAAAAAATGTTGTCTTCGTTTTCGTTTGAATAGCGAATGCGTCCTTTTTCCATTATTACTTGTAAATATTAAAAAATATATTTTTTAAAGGAAGATGGATTACCCACTATTTTGTGTAATCTTTCGACAGACGTCGTTCTTGGTGTCTTAATTCATGAAACTTCTTAATTACATAAAAAAGGACTTTAAAGAATAATGGATTATTTATTTATTTTCATTTTAATTATTTATCTTTTTTAAAAATTTTATAAATAATTTCAATAATAAACACTACAATCCCTAAACTCAATCCAAATCCTAACATCCAAAAAGAATATAGAACGTCTTCTAATTTAATCCTCTCTAAATCGTTGTTTGCTATTGAATCATTCACAAAACTTTCTCGAATTATAATACACCATTGAAAGTCAGACACCCATTTCAATATAAATCCATGTTCGTGAAATTGACGAAGAGTAAAGTCGATTTGTTCACCAACATGAAGACAATATGTGACCGGAAATCCAGCCAGAAAAGTTTGTAGTTTCAAAGTACCATATTCACCCCGAAGATGGGGATATAATGACAAATACATATCCTGACCTTCAGTTATATAATCCCTTCGTTTCATAAAATTGTTCATAACGCGATCAATGCTTTCATTGATAATCTCATAATTGCGCGTGGGTAAAATTAATCCACGATCTTTTAAAAAATCGGATGTAAAACTTCTTATTTTGATGGGGTATCGCGTTTTGAAGATATCTAGAAATGATTTTATCGGTTTTTCGTATTCTGGACTCGTTCGAAAACTGTTTAAACTACTTTGCAAATAAATTCCAAGAACTAAATAACATGGTAACATAAATGCAAATAAAAGTTTTACGCCTTTGTAGAAATTACACGCTGCTGAAACGTTTAAATTTAATCCAAAAACAGTAAAAATTAAATTTATTACATCATTTTTTGTTTTTATTAAAATAATTATTATACTTAAGTTTGTTAAAAGAATTAAAAACCATTCGAGTGGTGTAAAAATGTGAATAAACATCTCAAATTCCGTTAAAACGGATGGTTTTGGAAGCATCGAAATATAACTGTTTGTTATAATATAATATGTTATATCTACATTTAATATCGAAGATGTGGATAATTCTGGAAAGCTTGTTATGTAAATATGACACAAATCTGCTTCAAAATCTTTTCTTAGATTATTGAGAGAATAAGTTACACCGTATTCTTTTATATATTTGTCTTTAACATCATGTAATTGCAGTTTAAAGTTATATTTATTTGAGATTGTATTGATGATATTCATGGAATATCCTTTTGATGTTGCAACATCGACTGTGAAGGGTGGGCGATTATGCCAACTTGCTTTTAATAAACAATTTTTTAAATCAAAACTTATATCATAAAGTTTTTCACAATTTGTTGTCGTATAAATAACGTTTTTGCAATCAAATCTTTCGTAATCTAATAAATAAAGAGATTCATTCGATATAATTACAGTTTTATACGCTTGATTTTTCCAAAGCAAGTCAAAAGCTTCTTGTATCCAACTTAAATTACTCAAAAATATGATGTATTTCGATTTACAGTGATACTTTTGTGATTTAATTTTCATTAATACTTTTGATAAAATATTTAGTTCTTTACTTTTAATTAAATAATTATCAAACTTGTGGGTTTTGGTTTCAATAAATTTTTCGTGGTTATAAGAATAGATTCCTTTTGAAGTAAAATTGTTCAATGTTTTATCAAAATTGATTAAAATCGTTTCACCTTCAAGATAATTCATCACAACGTCAACACATTTTAAGTTAACTACAAAAAGTGGTTGATAAATTAATAATAGTATTAAAAAAACCACATGTTCTTTATAAGACATTCTGTACAACAATAAAATTGTTTCTAACTTGTAATGAATAACATTCTACCTTTTTTGGATTTTTTTTTTCATAATTACCTCAATATTAATAAATAATATCGAGAAATTATTTATAAGACACGCTACATGATGAAAAGAAAAACTTTTTCACTATTAAAAACTTATGGTACAACTAAGAACATTAAGGCTAATATGCTATTTTATCTGCATGTTATTTTTGTTCAGTTGAAGTTAATAAAAAAATTATTTTCTCCAAAACGGTTTGAAATTTAGAAATGAAATTTGTTGATGTTGTTTTTAAGTCACAAATGTAAATATAAGTGTGGAAATAAGTAAATCGAAAAATCAATTAGTGTATTTTTATTTAGATGTTTCCATATATATACTTTGAATACGTAGTGTTAAATCTACCATAATATTTATAGTGATTCTATAGATTCTCGATTCTTTTTGATTTTGATTTTATCCGATTATAACAGGCTGTACACTTTAAAATGATAAAATGTTATATATATTATACAATATAAGAATTTGTTATAATAGTTGAAAAATGGGGAAAACTTGATATGTAAATATGGCATAAATCTGCGTTAAAATCCATTTTTATATTATTAAACAAATAATTTTCACTATATTCTATCAAATATTTATCGTTAACATTACGCGATTGTAGCAGAAAGTTATATTTATTTGAAATTGTGTTGATAACATTCATTGGATATCCTTTTGATGTTGAAATATCGACGATGTGGACGATTATCCACATAATAATAAGCTTTAAGTAAACTATTTTTTAATTAAAAGGTATATCCCTAAGTTTTTCACAATTTTTTTTCGTAAAAATGTCTTAGTTTTTGAATCAATTAATTTTTCGTGATTATAGGAATAAATTTCTTTTGACGTAATATTAATTATCGTTTCATTAAAATTGATTAAAACAGTTTCACCTTCGAGATAACTCATGACAACATTAATACACTTCAAATTAATAACAAAAAATGGTTGATAAATTAATATTAATATTGAGACAACCAAATACTGTTTTAAATCATTTCCACGGAACATTCTATAGAACAATAAAATTTTTTCTAACTCAGTAATTAAAAAAATGTTGTCTTCGTTTTCGTTTGAATAGCGAATGCGTCCTTTTTCCATTATTACTTGTAAATATTAAAAAATATATTTTTTAAAGGAAGATGGATTACCCACTATTTTGTGTAATCTTTCGACAGACGTCGTTCTTGGTGTCTTAATTCATGAAACTTCTTAATTACATAAAAAAGGACTTTAAAGAATAATGGATTATTTATTTATTTTCATTTTAATTATTTATCTTTTTTAAAAATTTTATAAATAATTTCAATAATAAACACTACAATCCCTAAACTCAATCCAAATCCTAACATCCAAAAAGAATATAGAACGTCTTCTAATTTAATCCTCTCTAAATCGTTGTTTGCTATTGAATCATTCACAAAACTTTCTCGAAGTATAATACACCATTCAAAGTCAGACACCCATTTCAATATAAATCCATGTTCGTGAAATTGACGAAGAGTAAAGTCGATTTGTTCACCAACATGAAGACAATATGTGACCGGAAATCCACCCAAAAAAGTTTGTTGGTTTAAAGTACCATATTCACCCCGAAGATGGGGATATAATGACAAATACATATCCTGACCTTCAGTTATATAATTCCTTCGTTTCATAAAATCGTCCATAACGCGATCAATGCTTCCATTGATAATCTCATAATTGTGCGTGGGTACAATTAAACCACGATCTTTGAATAAATCATATGTATAACCTCTTATTTTGATGGGGTATCGTGTTTTGAAGATATCCAGAAATGATTTTATCGGTTTTTCGTATTCTGGACTCGTTCGAAAACTGTTTAAACTACTTTGTAAATAAACTCCAAGAACTAAATAACATGGTAACATAAATGCAAATAAAAGTTTTACACCTTCGTAGAAATTACTCGATGCTGAAACGTTTAAATTTAATCCAAAAACAGTAAAAATTAACTTTATTACATCATTTTTTGTTTTTATTAATATAATTATTATACTTAAATTTGTTAAAAGAAGTAAAAACCATTCGAGTGGTGTAAAAATGTGAATAAACATCTCAAATTCCGTTAAAACGGCTGGTTTTGGAAATATCAAAATATAACTGTTTGTTATAATGTAATATGTTATATTTACATTTAATATCGAAGATGTGGATAATTCTGGAAAGCTCGTTATGTAAATATGACACAAATCTGCTTCAAAATCTTTTCTTAGACTATTGAGAGAATTATTTATACCATATTCTTTTGTATATTTGTCTTTAACATCATGTAATTGCAGATTAAAGTTATATTTATTTGAGATTGTATTGATTATATTCATGGAATATCCTTTTGATGTTGCAACATCGACTAAGAGGGGTGGGCGATTATGCCAATTTGCTTTTAATAAGCAATTTTTTAAATTAAAACTTATATCATAAAGTTTTTCACAATTTGTTGTCGTATAAATAATGTTTCTGCAATCAAATCTTTCGTAATCTAATAAATAAAGAGATTCATTCGATATAATTACAGTTTTATACGCTTGATTTTTCCAAAATAAATCAAAAACTTCTTGTATCCAACTTAAATTACTCAAAAATATGATGTATTTCGATTTGCAATGATACTTTTGTGCTTTAATTTTCATTAAAGCTTTTGATAAAATCTTTAGTTCTTTACTATTAATCAAATAATTATCAAACTTCTGGGTTTTGGATTCGATAAATTTTTCGTCGTTATAAGAATAGATTCCTTTTGAAGTAAAATTGATCAATGTTTCATCAAAATTGATTAAAATAGTTTCTCCTTCAAGATAATTCATCACAACGTCAACACATTTAAAATTAATTACAAAAAGTGGTTGATAAATTAATAATAGTATTAAAAAAACCACATGTTGTTCTTTGTAACACATTCTGTACAACAAGAAAATTGATTCTAACTTGTAATGAATAACATTTTACCTTGTTTGGACATCTTTTTTTTCATAATTACCTGAATATTAATAAATAATACCGAGAAATTATTTATTAGACACGCTACATGTTGAATAGAAAAAACTTTTTCATTATTAAAAACTTATAGTACAACTAAGAACATTAAGGCTAATATACTATTTTATCTGCATGCTATTTTTGTTCAGTTAAAGTTAATAACAAAAATTATTTTCATTTTTTCATTCATTTTTTTTTTTATAAATATAATATTTTTACAATCAAATCTTTCGTAATCCAATAAATAAAGAGATTCATTGGATATAATTACAGTTTTACACGCTTAGTTGAACCAAAAAATTTCAAAATATTCTAGTAAACTTAAATTACTCGAAAACACGACGTATTTCAATTCGCAATGATACCTATTTAATTTAATTTTCATTAACACTTTTGATAAAATATTTAGTTCTTCTTTACTATTAATCAAATAATTGGACGTAATATTAATCATCGTTTCATTAAAACAGTTTCACCTTCGAGATAATTCATTACAACATCAATACACTTCAAATTAATAACAAAAAAATGGTTCATGAATTAATATTAATATTCATATTAGGTAATATTTGTGTTTCAAAAATTGTATAAATAATTTCAATAATAAACACAACAATCCCTAAACTCAATCCAATTCCTAAAATCCAAAAAGAATATAGAACGTCTTCTAATTTAATTCTCTCTAAATCGTTATTTGCTATTGTATCATTCAAAAAACTTTCTCGAATTATAATAAACCATTGAAAGTCAGACACCCATTTCAATATAAATCCATGTTCGTGAAATTGACGAAGAGTAAAGTCGATTTGTTCACCAACATGAAGACAATATTTGACCGGAAATCCAGCCAGAAAAGTTTGAAGTTTCAAAGTACCATATTCACCTCGAAGATGGGGATATAATGACAAAAACATATCCTGACCTTCAGTTACATAATCTCTTCGTTTCATAAAATTGTTCATAACGAGATCGATGGTTCCATTTACAATCTCATAATTCTGCGTTGGTACAATTAAACCCCGATCTTTTAAAAAATCGGATGTAAAACTTCTTATTTTGATGGGGTGTCGCGTTTTGAAGGTATCCAGAAATGATTTTATCGGTTTTTCGTATTCTGGACTCGTTTGAAAGCTGTTTAAACTACTTTGCAAATAAACTCCAAGAACTAAATAGCATGGTAACATAAATGCAAATAAAAGTTTTACACCTTCGTAGAAATTACTTGATGCTGAAACGTTTAAATTTAATCCAAAAACGGTAAAAATTAAATTTATTACATCATTTTTTGTTTTTATTAACATTATTATTAAAATTGTGTTTGTTAAAAGAATTAAAAACCATTCGAGTGGTGTAAAAATATGAATAAACATCTCAAATTCCGTTAAAACGGATGGTTTTGGAAACATCGAAATATAACTGTTTGTTATGATATAATATGTTATATCTACATTTAATATCGAAGTTGTGGATAGTTCTGGAAAGCTTGTTATGTAAATATGGCACAAGTCTGCTTCAAAATCTTTTTTTAGACTATTGAAAGAATAATTTCCACCGTATTCTTTCATATATTTGTCTTTAACATCATTTAATTGCAGTACAAAGTTATATTTGTTTGAGATTGTATTGATTATATTCATGGAATATCCTTTTGATGTTGCAAGATCGACTATGTAGGGTGGGCGATTATCCCAACTTGCTTTTAGTAAACAATTTTTTAAATTAAAACTTATATCATAAAGTTTTTCACAATTTGTTTTCGTATAAATAATATTTTTGCAATCAAATCTTTCATAATCTAATAAATAAAGAGATTCATTCGATATAATTACAGTTTTATACGCTTGATTTTTCCAAAACAAGTCAAAAACTTCTTGTATCCAACTTAAATTACTCAAAAATATGATGTATTTCGATTTGCAGTGATACTTTTGTGATTTAATTTTCATTAATACTTTTGATAAAATATTTAGTTCTTTACTGTTAATCAAATAATTATCAAACTTGTGGGTTTTGGATTCAATAAATTTTTCGTTGTTATAAGAATAGATTCCTTTTGAAGTAAAATTGATCAATGTTTCATCGAAATTGATTAAAACAGTTTCACCTTCAAGATAATTCATAACAAAATCGACACATTTTAAGTTAATTACAAAAAGTGGTTGATAAATTAATAATAGTATTAAAAGAACCAAATGTTGTTCTTTACGAGACATTCTGTACAACAATAAAATTTATTCTAACTTGTAATGAATAACATTTTATCTTTTTTTCATAATTACTTGAATATTAAAAAATTATAGAAATTATTTATTAGACACGCTACATGTTGAAAAGAAAAACTTTGTCATTATTGAAAACTTATAGTACAACTAAGAACATTAAGGCAATAATTATTAATGTTATTTTATTTGCATATTATTTTTGTTTCAACTGAACAATAAAAAAAAATTATTTTCTCCAAAACGGTTTGAAATTTAGAACTGAAATTTGTTAATGTTGTTTTTAAGTCTCGAATGTAAATAAGTGTGGAAATAAGTAAATCGAAAAATCAATTAGTGTATTTTTATTTATATGTTTACATATATATACTTTGAATACATAGTGTTAAATCTACCATAATATTTATAGTGATTCTATAGATTCTCGATTCTTTTTGATTTTGATTTTATCCGATTATAACAGGCTGTACACTTTAAAATGATATCCTACGTTTTCCAATAAGGCATAAATAATTACACTTAACATAATAATTATTAAAAGTTAAAATTATAAAAGTAAATTTGCAAAGCGCTCCTTTTTATTTCACAATAATTAAAGACAACAAAAAACAATAATGGAACAAAAAAGAAATAATAACATTTTCGATAGTTTTGAAATAAATATGAAAATATAGATATATGTATATTACCATCTTTTCTCCTTAATTTACCCTGGTTCCTACCATTTTTCGTTTAATTACATTAAGCGATAATATAATACCCTCTTAAATGATTTTCTACTGGATATCGATTCGAATTTCAAAAGTTTTTGCTTAACAAAACGAAATTCTGACCAGTAGATTAGAATTTTGTGTGAAACTAACCAATATGTTTCAAATATTTCGGGCATTTCACCTATGATATATGGCTGAACAAAAAACTTATATTATAACTACAGAGGCACGCTAAATTTATCCAATTTTTTCTCTACACGGTTCGTTTTTTTTGCATACTTATGTACAAATCTAATTAGGATGTTAGAAATAAGAAGCATAACTTAAACAAAGAGACTAGCAAATACATCTTTTTTTCTTCGTGTCTGATATACGTATAGAAAGAAACAGCTTTTTATAGTATAAATACAAAGGATTTCACGGCCGATGTTATTTGAACTAAAACTAGAACTAACACTAAAACTAGAATTAACACTAAACCTGGAATTACAAACTTTGGCGTCTTTTGATAAAATTTTGACGTTTTAGATGCTATGTGGTAATCTTTTTCAGAAACAAGTTCGAAGTTAACATTTGTTAACAAATATTTATTAATTTTCTTGAATATTTATATCTTATATTGAAGCAAAACTAAAACCAAAGCTAGACCTAGAACTAGAAATCTTTGGGTTATATTTCTAGTTCTAGGTTTAGTGTTAGTTCAAATGATAAGTATAAAGATTTGAAAAAATGGATAAATTTTTATTAACAAATGTTCATTTCAAACTTATTTCTAATGAAGATTGCGATATGAAAGCTTCTAGTTCTAGGTTTAATATTAATTCCAGTGATATTGCTAGAGTTAATTTTAATTTTAGTTCAGCTTTTAATTTAATCGATTCTTTTATATTAATGGTTTTATTCCACTGGAACTCAACATTTTATTTACAAAATTTACGATTGCTGACGCTGGTTGCTCTGGTTCTAATTCAGCGAATAAATGGCACTGGTTATCGTTACTTGACGACGTTTTCCTTGCGACAAATCCAAATATACGACTAAAAAATAAATAAAATTAATTAATAATACTACATAATAATAGCAAAAACTTTTCAACTCACTGTGCACTCTTTATAACGGCTCCATCTTCACTTCCAACATTCCAACGAGTTTCCCCAGGATCAATTCCACAAAACGAAACGGTATTAACAGGATAGTGTTTTCTAAAGAAAAGTTTTCTCTTATTATCCGTCAAAGTAATTCCTTGTCCGTTTACTTTAAAATGCACGATGGTTGCGTTAACTTTCGGTTGTTTATTAAACATGTCAATAACCGTTTTTTTAATAGCTTCTGGGCCAGTTAAAGATTCCGTATCAAACGAGTACAAATACAAAACGTTACAAGCGGCGCCCGTGGCTAAAAGGATGTGTGCCGCGTTGGTTGTGCCATCAGAATGTTTAATATCTCCTTCTGGTAATATAAGTCTACATGGTAGAGCCATTGGGGTGATGGAGTGTTGATACACTAACGCAGAAAGTGATGTAAAAACGGGTTCGTTTGTGCATCCTTTAAGACGAACTCCTCTGGATGTTGGTTCGATTAAGAAATGTCGAACTAATTCGTCGTTACCAAGTGGAGATTTCGCTTGAAGATTAGGAGGTACAGCTGATACTTTTAATGCCATTCCAAAAGCTCCAGGGAAAGAATTTGAATCACGAACAACAAATGTACCTGCTGGTTGATCTTTTAACATATGTATAGCTAAAATAAATTAATTATTATTTAATTTAAACTAAATTAAATTTAAAACATTACCTTCTTCTCTTGAAATAGCCGGTTTATACCAAAACTTGGACGTATCTCTAACAAATTGAACATGGACTGGCGATACTTCATGGAGAGGGTCGCTGGTCGAATGTACTGAACTTCTTCTAGAATTACCATAATATATGGTAGGTGAGGCAGAACCGTTGAAGGTTGGGCTCTTTGGACTATGTTGGTATGATTCGGAATAATGACGATAATACTCTGAACCATTAGATAGGTCTGATGGTGAGGTCGGTCTGTCCTTTCTATTACAACAAGTATCAATGTTAATACAGAATAGAAATATTTTAGATCAACCCTAAATTAAATATCATTTTTTTCATAACAAAAAGCACACCATGCATGTGTTTGGTTTTCTTTCCATAGAGCTAGTTGTACTATAAATTCCATAAAAGTTTTTTAAAAGGTGATTTTTAAGTTACGTTTTGAAATTTGTTGAGGTTTCTTGTTAGTGTCGGAACAGAAATGTGTATCAAATAATTACTTTGAAAGGCGGAAGAAAGATAGACAACGACATGTTTTTGGAACATCATGCTCTTGGGCCTTTAGACATTCAAGTTACCTCTCTGTCGTTTCAACTCCTTTCTTATATTGTTTCAATGTAGATGACGAAGGAAAACTCATTCGTCTAGAATTTATCAGAGAAAACCATTTTTTATTATTACAATTTTTATCCATTTTAAATCCATTCTATAATTAGCTTTTTTATGGTTCTCAAAATAATTAAATATAATGTATGTACGAAGGGTTTTATGGTCGGTGTTAACTGAACCAAAACTAGAACTAACACTAGCACTATCACAAGAACTAACACTCCACCTTGAACTACAAACTTGCGAGTTTAGAAAGTTTCTAGTTCTAGGTCTACTGTTAGTTCTAGTGAAAAATTAGTTCTAATTTTAGTTTAATTAACTATAAACTTTTTAATTTTAATTAGATTTACTTACCGCTGGGTTGTAGGACTTTTAGGAGGAAGTCGTTCGCCTGGTATATCAAATTGAACGGTAGGCGTGGAAGAATTTTGATACGGGGTACGAGCCACTGGGAAAGCTGGCGTTTGAGGTCGAGATGAAAGACTATGAGGCGAGCTGGAACTTGCGTCTGTCATCGATTGAGAACGCCAGCTCGAAGAATATTCTTCTCGGTACTAAATAAGTAATAAATATATTTATCTTATTTAAGCAGATAAATATGTCTAAAAGGATTTTAAAGCAATTTATATAGTTTTCCAGAAAGATTTGTGCAAAACATAGAGATGAACTCATGATACATATAAAGCATAAGTTGTGCATATAAATGAATTTGGAAAGTTATTGATAAAGCCAATGAATTAAATAAGAAATAGTGGAAAAAAATTTATTTCTTCTTAATCAGAACTTGGTGATTAAAAATCAAAACAATGAAAATGCGTAGAATTGACTAATAAACAAAATAAACAGAAAATGTTATGCTCACATTTATATTATAAACTAAAGAAACATTATATTTGACATTGAGAAATTGAGAGAGTTAAATATTTGAATGAAATTTGGAGTGTAAGCATTAGTAGAAGGGATAAAATAAGATGGAAAGCTTGGAATGTTTCCAATAAAAAGAGAGGGTGAAAAATCATAAAACGCACGATAGAAATAATATTATGACAAGATTTTGGACAAAAAATATGGATATGATATAGAAAGATGATCTTCGAAACGTGCCCAGAATCTGTTCATTCAATTCTAATTTTCATGTTTTTCATTTTAATCAGTTCTAGTTTTTTCTAACTTCTGATTTTAGCCCCGATGAATAATTGGAAAATAAAAATGTTAGTACCTGCCATGCAGATGCTGAGTTAGGACTATTATGCGACTTATCAGATCCATTAGATAGGTTAGCCATGAGATCGCTGAGTGCGTCCGAGGATTGCGTGTCGGCATCCTTGCCGTGTTGTGATAGGGTTGGTGATTTGTCTGTGTTTTGAGAACTGTCGGAACGAGCGTCAGCCTCAATGTGCTGGTGTATACCCACCGTGTTGTTAGCAGAACCACCGCCGACGCCATCAACAAAATGGTGTTCTTGTTGTTCGACCAAAGACAAAAGTCCGCTGTCGGTGGTGTCGGCGCCCCTAGATGGGGATCTTACCACGTGACCAAGAGGATTAGCTGCTAGTACGGAAGCGGGTGTGTTTTCGATTCCCTGAAATTATTGGTGAATTATTGATGCGGTGCATTTAATGTGTTAATGAAATTTTAAAAAAATTACCTGTCCGTATTTTTCGTGTGCTCTTTTCACTGCCATAAAAGGTCGTTCGTTTTTGTTGGTGGTTGAATATGTGGTTTTAAAGGTACTGAATGTTGCTGCGGATCCAGGTGATTGATGAGCGTTTCTTATGTTGATATGTAAAGGGATACTGTATTCGTCGTCGTCGTCGGCGAAAGCCGTTGTATCGCTGGTGTAACCATCAAGTCTATGACTAGCGGAAGGTCTCATATGTTTCGAATGAACACTTCTTAACTCAGTCATAACTCTCGATTCATACGGTTGTCGTTCTTCCCTTAATTGCATCTCCCTTTTCTCTTTTAATTTCCTCTGTTGAAGTTGCAACCAAGTCAAATTTTCCACGTTCCCATTTGTAACTGTACTAGAAGTACTATAACTGAAAATTAAATAATATATTTTAACGATTTCGTTCACGTTTACGGCGTGAGTCTTCATTGATCTTGACATTGTTACCCTTATAAGGCGAGGTCCGCCGCAACAAGAGAAACAGGTCCCTATCGAAGTGAAGAAAAAAACACGGATGTGGAGTAATAAATTCAAGGAAAGGTACCGTACTTAAAAGCGTAAACGACGTAATTTAGATAAAATCTGCATATCGATTTATCGTAATCGTGTCGAAATAATACCTCTTAAGTTTACTGCCATTTATGGTATAATCGATCTAATTGATTGTTACGACTTGGAAAATCTTGACAATGTTGTGACTGAGTAAATTTATGTGTTATTACAAGTAGGTACGAAGACGTTCACGGAAAGTGTTAATTGAACTAAAACTAACACTATCGCTAGAACTAACACTTGGTTAATTCTAGTTTTAGTTCAATGCACGTGTTTTATGCTAACTATTAATGACACAACCGTTGCATGATTTATGTGGACACCTGCATTTACGTTTGCGATTTATTTTCATCTTATAAAAGGCTTTAATGTATCGGTAAGTTGCGTAAATAAGGTTATTTATTGAACAAAGAACAATGGAATAAACGTTGCTACTATTTTTGCTACTGTAGGCGTAACCACACCAATTACCTCAATGAACCAAGATCGATACTTGCACGAGAAACAGATAATGATCGGACTACTTAACCTTTTCCTAGAACAAACTGTGCGTTAAAAAAAACGAGGTTAATTGGAAAATTGGACTGTAAATCACGAATGACGAGATTTTAATCGCTCTCTATGTTTTTTTAGAAAGATTGTTTTATTTAAAATGGCATGCTTTTTAGTTGATTACAATGGAAAACTAAAAAAGATTTATAGACCATAAACATGATCCAAATGGCTTTTTCGGTTGTATCTTGTTTAGATTACAAAGTACCCCTCTAAATTTTGTTTAAAACCTTTTATTAAGTTTATAATAATTTACATACGTTTTAATTAATAAACAAATACAATCTTGTTTATTAACCGTATCAAGAGTTTGGCATAAATAATCGGCGACCTATTTAAAGAATAGAACGGCCGTAACTTTTGACGACGTCTGTCGTTACGTTTCGCTCCGGCGTTAATGCACACTTTTTGGCTCCGAACCAAATTCGGTAATGACTCATACGAACCTTAACTTAAACTTTTTAGAGGCCACAACACAAAATAAGTATCTAAAACAACAAACAAATAATTAATTACGGTTCTATTCAAGATAGATGAAACTACACGTAAATATTTATCTGAAACTTAATTACTTAAAAATAAAATCAGTTTATGAACTTTTAAAAGTGGCCTTCCCTTAAACCGCCAAGCCCTCGACCTATATATGAGGCATGGTCATGCACTGTAGACCAATAAAGTAGTTTTCGTACGCGCGACCTTCCAAGCCTTACGTGGTTTGATTTTGCCTTACTTAATCGTGAGCATCGTCACGAACTTTTCGGACATAATCACGTTACTTTAAATCATTAATTTAAATTTTGTGTGGGCGGAAGAAACCGTAACAAATAAATGAAAAAGGATATTCTATAGCCAGTTTGGAATGCCACACTTTTACGGTTAAGATTCTTCTGGAGAGTGGGACTAATGAATTTTGTTATGTTTTGAAACCAATCGAGTGTAACGTGAGAGTCTTTTCATATATGGAAGTGACGTCGAAAATAAAAATCGTCTTGCGGAGGTGTTATGTTTGCGTAGTTGCGAGCTTGATCTTGAAACCAAGGTTACTTGTATTACTGGTTTCGGAATTTTAATATTTTATAGTGTGGGTATTAAATATGACGGCGCACCATGCACAACTTGGACATAAAAACATTTAAAAGTCGATAACATTCATCGTGTTATCGTTAAATCCGGCAACAATTTTAATAATCATATCATATTGTTGAATAATATAATTCCCCAAGGAGCTTAATGCAGAGGAGTCTACTCCACTTTGGTTACGCATATATGTAAGATTCTAATTCTGATTCTAACACATAATTAGTATGATTTGGAGTCATCATTACGAAAAAGGACCTAAAAGGTTTACGAGCTTTTCTTATGGCATTCTTTGCTGACCATATGGCCAACATTGAAGGTCAAAGAAATAACAGTATCTCTAAGATTTATGTATCTATGGGTTTCTGTGAGATTAATATCAAAGATTTAGTCAATCCAGAAATTTTTCCAGATAATAATGCACTAATAATACACTTATTAACCCGTCATTGGTCGGTATGTGAGATTTTCTCTCACATACCTACTTGTTTTCGTATGTTATGATTGACCTAGCGACCAATGACGGGTTAAACAAGGAAATTTTAGTTGATTTACCTGAAGATGAAGCGGTAGCTTAGAAATCAGTAATAAGTAATATGGCGTATCTTGTATAAAAAATAATTCATTTGATATAACTCCCGAAGAATTAAAAGTTAAATGCATAGTGATATATTGTTGATATTGAGCCTCCCTCTTCGGATTCAGAGAAAGTTTATTCCCAGGCACCGTTTTTGGGATGGCAGGTGAACACTCCTTGTGATTCATTGAGTATATTATTTATGGCATATTTTAGCAGGTTGCTGCATAATTTCACTAGTAATTTATCACATTCTATCTTAACATTAATATTTTCTTTAAAAAACACTCCATGAAAAATAAAAATGTAAAAAAGTCTAAGAAAATCACGTCGGTATCGACTTACAATGGCTATCTTGGGCCATTAATAATCGTTTTTGCGCGGCATTGTCTAGTCTCGCGCGGTTTCCTTTATGCTGAGATGGTTTGACGAGAAAAATGTCTGGGAACTTTCTATAGTTGCTCGATTTGGCTTTGTCCGTTGTGAAACGGGCCGTTATGGACGTTTATGTGTGCTATACGAGATGTATCGATATATGGAGATGGAATTTGAATAATTGCAACATGCGTTACATTTGTCGCAAACGTTTATGGAAAAGCGTATGTTCCGATTTACGAACAGACTCCGTACTGTTATGGAAATTTATATCTTTAAAGGGATCGATTTACTCATTGAAATTTTTTTCTAAATTCTTAGAAAAAATATAAAACGTTTACATACCAGTGTAGCATCATCTTGAAATTGTGACTAATTTTCTACAAAACGAACTAGCTTAAAGTAAGTCACGTTAAGTAATGTTACGTTGGTAAAATATTAACCAGTATATTTAGGTATTCGCTCTTATCATAAGTGATTTTTGTATTAAACTGATAGCGATAAGATACTGATATCGATGACTTTTTAATTCAATAATACTATAAGGAAATGAGATAATTTTTCTTTATAAATATTTGGTCGTAAAATAAAGAAAGGTTTTCGCGGAATATGATTAAAACGGATGGATTAGGTAATAGAGATAAGAATAATTATTAACTTACCCATCGTAGTCGGGACTTTTCGACCTGAAGGCACTTGGTGGTGATAAACTTTCGGAGTCGGAATAAGCTCCCTGCGACTTATAAGTTACGTTCTTATCAGGGCTTCTTCTAAGAGTTCCTTCCGTAAAGCTCCTCTTAATCGGATCGTAACGTTTGATTTCCGTTTTGTAAAGCTCCTCCCGGAAATCTCTTCTGACAGGTTCGTTCGCTTTAAGGGCACTTTCGGTGAAGATGTCATCAATGGGATCCCTCTTCTCATATTTCGACGAAGAATACGTATTATACTTTACATTTCCAGACCAACCGTAATCTCTTGGTTTTTGTGAAAAGTCTGGAACAACTTGCGCTTGGACTCTCTTTAAAGTATCTCCGGAAGACTTGCTAAAACTGGCTTTTCTCACCAAACTTGGACTCGATAATTTTTTCGATTCTTCAATCATGTTCGCGTTTACACCATAAGAGAACGGTCGGGAATCTTGACGTGCGTGATAAGGGATGTTCTTGTCTTCTTCTTCGTCTATGTATCGAACGTTGTCTATGTTTAATGTTGCAGGAGGTCCAGGTGACTGGTGATGATTGGGGCGATGGACACTGGTTGGCTTAGGATCGGGCATGCTCTGTACTGTTAACATCATATCCGAGAGGAGTTCGTCTAGCTCTCGGTGTTGGTCTTCGGGAGTTTGCGGCGACGGTTGAGCGGTCAGTGGGGGACTGGTCGAGGCGTTTGTGTTGGCGTTCTGGTGGTGACCTGCGCAGTGAAAGTGATCTCAATCAGACTGCGCGAGCTGCTGAGTAATCTCGGAGTTTCGGTGTACTTAAGTTTTTTTTATAAGTATTTATTTAGGTGGGAGTGTCAGATGACCCTACTCGGCTATATCCAAGTTAAAGGGGTTCAAAATTGGGTTGAAATCAAGAAGTATTGTTTCTCAGAAAACAATAAGGATATCTTCCTTGACATACATCTCCATTTTTGTGTATACAAATATACAAAGCATTTAAAATCAAATTATTGACGTTTTCAGGAATTTACATAAACGCTACAATCTTTTTTATTTATTTATTTTTTAATTGAAAGTTGATATTCTGTGCACGCACGTATAATTTGCATTTCAAACGAAACGTGACCGACATCTGTTTGCTACCCACGCGATCGCAAAGGTAATTTTGTAATTACTCACTACAATCCCGTCTTGGTTATACAATTAAATGCCATCGGTGTTTGTGATCATCTTTACGACCATATGGCGATCATTTCCTTACGGTTTTATTCATATCTAACTGTATACAACGCACAAATTAGTTTCAAAACGTTTCTACAATTTTCATTTGGCGAGTATGTTTTCAAATAGAGGACAAGTTAACGTGTTTTGCTCGCGATATTTTCGGTCTATATTTATTTTATTGCAGGCCGGGAAACTGTTATTCAATTTACATAACCTTGGGATGCCGATCGTAATGCGTGCGTGTTTGATTTCGAGACACAAACTTCTTAGAAACACGAAAATAGTCATAGATTAGGTTTCATAGTGTGGTTACAAATTTTTGTATGTATAAGGTTTTTGATTTTTTAAGACACTTACCAGCTGATGAAATTCCCGAGTCCATTGACACAGTCAATGGGCTGGAAACCGCACCCGGGGATAATTCGGGTTTTTTCGTTATGGTTGCGTACAAACTTCCATCTAATGGACCGAATGTGTGATTGACATCTTCTATATTACAAGAAAAATATATATGAAATATTTAAGTTTATTATTGGATTTATAATTTACAGCTTTATACGTTTGAGCGAAGAAATTGCTGCACCTTAATGCTTTTGGGTCGGCGTATTACCTTTGAAGTCGTTAAACCGTGCATAATTGGTCATATAGAAATAATGATTAGCTTCCTGCTATTTAATAGTTTCTAATGCAAAATTGTTTATCACAATTTAATCCGTGTAAACATAGATAAGAAAATACACGGAGATATCAACTCTAATAATAGAATCGCAATTAAGAATAAACCCATACAATGTAATATATATATTACAAGATAAAGAGTAATCATAAAATTACAGTAATTGGTTTTCACTGAGGTATTTTAACAAGATGTGGCAAATCTGTACAATTCATTTCGTGCCGGAAAATTCATACAATTATCGATGGTATTTACACAGGAAATCGTACATAACGCTGAAAATACCGACGTTCTCGTTATACCCCTTGCCGAAGGCTTTTCATAAACTCGAACACGATGTTGGGTCGAAAATTAGCCGATTTCTTCAAAAACAATGCAAACAACGTACGCAGCCATTAAGTGGTGCACGAAATCCTTGAACGAGGATGCGTGGCAAATAGAAAATAGAAATTTAAATTCTGGACAGAATGAAAACAAGCGTTTTGCACTACTATTGTACGAAACGTGTTTATCGAGCGGTGTGATCAAAGAGTTAACGGGGACGATTGTACGGGTATTTTCAACATAGGCGCAGCGTGAAACTAACATGAACGAATAGTTGCCAGCATGCTAATTTAATCGTTTTATATTCAACGAAAATTTTAATTACAAAATTTTCATATTTAAATAATTAAGAAAACCAAACACCCGTCTTAAGAGGTGCTCGAGTACACCCGAATGTTTCTAGTTCTAGGTTTAATGTTAATTCTAGTGATAATGCTAGTATTAGTTATAATTTTAGTTGTTCTTCAGCGCCAAGTTGTTGAACATTTTTATTGAATTAAAACTAGAACTAACACTAGACCTAGAACTAGAATCATTCGGGTTTAGCCGTCTTGAAAGACGTACGGCTAAACCCGAATGTTTCTAGTTCTAAGTCTAGTGTTAGTTCTAATGATAGTGCAAGTGTTAATTCTAGTTTTAATTCAATAATCGATATTAAGATTCAAGAAAATTGGTGCCATTTATGTTGCACTAAAACTAGAACTAACACTAGAACTAGATTTCACTAATTCAATTTCAATAGTTGTTTTTAGTTTTAACATCACAGAAAGAATAAATAGAATTTCAAAAATTTAAACACATCGTTGTTTAATTTAGTTTTACGAAAAATTAATTAAACAATTTGTTTTTTTTTAAGATTAAAAGTTGTTGGCACGGTGCAAACAATAAATTGAAACGAATGTACGGATTAATTTAATGTTAATATGAATTGTAGACTTTTTTAGCTCACAAACACATTTCCCATTAGCCTGGATTTCACTCCTCGGACATAGATAAATATCCACTTACTGTCTCAGTTAACAAAGCCCTAAATTCCGCACACACCGCCATCAGGAGTTTGCCAAGAAGTTCTTATTTCCGCTTGTGCCTCCGTTGGTGCTATTTTTATTCTTCGTTTATTTATAGAGAGCATAAATGAAACCGTAAATCTGTCTGTACTAGAGCCGGCCTGAATACTATTTATTACACCACCGAAGTTAGCGAAGCGATCGATAATATCAGAATTACATTTACAGAAAACTACACAGAAGTAAAGGTATAAAGAGACTGATTGTGTTGAAGTTGACGATCTAAGAGGAATTACTACAAAGAACCGGTCGATTGCAAACATGATTTACTGGCTTTCTATCTGGTACAAATATGGGCGTTTTTAATTTAACACCAGCCGATTTCACTGAACGACAAATAAGGCAAAAAAGAAACTTTTTCATTTGTTTCAACGTCGTCTGTTAGACGAAGTCGATTCGATGATTATCTTTGATGAAGATTGCTCGTGGCAACTTGGTGTTGTCGCAAGAATTGTGAAGATTGAGCCGTAATAAACGGGCTATATCCCCGGGAGCTATCACTCCTCGAAGATCGTGGTTCCAGACCACATAACCCAAAGGATCTCTTCGCTGTGTAGTAATTTTAAAAGCTGGAGGAATGCAGCTTATGCACGAATACTAGCGTGAGTAGTCCATATAGCCGATTGAGATATAGCTTCGTGAGAAGCGAATACATTTTCAGTCTGAATTTAAAAAACGTTTTTTTTTCTTTCCGTAATCGAATAAGTTATAATTACGTCACATGACGATCGAAAGGAGATCGTAAAACGCTCGGATAACATCTGCGGTTGCTTTGATATAAATGAAATTATAATTGGACGAGTAATTACGGGTAGAAGGGAAAGTATACGTTCTGTATTTGGAAGGAGGCCTCCGAAAACGGTTTCAATTAGCGCATTGCCGGTGCGTTTCTTTAGATGAGAATGTCTCATTTAGATGACGAATTTTTGCGTTAACCGTGAGGTACTTTTTTGCTTTATGGTCACGAAAAAGATTTCTCTTCGAGTCGATCGCAATTAACAAAAGAAAATAAAGATAAAAGATTGTCAATAAAAAATTTAATTCAATGTATTTAACATATTTTGCTGTCTCGTTAGATATATGTAGCTACATTGTATGTCAATCAATGTTGAAATCGTATTTTTTCTTAGTTAATCTATTGCGTTGTTTGCTTGTGGAAATGTAACCAGTTGATAATCAGTTTGGTGTTTTGAAATCGAGTTAATTATAGAACATTGAGGGCCATTTCTCACACCTTCACCCATCTTTGCTTATTTACTCAATTACTGAACATCAAAGATACCCCGCTGATGACCGTATTTATTCAAGATTTTCTATTTTAGAGTTTAAAGTTTATATTTTAAAACGATTCGAGAGAAAGAGGTAGCAGGAAATCCTGGCGCCAGATGCTCGGAAATGAGAAAAGTTTCAGACCACAACTCACAATTTACCAACTTACCGGGGATTTTATTAATAAATCCAATCACAAGTTCTGATAGAGATGTGTTAGTACACTAGTAGTGCGGTTCATCGTCGGAAATAGACTGGACGCGAAGAGGACGACGTAAAGAAACTTGGAGAGACCGCGGAATACTAAGTTCTCTCTAATCTAATAGTGGTTATATTTAGTTTCTAAGAGAAAACGTGCTCGTCCAGCCGCCAGAGCGATTGTCACTCTAGTTTTATGTTGCAGGACACCGATTTTTAGAATTCAAGTTTGAAATGCTTCGATTCAAAACATCGCGTGGAAAAGTTTGTATCAATTTATAACTCATTAGCACAAATGGAACCAATTATTCTTGGCAATTTTCAAAAATTACGTCAGTAATTTTCGAATTTGTTCCACTTCATATAACCAATCAAAACTAAACGATCCATGAATGTGTTTTAGATTAAACACATATCGAGTTTTTATCTAAATACGATGTTGATGCAGACTCATGTCTCCAATACGAGTGCTTAAATATCTCTGCTGAAAGAACTTAATAAATATAAAATAGCACTAGCAGCAATACAGGAGATAAAATCGATGGAAAAATGAATCCGAGATACAAAAACGCACACAATGTCATATAACGGATTTTGTTGTCAAAGAAAGACAACATTAAGACTTTGAACCAGTAAATGAGAGACTGAATTTGGGCTGTCTCGCCATTTAAGAAAAAGAGAGATGTTAATATGAATATTAAATAACGTCATTGAAATCATAATGAATCATTATATAACTCATAACCAAATAAAGAAGACAAAAACATCTCAAATGTATAAACATTCCATATTAAACGGATGTTACATAGATGATTTGTGTGTTTACAAATTTATAAGATATAATTTTGTATGCAACATTGACCACATCCGTTCTAAATTCAACAAAACTTAAATTTGTTTATGTTCGGCGTTGTGCAATAATAAAAAAATAAATATAATTTAAATTTCTTTTTAAATATATATATTTTTTAGAGTGGTGATTCGAAGTGCATCCAACTTCGTAGAGCAGTAAATAAGCTATAAGATGGGCAACACGTGGCCTGTACAACAACAAACCGAAAGAGACTCATAGGAAAGGCGTTTGAATAATAGTGATAAAGAACGGCATAAACCAGAGCTTCCTGGAACTAACGTAATAGCCATCAAGAACGCTCGAGGTTATTCTTAACACGACACCTGCAACACAACATGCTTTATTTTACCTCTTCCGTTAATTTGTCGACACGCGTTTCGTAAACACTCGGTTGTAGGAAATTTATTGCCAATTTAGTACGGTTACCACAATGGTTGGAGCGATTAGATTTACCGTTGCAAATACGATCTGGCACACAGGAGGATATCCGATAGCGTTCTGGTTTACGGTGCGTACATTTAAATTATTTTACAGACGGAGAATTAATTGATTACGCATAAATCAACGTTGATTTATTGGATATTAACTGAAGAATTTAATTAAGCTAATCAATTTTCATAAGATCAATTACAGGAAAAGTTACTGTTATGTTATTTCATACTCAATTTGTATTAATTATTTTTAACGTTTCAAAGTGTTCCGTGGTAGCAATAGATTTTGTAAAGTAAATATTTAAGTTAAATAATTCATTGATAAATTGATAAAAGTAGACACTCATTTTTTTATATTATTTTCTGTAGTAATCTTTGTTTACAAAAATAGTTGATGAGTTACAAATATTTATTTAAAAGATATACTCATTACATTGTTTGTTTTTGGTACCCCTATCAATACATAACACGTCGGTATCTTATCGTTATCGTCAATATTAGATTTTCCGTGTTGATCTAAATTTTATGATCTAGCTTTTAAAGGATTATATCAATTCCCACCAGGAACAACAAAATACACAGTAATTAATCATTTATTGTTTATCAACCGATAAATTCCGATAAACTTAAGTAACGAAACATTAATAAATATATTTCTACTCACCGGCATCAGAATCATCATCATCGGAATCTTCAAAAATAATCGGACTATCAGATCTGATGATGGGGTCATCAGAAAATATTACAGGCACAGCTGGTGTAGGAGCTGGAGTTGGTAGACTTCTTTCTGGGCCGGGGGAAAAGTGTAGCTCTATTGCACCATCTATTGGGAATCTTGAATCTAAGGGAATCACAAATTTAATTATTTTTTATTATATATTAATTAATTCTTTTATACCGTTACAAGCAACATCTAATTCTTGTCGGGTAAAACTCAAAGTGTAATCTGCTACGGCGCATGTATGAAATTGACAAGCGAAGATTGTTTCTCTTCCTGTATCACCTCTATGGTAACACTTTATGAGGATGTCGCCACGAAGTTGTAAACCTCTTCGTCTTTCGCCGGCAACATTGACAGTAAATTGGCCCACACCACTCGAAACTGTATAGATACCTAGAAATAACAAAACCTTAACACTTGACCCTAAACATTAAAACATTAAAACCCTAACTAAAGTTTTAGTTGAATAAAAATATACAATAACCCTACAATCTAGAAAGTTTCAGGTTTATATCGGTTATTTGTTTTTTTTAATATCATTACTTATTGTATAACTATAATTTTTGCAATTTCTAACACAGACTCGTTTCATTCGTAATTCTCTCTAGATGACAAGAAAAACAAAAGGAACTCAAGACAGTAGCAAGAGTTTAAGTAATTGGCTTACGAAGTTTCGGGAAGTTATGAAAAATTCATCGCGCAACTTTCATAAGCGTTCGTAACTTTTAATTAAAGATTTGTCGCGGAGTTTAATTTCAAACTTAGTCTTAGAAGCGGAATTTTACCATTAAACGTTGATACAAAATAGATCCTACCTAGATTTCCGATTACATACCTGATGTATAGACGGGGTTTTGTCCTTCATAAAGTTTTAAGAAAGCTCTGCATCCACCAGCTTGAAATTTGGGTGCTCCCAATACAGTGACGTGCGTTAAATATAATGGATCAGTATTGATTTTGATATTATGCGAAAGAAGTCCAGCGAAATAATCTACGTATCTACAATTAAAAAAAGTGAATTGATAAAGATTTTGGTTTTTGAATAACATTTAACCTCGTACAGAGTTCAAGTAGTGTTTTAAGTAGCTTACCTCTTGTTCGAGGGCATCTGCAATGGCCCTACGGTGTCATCGAGGTACTTTCTCATTGAAAATCTATCCAGAGCTTGTTCAGCGCTGCCACAGATACTCGAGTAATGCATGTAAGCAGCTACTACAACCCCAAGCTTGTCCTTACTGCCCCTACAACAAAAAAGAAAAGAGGAAATTAAGTTCGAGAGAGATGTCAGGGCCCAAAAAAAGATAATGTAATAGCGAAGATGGGTTTTTGATGGCGGTGGCTTTTCATAATCGTTTTTTGTAACTTCACAAAAAAATGACGAATTTTATGCCCTCACTAAAATGATTTTATAATGTCATAAAATCTTTCCTTGTATTAAATATTTGGAATAATCATATTTGTTTTGTTTAGTGTTCTAAATTCCGATTCATCGAAAAGAAACGAGTTGAAAAAATGTGTTGTTCCCTTAATTGGGAGAGATTGACACTATTCTCGTTCAGAGAAATCACGTGCGTGTCTGCGTGCCGTTGTCCATTTTAACAGTAATTAGCCGGATGTAAAGTGTACGTGACTTACTTGGCGTGCAAAACCGCTATTCTATGCTGGTCCGAGGATAACCAGGAGTCTATTTCCTTGCAGACGCTACAAATCCTTTCTAGAGGTGGAGCTAATCTCGGCGACCAACCCACTTCTTTCACGTGCTTGTGCTCGTTTCGAAGTATTCTCTTGGGTTCAGACAAATTGAATACCTAAAAACCAAATTTATATTATTAAAAAAAATAATAATGCAGGCGCCTCCACCAAGATTAAAACAAATTCATTTTAATTAATACTTTAAGTGTCTACAAAAACAACGATTTGTTTTTGAAAATAAGGAAAATAACAAGTTTTTACATAAATGATGATAAATTTTCGGTTTCCGAATCATCAAAGGGATCGGAATAACACGAAAATATGAAAGGGAAGGTAGCTGACGGGTAGTTAAAGAAGGCGCGTACAAATGTACGGTCATCATTTACATGGTGCAATTGTCGATAAATCCTTGACGCTTTCGCGTTTCGCAAGTTGGCAGCTTTTGCCTCGTAGGTTTAGTCGGCTAAGAGCGAAACTGCCGATGATTTATCGCCAAGACATAAGACTTAACTCGCACGAGATGAAAAGAAATCGCGTTAAATCTACGCAGATGGTCGTGACGAATGTACGCATTAAAACCGCGTAAGCATCTAGCACTCAGCTTGAAATGGTTATAAAACGCCGCATCGTCTGCGTGAAGTACGAAAATATATTAAACGGCAAATAGAATTGAGAAGGGATCTTTTGTCGTTCGACATAAACATAGTATTATATGAGATCATAAAGTCACCACTCTACAATTACTTATAATCATCTAACTGTTTTGAAGTTTCTAAAGATATTTATAGATAATAATTTTATATTTTCTTACCATATAGTTATCCCCGTGCTTGTTGGTGAGCATATGAGCGGCTTGTCGTTGTCCTTGTCTGTATGATTGTTGGCTACAAGACGCGGGAAACCAAAGAGCTATGATCCTTTCGGTCACATAGCTTAAGTCCATACCTCCGCTGGAATTACAATGTTTAACGGACCTAGGTTGACTGGTCAACGTTTCATAGTTGCTATTGTACGCCGAAGATGTCAGCATCTAAAAAAAATGAAATAAAAAATAGACGTTAAAGTCAAGTGAAGTCTCGGTTAATTGGTAGTTTTTGTTGAACGAACAAGTCGTTTCCTGTTAGCCTTCACCGCAAGCAACGCAGGACGTATCAATCACCTGTACCAATTCATTAGTTTCAAGTTAACACGGTCAGAACAGCACGAGATAAATTGAGTGTTGAACCGATCTAACACGTGTTTGCACTAACGAACCAAGAGAATTTTTAATCTATTTCAGTTTTTTTTTTGCGACCTTAAAATATTTTTCGACGTTTGTGCGACTAGTTTCGCAACCACTCCGTTAGTTTATTTTTTAAAACGCAGAATAGCACCAACTCTAAACATTATCGAAAATCAGGACGGCTTTAGTTTACTTCATCCTACCAGAATTCTTTTTTAAATTTAGCCAGGTTTATACTGACAGTCGTTTCAGGGTCGCGATTAATACAAACGGTATAAATGTTCCCAGCTGGAATACCGATTCGCGAATTTACATTTGTATAAGATAATACGCGAAATGTATTTTCGAGCGGTTGCTTAGATTGGTAATGGTTTATGAATAAATCATGATGACAGAGCGTGATTTGGACAATGATACATGTAGGTGTCATTGTATGGGATTGAAAAAGAAAATACCACCAAATTTCAATACATAAAATTTTATATTGTCGGGAGTGTAACATCGTAAGCAAAATTACATTTTGTAACTTTCTAATAAAATTAGTAAACCACGCCATAACCATCATCTCTACTGCTACTCTCCAACTAACCCTATCCCATTACGAATATTAACATAAATTAAAACCCGTCCGCTTAAAGTGGAGTGCCCAGTTAATAGTAATTCAATTACACGACCAACCGAGATTCTGTGCTATCTTCCATCGTAAAGCCTTTATCAGATACGAGCGGATTCCGTAGTCATACTACATGGCCACGCCGTTTTCTTATCTCGCGGACACCGTTTAATTGCAGAGAACCAAATGGATACCGGTTCATTAAAGCAAACATGCCAACAGGCGCAGTATTCTTGTAATTTCGATGCGGTTACAACTTGTTCGGCTACGGCTTCATTACAGATATTGCATGTACATAATCTCGGTTTACTTACGAAGTATTAGAAGGTGAAATTTAATGTTGAATAGTTGGAAAGTTTCTGCCTCGTTTAAATAGATATCACAAATAAATATAAAGTAAAAATTATTACATTTAAGGTTGTTTTTGGTTTCTTTATATCTCTAATCTGTTTATAGAGTTTTTGATTTTTCATAAAACATAGACACATAGAAGAAACAGTTTAGATCGAAGATTATAACTTGCAGGTTACAGTGTTAATTTGTAATTTCGTAACATAATTTCCTCTAATTACTAATCAATGATTATAGCGATAAGCATCGTCTCAAATTAACTGTACACGCCATTTCACAAGACGATAATCGGCTTAATTGCAAACCACGTGACGTCGAAAGAAGGAGAAGAAGAAGAAGCAGTCGAAGAAGGTGGGTTTGCACGAGACCAGTAATTAATTGAACTACTATCGGATATAATAAATTACGCGGTTTACTGCCTTCGAACATATTAATCGATAAATTCGCCCGTTTATTGCCGTTTCGCGGAGGAATTAACGTTAACAGACCGATAGTCGGAGACGCTAGCTGGATGTTTTGATACGGAAACCGGTAATTGAGGTAAGATAAATTTTGTCTGGGGTGACAGAGCAAGTCTTACGCCCTGGGAATAATAATGAGGGTCGAGGAACCACCTCTTCATGCAGCGTGGTCGCACCGAGGAAAAAAGGTGGAATGTATGCAAATTTTGACAAATAAAACCAAGCACGCTTGATGTTGTTTTTGTACGTTGAGTTAAAAATGCTGAAAAACTCTGTTTTCCATTTTGTAAAAATTAATTATCTTGATATGATTAAATTAAAACCAAAAATTGAAATATATGAGAAATAACTTTATGGCGGATGCGCCGGTTAAAGAAATAAATTTGAAATCTTAATGTAGATAAGGGTTCGAATGTTATCAATTCTTTTTTAATCTTTATATCTTTATTGAACTAAAACTAGAACTAAATTTATAGTATTATTAAAAGTATCATTAAATCTAGAACATTGGGTTTTCATGTTTCTAGTTGTTAGTCTAATATTTGTTCTAGTTTTAGTTGTTATTCAGCGCCAGGTTGTTGTAAATTTTTATTTAACTACAAGAAGAACTAACTCTAGACGTAAAACTAGCAAGATTGAAACTAGCACCTTGAAAGACACCAAGGTGGCTAACCCCGAATGCTTCTTGTTCTAGTGGTAGTTTTAGACTTGCTCCTTATCAAAAACTTAAATTATTTTTGTTCTTACCTTGTTTATCCCTGATCCATTTCGTAGTGGTTCATCATGAGAATGCTGCAACAAATAGACAATTTTATTACTAATTAAAATTACAAAAATACAGTGAATTTCACTTAAAATACAATATACAAAAATATATTTCCATAGAAACCAGGGCGTACCTACTTAGTTTGTCCCACATATACCACATGTCTAAATGTTTCTGGTTGTAGGTCTAATGTTAGTTCTAGTGACAGTGGCAAGTAGCGCTGGTTAACATAAGATATCACTATGTTCTCTATTTTTACTGAACTAAAGCTAGAACTAACACTAGAACTAACGCAAGACCTAGAACTATTCTATTTTCTAGGTCTAATGTTAGTTCTAGTGACAGTGGTAGGTAGCGCTATCTTGCATATTTTATTGCACTAAAACTATCACTAGAACTAACACAAGACGTAGTACTATAGAATCATTCGGGTTTAGCCGTCTTGAGAGACGTGCGGCTAAATCCGAATGTTTCTAGTTCTAGGTCTAGTGTTAGTTCTAGTTTTACACTAGCACTATCACTAGAACTAACACAAGACCTAGAACTAGAATCATTCGGATTTAGCCGTCTTGAGAGACGTGCGGCTAAATCCGAATGTTTCTAGTTCTAGCTCTAATGTTAGTTCTAGTTTTAATTGTTATTTAGCGTTAGATTGTGGTATATTTTTATTGAACGAAAAGTAGAACAAACACTAGATCTAGAATCAGAAACATTCGGGTTTAACCGTGCGTCTCTTAAGACGGCCAAAACTCAGGGTTATCATAAGGATGTCACGTTTTCCCAAGCAAAACTTTTCCTTTGCAAAATTATCCAATGCCTGTACTATTAAGCTATGTTGCATTTTATGTGGGACAGTACAAGTGCACAGTAGTTTCGTAACTATGGTTGCTGCAATAATATATTGCGAGTTATATGAAATTCTCGCTATATGATTAACATTTAATTATTATTTTTAGTTATGATAGAACATTAAGTTATACTACGCGAATAGAAACCATAACTTCATGACCAAGGGCATAAAGGACATAATAAAATACCGACAGAGCGACCACCCAGTGAGGAAACACAGCTCCTTAAAGTAATAATTATAGAATGAAACGCTCGGTCTTTCAAATAATGAATTAGCGATGCATCCAACGATCACAAAGAAGCATTTTAAAATAATTTTTGGTTATTTGTTATCGGTAACGGTTGATTTGTTTTATTGAATTTGCCATCAATACGGTTCCGTATGTGGAACGACCAAAGCGAGTCTCGTAGGTGTGAAAGTGTTATAGCGTTGTTATATCTAATCTATAGGGGCATTTAAAGATCGAAGGCGGAAAGGTGAAATGGTCAGTGCTTATCGCACGGTTTCCCTATACGGTAAACTGGTCGCATAATTTAAAAGGTAGTTTAAAGATTAGAAAGCGTTATTGTTTCAGGCCAAAGGACATTATACGTCAGACGAAAATATTCAAATGTCCTGAACTTTCGCGCTTGATAGTCACGTTTATCGTGACCGTTAAATATTATGTTATGTATTACATTGTAATTCTTTTTGTTGTTACGAAAACAACTCGATTTAAAAATAGTGTGCCAAACTGATATAATGGAATATGATTTATCAAGAAAATTTATTATATTGACGTTGAGAAATCACTGACCCGAAATCAGTTGTTACTGCAACGAAACAGCTAATTAAACCCCATCCCGAAACATTAACCGCATTTGATTGGATACCGATTTTTAACGATTAATCTCGGCGTCTCTGGCGGCGGTAATTTTCGTGAAGTCAATTACCGGTGGGACCGAATTACGATGCCGAGGCGGCGGCCGTATAATTAGCTGAAGAGATGGACTGCTAACGCCGTCCACATTAAATAAACCGCCCCGATTATGCGCTCTCTAAAGTGTCAGGAACAGCCGATACTTTAAATAATTATTGCCCTCGCTCCGAAGAGCTTCCACTTTTGGCTAAAAACTGAATACTTTGTATACATCCATTATTTCGACGTGTAACACGACGATTTTCGGATAACACGTTCGACGACGATCCCAATCTTCCATACCGTAATAATAACTCGAAAGGATCGCACCATCTGTCCTTATTGTAGACGACAGGTTGTATATTTGGTCAAGCAACAGTTTCATGGGAACGCGAGAAAATCAAGTACCTCGAACTTAACCAACTAGTCCTATTACGGATCTTACCTCATAAACATGTACATGATTGTAACACTATTTATTTAGAAGGAAATACAATTATAACGATTTATTACATTGCAATTAATTCGGATATGTAATTGTGATGATTACGTCTATTACGTGCGATAATTGGAAACAATATAAAATTATATCACGAATACGTACGTGATTGATTTCACGTTGTGTGTTTCTATGTCGTATTTTCTATCGCATTCTATAAAGTATATTTAATTATTATATTAATATCTAAGAAGGGGACTACAAAAACTCAGTTTTGGAGTTAAATTGGGTTGGGTTCGAGAGAGTTGGGTTGCTTTGAATTGCATTGCGTTATTGATTTGGAGAAGGCTTTCCATCGAATATAGTTAAAAGTTATAATACATCTAAATGACACAATATGGCGAAATAAACATATTAGAACTGAAGCCAAAGCCCGAATATACAAGACCGCAAGTAGACCTATATTAACATATGCAGCCGAGACTCGACCGGAAACATAGAAACTACAGAAATGAAAATGGTGCGTGGAATAGTTGGGAAAACATTGATGAAGTGAGAACATCAGACAGGCTTGCAGGGTAGATTACATCAATGATTGGGTATTTGAGAGAAAGAAGAAATGGAATAGCACGTTGACCGAACGACAGAAGAACGAATTGTGAAAATAACACGGGACAAATCACCATCAGGACGAAGAAGCATTAGAAGATCTAGAAAAAGATGGAACGAAAACCGAGTTATGCCTAAATACAGAAGGAAGAAGAAGAAGAAGATTAAAATTCTGAGCAACATTCAAAAAGGGATTAAAGATTAAAACCATTTTAAATCACATAAAAAAAAAACATTATAATTACATTCACTTAATTCTTGAGGTCCACTTCAAAAAGATATAATATATTACGTGAAACAAACCGATTTAAATAAATTTGCATTTGAAACAAGAAAGTTCAATACCACATCCAATTTCCTTGCAAGACAGCAACATGACTGTTCTATTTAATACAAAGATATAATACAGACACATACAAGGTATCCGACCTTGAAATGCTACGTAGTCAATGGGCCGTCGTCATACCTCATTCACCACTTCGTTTTCAATGTGAAAAGCTACGTGCCATATCGTGAACGCGAGTCTATAAAGCACTTTAGAGGTCACATCCCTTAAATCCTCATCCCTTTCGTCACCCCTCCTGCAGCAACATGGACCGACGCCGGCACCCGCTGCTAATGAATACTTCCGAACGGGCATATCTTCAACAAAAACGTTACGAAGCGAAAAGGTTTTAATTTTCTTTAGAACCGCACGTTTTAAACGTAAATAAATGGAAAACGACAATAATTTTGAATGGGTGTGACACACCCGCACCGTGCACCACCGCGTTCTACGGGATTATTTCCCCCCACTACGAGGGATGTTGGGACGCTGCAGCAGGAGAGTTCGGATCTCTTCGGTATTGGTCGTAAAACAGGGGATGGTTATGGTTTCGGTGGATGCGCCGGATAAACGATTATATACGATTCGGGCTGATCTTGAATGTAACGTAGTTGTTACTATGGTTACGGCGTTCTCGTGCAGCTAGATGCTGGAGGAGTTGGGGTGCTCCGTCTACGATACATGCACAATTAAGCTTGTGCGAGGGAGAATATTTTCAATAAAATTATAAAGAAGAATATAGAATATATATTATAATTAAATAAAAACCATGAGTCTTACTAGTTTCGGGTAATAGCCATCTTCAGAGACTACTTTTAGTGATTTAAAAGTAGATTAACATATCAATATCAAGCTTACATTATTAAAATTATTTAAAGTTATAAGTTAAATTATATATGAATAAAATAATTTACGACTACGTTACATATTAAAAATTTAGAACGTACTGAACGATGAAGATGGCTTTTATCCGAAACTAGTAAGACTCATATTTTTTATTTAATTAAAGACCAATTTTGAAAGTACAAAAAAGCTTTATATATGTATTATTTCTCCTAATTATTTAAAGAAGAATATGTCAAAGAGATTTATTAATTAGTTTAATTAATTACACGTGGCGTGTTTATTATGATAATAGAGCATGACTCTTACACAATAAATCATTAATGTATATAATTAATTTCTAGTTAAATTAAAATGATAAAAAGTCGGTAATGAGTACTTTCGTATTAAAACAATATTACAATTAAATGCGTTATTTATAGGTGGTGTATGCTGTCCTTGAGTGCGTGCTCATTACCATACAGATTGGTTTGTACTATAATTACTATTTTGAATACGTGTGCCAACGATCGATATCGATATACAAATCTATTTGCATACTTCAAGAGTTAATTATTATGGGTGTACGCGATCGCTTAATTTTACAAGGCTCGTAACGTCAACAACACCTACTGATTATCATCACACAACTCAAACGTGATTTGTGTGTTTTGCTAATTACTTAATTACATACCTTCCAAAGCCTATAAACAGACTGAAATAACAGCTGCAGTAAGGGTATTATTGACAACATTTCAGAAAATTATTGTTTTGTACATTTTCAACGAAACCATGCACTCCCGATGAAACTTAACTTGATTTTAAGCCAGATTTAAACGTTTTGATAAAGAACTAAGTCTTTAATACTTTGTCTCGATAAGATTGCAGATAGTTATTATCTTGTAAATATTTTGGCTACCTTTAATTGCAAATATTTAATTAAATTTAATTGTGCTTAACAATTGTTGGTTAATGAAAACATAAAATACGGGATTTATTTGAAGGTTAGTGATAAAATTGAAGGTGGAATATCTTATTATTAGGTAAGTTTGAAGTCATGCAGTAGCATAGGCGTTATGTAAA